TATAAGTGGAGACAAAGCGTGGGTGCCTGTGTGCGTTTGCCAAACGGCCTCTCTGATCACGTCGGACTTTTTGAATTTCTACTGGAAAGGTTAAGGTTTAGGCGACTTCACCATTAGAAAGAAAAATAATGGAATTAGCTTTAATTTACTCGCATGACACGTAGTGAAACATGGCAATAGCCTAAAACCTCAAGAACCAGGAAATCATTTAAAGTTAGTTTCTTGATTCAAAAGACTTTTTCCTACGTAATTTGCTTACTTGGCGATATCTGGGGCTTGGCGAGAATTTAGGGCTTAAATGTCACTGAGGGAGAGGAAGTTCGTTTCCCCTTTCCCAGCATTATCATTGGATCTTAGAAGCTTCCAGATAGAGCTGGGCAATACTTTTTCTCCACCTATTACTTTGCCTCCATAAATATACAAAAGGCAGCGCTACACTACCTTCTCCAAGTTCAAAGATATAAAAATGAGGTAGGATGGACAGGGATGGTAATGACTAAGGCTAGGTGGCATGAAAGAACAATTATGGCCCAAGAGGGAACCCACCGCAAAAGAGGGGGCGTCTGGATTGGGGATAAGATCAATACCAGTATCTAGATTGTTACTGGTGAGTCTGGGTTCTGGTGTGACAATGGCGAACGGTGGAATCCCTCCCTAGGGAGTCACCCTGGTAACACGGTGGTGCTTGAGGAAGAACGGCTGTGGTCTGTGCATAGAACAGTTGTAACACTAAAGAGTTGCATATCCTCGAAGGCTCATTTTTTGGGGGGCGATGCTCATGACTAATACTACAGGGAAGTGTTTCGCCGGTCCGTTTGAAGACCCACCTGGATGAATCAGCACGTGGAAAGTGCGGGAACTGGCCATGGGGGTGAGCAAAATAGACACTAAACCCCAAGCAGGTGGTTCAGCCCCGACCCAACACAGCGAAGTAAGGGGCACGGCCACTGCCGAGCTCAAAGCGTTGGTCTTGCCTTGAACTGTAAGGCAAAACCCCGGTGCTCCGAGAGCCTTATGATTCTTGGTTGAGTACCTGAGTCCGTAGGAATAGTTAGGAATAAAAATGTATGTTAGGCATCCATGGCTGAGTCAAAAATCACCCCACTAGTTAGCAACCTTGAAACAACAAACATTCATTGTATCGCGGGTCCTGTGAGTCGGGAACCCAGGAGGGGCTCGCCTGGGCGGTGCGGGTGGCAGGCGGCTGCTGTGGTCGCCGGAGCTGCGATCCTACGCAGGCCGGAGGAAGAGCGTTGTCTGCAAAGGCTGGCAATGTCCAAACCCGCTCCTGACACAGGCTCCCCCTAACCCTGAAGCCGTATCTATATCCCGGGCACGCGGAGGCCGGGAAGGCAGCAGCACGGCTCCCAGAAATGAGAGACAACCGGCAGCCCCGGTTCCTGGAGAGGCCCGGGGCCCCATCAGCCGCGGGACTGACTAGGGAATGACGGCTGCCATGTTGCAGCCTTGGGATCAGGTGGCGCTGGGAATGGAATCAGCCCACCTGGGCATCAGAGGCATGGAGGGCCCGGCTGCCCAAGGCCTCCGGACCCGGTGCACACTGCCCTTGCGCTTGCGGTGCGGGTCGGAGTCGCCGGGAACCTGCAACAGTTCAAGGGTCTTGGCAGGCCTGCGCACCGCTGCATCGTTCCGAGACGCAATCTAACCAAAGGTGCCTACTGCCCATGAAGGCAGACCCGGGGGCACCGCGAGAGCGTGCCCGGGGCGGGGCCAGGCAAGGCCGGATGCTGAGGGACGCCTCTGCTCCCAAAAGGCCTCTGCTTCCACGAGCCTGCTGCAGAGGAGCAAACTGTGCATGCGGGTTCAGCAGCAATTTGGCGCTGGGGGTGGGGGTGGCGTGGCGGTTGGGTGGGGTCAGGGGGAAGCGGGGACGAGGTAGGGTGCAGACTCGACAGGCTGTGACCCTGTTCTGGGCCAGGACCCCATTCTGAAGAGGCAGAGTCCCTGTCACCGACTCCTGGCAGAAACCAGGCATCCGCCAACGCACAGGCCCGCAGTGCACAAAGCCTCCAGTTCTCCCCGAAGCTGGATATCAAGGAAACGGGGAAGTCTTGCTCAGGGACCTAGCAGTCCTGGAAGGAAAAGACACCTGGGAGCCCTGGCTTCCGGATAAGCCTGGGTCACCATCAGCAGCCTTTCCCAATTGGCAGTGACTTTCATCACCTTTGTTTGCAGCCTCAGTGTCAAATCATGGTGTGGGGGGTGAGGGTGTCGCCGCCACCCAGGAAAATATCCGGGTAACTAAAAATCTTAAATTTCAGAAGTTTGTGAAAAAGTCCTAGCAGCCCCTTTATAGTCAGATTACTCCGCTCAAGACCATCTGCCAATACAAACATTTCCAAACCGAATGAAGCCCTGGATACCAGACACCTGGCTCCCGCAATTATTTTACAGACTAATGATAGCTGTTGGGTCTCTAGAAAACACTAGTTTCTGTTCTACATGATAATAGCATTGTGCATGAAAGAGACATATATACATCTTTTAATTCCAAAGGGCTTTTTTAATCAAAGGGAGGGGAGGGAGAGAACCTGACTCACCTGCAGTTTATTTAGTGGACGTTTTCTGCCACCTAGTGAACAATTTTGGATGTGCTACAGAAAGTCGTCTTGGTAATCACAGTGCCCCTGGTGTGTAGAGGGGACTCAGTAGTGAAGAGTGTGGGATCTCCTTATTTTTATTTACAAAAGCCTTGGGAGTATTGCCACCTTCACACCAAGTACCTACATATGGATGCTTTTAAGCGACCTTTTTCAGAGGACCAACTATTTCCTACAACGTGCCTTAATATGAGTGCCTCTATTCTTATTTCCTAAACACCCTAAATCTAGTTTATCGAGAATTGTTCCTAAGTATATAACGCGATTAACAGACTGTAACGTCTCCCTGACCTTTCGGTGTTAAGAGTGCCTTGGGGCTCAGTGATTGGATCTCTTGTGTTGTTGTTGTTGTTGTTTTTAAATCTACTGCCTCGAAGATCTTATGTGTGGCTTTAAGTGCCACCTACACACACATTTTAATCTCCAGGTCAGACTTCCTCTTGCATCTCAGATTCATAGACTCTACTGTCCACTCAGGACTCTTCCTGGGTGTCTGATGAACACATCAATCCCAGCCTGTCTAAGTCTGGGCTCAACTTTCAGCTGCCCTCCTCTTCCTGAAATACCTGCCTTCCCCCACCCGCATACACACTCGCATCTACTCTGGCTGTCTGCTTATTTCAATAAACTGCAACCTATTCTTCCCATTGCTCAGACCGAAAACATTGGGAGTCATTCTTGATTCCCCTCCTCTCACCGCACCTCACATGAAACCCGTCAAGAAGTCCTTTGGGCTGTTGTGCTGTTTTGGGGATGCTCAGCCCCTCACTGTGCGGCAGCCAGGCTGGTCTACACCACCGTCTCTCACCGACAGGAGTGCAGCCTTCTCATCAGGCCCCCTACAGCCTCTGCTCAAAAAGCTCTCCCCTGCTTCAAGCTCTCTAGGGGGTCCCACCTCACCCAGAGGAAAAGCCCAGTTCCTGCCGTGGCCTCCAAGGCCATCCATCTGGCCCCTACCACTCTGCTGACCTCCTCTAGGACCACCGTCCCCTCATCCATCACTCCAACCACAGGCTCCGTCTGGGTAGCCAGGGGCCTGGGCTGTGGGCTCTTCTCCAGGCTAGTCTTTCTCTCCACTCCCTTCAGGTCTTTAACTCAGAGCATCTGGTTAGAGCTCCTCTTCCAGGGCACCTTCCCATTCCCTTGACCACCACCACCACCACTGAACATCTTACCTCCTCCGCTTCTTTTGTCTCCTCGGTGCCCATCACCATGAAACACATGCTCTATTTCACTGTTCTGGTTTGCCTCCCCCCTCCCTTCCCTTCCCTCCCCTGCCCCGCCCTCCCACCTGAGTGGGAGGGGTTTTACCTGTGTGCTCTTTGCTGTATTTCCTGTCCCTACAATACCTGACACCTAGCTGGAATTCAATGTTTAATAAATGAATCATACATGTAGCTCATCTTCATGTTCATAGATTAGAATAAGAACAGATATGTAATTTTATTTCCTGATGTTAAAATGGCTACCTTTTAATATACTTCCCATTACATTTACACACTAATCATTTCAATTGACCCCTTCACTGAAACACGGCATTGTAATCTGTATCAATAAAATAACCTACTAGTTCTAGATCTTAGCATTCAACTTTGGGATGATTATACAGATTTCCTCGAGTTTCCAGTCATCAAAAATTGTTTCCACTCAACCAGGTTAAAATGCAGTGAAGAATCGACCTAAGAGCCCGTCAGCGCTGCTCCCCTGGGCCACTGCGGGGCGGTCTGACCTCCCTGCTTCCACCTTTGGAGCTTCCCCAGGCGGCCTAAATATCAAGCCTCTGGTGGCAGCGATGGGACATACGAGACCCCACAGAGCAGTGTTCACTAACGGTGACGATGCAGTTCTCCTTTATGCACACACTAAAGGAGATAAGAGATGTAGCATTCTAAAGCACGATTACTCTGGAGAGTAAGGGACTATTTCTGGATATGGTTTCATTTCTGAGTATATTTATATAGCATTGAAAATGCCACCTCATTTCCAAAGTACAAAGTTTTCTGGAGTTCGGCACTGTGATAAGCTCTCTAGCCAGCTTACTTCAGCACACAGCCCTGGATCATGTGGATAAATAGTAGGACAAGGTGTACAGGCCAACTGAAGCCCTACTTTGAGATTAAGAGGTGGCAAGTACCAACAAACATACACAGAGGCCAAACAGGCCGAGGCATGTTGGTTATTTAATGAACTCATGTAGCATAAAACAACAGACACAAATGTATGTGATTATTGTTACTGTGAAAAATTACAGATTTCACATGGTATTAAATGCTACCAGCTTAATAAATGCAAAAATATTTATAGAGAAGCAAATAAAAATGCAAAGAAACTGTTAGTAAAATTACTTTTATTTTCATAAATAAAGATAATCCATTATACAAACACCACTTTTAGCACGTTAGCTGTCCTTCCCCACTTTGCATGAAGTGTGAAGTGTATGCAACAGTCACCTGGAAGTTACACCTCTCCGCACCCTTCATGCAACTTCTATTTCTCAACTTCCCTAAATTCCCAACACTATTTCAAAGACTATGATAATGGGATTTTTCAGTCACAAAGTCTCACTTTTGCTGAGTCAACAGAATATTTATCTGCTTATGTCAAAGTTGCCAATTACGGATTAAAAAGCTGTACCACTGCCATTTTACCGAAGCTTTGAGCACATGCCACATTTTCATTCCATATATGGTAGCAGGATCCAGTGATGTTAATGTGAAAACTTAGTAACTCGGTAACAAGCACTAGTATCCGAGATAAACAGATCCTTTGGCTGTGAGTGAGACGCTGGCATCAGATGCTATTGAACATTTTGTCAGTTAACGGCATATAGCAAACAAAGGATTTCGTAATAAAATGCAGTGAAATTTAACTAAAACATTTTTACTACAGACAGCAAAATAAACTTAAATGTCTGTTATTACTCCACTTCTTCTAGAAACTGCAGGTTCAGCTACAAAATGTTTTACAGCAAGGGGTATTCCCACGTATTATTTTTGGTTGCATTTCCATGTTATTTTTTGAAAAACACTGATTCTATGTGTAAGTTATGATTTATCATTTGAATACGTTGATTCAGATAGGCATAATTATTTATTCTTCATAATGAAATGTTTATTCCTATGTCAACACTTGATGTAGATTGTGCTTATTTCTGCAAGTTGCTATGTGGATGCAAGGGTTTATCTGCGTAAGTGCTCAGCGCGGTGCCTCGCACGTGGTAAGCTCTCAGTACGCACTGCTCTTACGGTTTTTATTAAGTGAGCCAATCCATTTATAATAGGAAAATTAGCTAACGCTCCAGGAGAATAATTAAAAGATGATAAATCTACAGATGTATGATTTTTGTTAACATATTATGCACTCACTATATCCCAAGTCTGTATGTACACTAAATTGTTTCAATAAATACTATTTTTAAGATCATACTGTACCTGTATGCTTCATTAAGGTTTTGCTATGGCCTTTGGCCTAAAATAATGTAATTCTGACAGAAGGTGTGTATTAGAAAACTGTATAAAAACAAGGTACACTGAAATCAGGCAATGAAAGCATTTTACTGTAACCTCTTAAACAAAACAGAGTTACCAGTGTAATTCAGAACAACCCTCCTCCTTTAGGCCTGAAGTTTTCTTTTACATCATGCAACATTCCACTTCTCCAAAGCCCTTTTCAATTTTACCTCCCCTCACAGAGACACATTAGGAGCTGTCACACAGTTCTGTCCTGAGTGAGACGCCCATTAGAAGGAACTCGCAAGAGCCACTGTGGGTGTCACTGAGGCCGAAATGAAGCGCAGGGCTCCCAGGAGAGAAATTCTGCAACAGCCCTCATGTTCCTATCAACACTGACTTTTGAGTAAACTACAGATGTGATCGCATGTTAAGGGTTTGGGTATAAAATTTTCCTGATCTTCAATTATAACGACTTCTTTCCCCACCGGGAAAGATAACTAGCTCCGAACACAGGCCTGAGCTACAATGAACAAAATGGTGAAGGGGGAAATAAATGCCTGTCGAAAACAGATGCCATTCTTCTGCTATCTAATAAGAGGAAGGAAAATAAAGTTTTTTGTGAAGATAGAAAAACCTATCCCAAAACACATGATTCTGGCTTATGTTAACCTATAACATTACTACCAAAAGTTTGCGGGGCGGGGGGGGGGACGGGACCCAACCCTCAAGGACACTCTTCAGAGGCAGAAGAACATCTTTCACACGTTGTCGTGGTTAGCAAGGAGTGTGGAAACAAACAGGAACCCTCGCGGCATATTAAAAGTCTAGACCTAAATAGAAGGCAGGTGCCCTCTGAGTGCGCTACATTATTCTACAGGCTTCAGACAAATCGCTTCCAGAGGCGTGAACGGAAGGCCCACGGTCTATCTCATCTACCAGTAGAGAGACCCCAAGCACACATCTTAGGAGACGGAACACCCCGTGTCCTTTTGAGGTTTGACGTCTGGTTCTTTCACGGGTTTCACTGCTTCCTCTGGTTTGGGTTTGGTCTAGGCAGAAAGAAAAAAGCGGTGTAAGAACATACACTAAGATCTGGAAAAGAGACACTAGATCTTTCCACGTCCAACGTGGAAGAGCCGCTACATGAACTTACACAACACTGAGATGAACAGCGCTGTTCCAAAGCTACGTATCACCTGAATTTCAGACGTAATGGGAAAGCAGCCCATCAATGAGGATGCAAACCTATGGGTGGGCACAAACCCGGCTCGAGCTGCTCTTCCTCTTTCGGAGGAGACCGAGGGCCGGCTTTATGCGTGAGGAGCCTTTCATGTTTGGGAATCGCTCAGGACAGCGACAGGCTGCCTCTCAGGGCGTCACTCTGGAGGCTGAGCAGGACAGAAAGGTACTTACTTTAAGGAATAATGGTTTTCGTATGCATAGGAGGTCAAGCCTCAACATCTCCACTTACTCTGTCATCTGACCTAGGACAGCAAGGTACTAGATATAAATGAATGAAAGCAATCTTATTTTTACCCCTGGATGATTTCATGGAATGTTGAAGTTCGGTCAAATGTTCAGTTACCCTGCGCTACGCTAAATCAAAAACAGAGTATTGCTATAGCAATATAAACACAGACAAGGCACCCTGCTTAGACCTGTTCTCCCACACTCTTCTTAAAGGAGGCTTTGACAAATGGGAACAGAGGCAGGACAATGTGCTGAAAACAAGGCCAGTCAATTTGGCAGAAAGACAGAAGGCGATGAAGGCCTAGAGCTCCGATTCTGAGACAGTCCTACAAGAGTCCACCAAGCACTGCCGTTAGCTCAGTTAATATTTGGAGGAACATACATATCTGCTTATACAGAGAAAAATATCAAAACGCCAGCTCTGAATTCCTAACGTTTGTGAGTGCATGGGAAAACCCCATCTTACGCTGTCATCCTTGGGTCTTTTGGTGAGGTCAAACGCAGCCAGCGTCTCCGGGGTCCACTGTGCACTCGTGGGAGGAAATTCAAAAGGCACAGGCTCGACGAGACCGTAATTTGCTTTGAGTTCCAGTTGTGGGGCTTCTGTTGGAATTTTTTGAAAGTAACTGCAAAAAGCCATTTAAACAGCAATTAGTTCATTGATTCATTAACCATCTGACTGCCTATTACACTCAAGGCCCTGTGCAAGAAAAAGACAAGTCAACGATGAACGAAACAGAGGAAAACATTGTTATCTACCAGCGGACTTTGGTGGTGATCTACAGTCTGAGCAATGCTAATTCAGTAACAAAACTGGCTGACAGAAAATTAATTTCCCTGCTTTACAGACGCCTGAAAGCAGAGTGAGATGACTATGCAAAGGGAGTTGTGAGGGTATGTATAACATTTGGAGAAAGAATGGCAGGGAAACAAAGAGAAAATTAGGACAGTATAAGGGGACTCTGTTACCAATGCATGTTGAAATTTTAAAATCTGCTTTTATATATCATCATCAGAAGCAGAATAAAAGTCTAACACAAGTGAACGCTATTACAAATTTAAAGAAAAGATTAATGCAGATCTTAACTGCAATCTGACATAAAATCTTTGGAAATAGATCAATGCAGAGTCCACCCTCCTCTCCATGGACTGACTACCAACCATGGATTGAAAAGTTACAGATATTTACCAAAAATAAAAACCACAAACCCGGCATATAAGTGGACCCAAGCAGATCAAACGTATGTTTTCCAAGAGTCAACTGTATACTACTGCATTATTAATATTACTAAAATAATACTATGCTGTACTCACATAAACCCATTTTCTCTTTGACATTTTTCCAGGGTATTCTGCACAAGATTTCCAAGTTTCGTGAAGAACAAGTGTCCCGAAGGCTTGACTGTTGGTCCGGGCCCTTTGGTTTCTCCATACTCTTTGCATAACGCTTCTGCTTTTGCATAAACTGCATGCGAAAGGGATAAATGGGTTCCAACTCATAACTGATTATTTACACTAAAAAAGCTTTAAACCAGAGAAGGTAGGGGATTTTACTGCTCTCTGCCTGGTACAACAGCAGTACCAACGACAGTGCAAGGACACGCTGGGTCGGTGCCCTCTACAGAGTCCAGGCTTCTGAAACATTTTTTTCTTTTCTCCAGTTACCTCACTCATTCCCACCCCCTTTCACGAACTCAGCCAAAATCTCTTTTAACTGCCTCTTCCCTTTGTGATAAAACATTTGCTTTTAAAAAGGGAGTTGATACTCTGGCAGGAAAACTTACGTTTCTCTGCTTCTTGGAGAGACCGGATTGCTTCACCGCATTTGTCGCTGGCCAACAAAGTCCGACCATGGTAACAGTAAGCCTGATAAAAAACACAGGTTCCTATTCATTCTCTCCCAGATGATGCTCTCTGCTCCCGCTGTTCTACACATGCATCAGATGAACCAGTGCCTTTGTCCGTTGTCTGACGTCTCAGTATAATCCCTCACGTTTATTTACTTGAACAGGCTTTCCCTCATCTCTGTTAGTATCAGAAGTGGAATTACATCAAGTCTTTGAGCCAAACTGGCCTTTTAACCGTGGGCTGCTGAAACCTGCTTCTAAACTTAGGTGCCGTGGATAAAGGAGGGATGTCACTGTGCTAATGCAGAGGGAGAGGAAAGGCGGGCAGAAGCCAGGAGTAAGCAGGCTGTAGGAGAAATGCATCGGCCTGAAGTCTTTGAATGGCTACGTCAATAGAAGGTTAGCACACACCTGGTCTAACGCAGTGTGCTTGGAACAGATTATAAGGTGAAAGGAATGAAAATATCTACCTAGATTTGAAAAAGGTTTTCGATGATCTCTCACATGATATCCTAACCAACAAAACGAATATTGATAAATTTGTTTGGTGGGTAGAAGAGCCCAAAAAGTAACTTCCCAGAGATGCCTATTAATGGTTCTTCACCAGCGCAGGTGATGTATTGCATGGCATCCCTTAGGATTAGCAGTAGTAAACGTCTTTGTCAGCGCGCAGAATGAAGTGAGAGAATTCTCACGAAGTGTGCAGGAGGTTCCGGCCTCAGAGTGGGTTTCCAGGAAACAGTAACCCCATTGCTAGCGTCCAGCTCTCAACTCTCCGCCACCCCCTCCCACCCGTGTAGGCTCACAATGGCGGCCACACGGCCCGCCCGGCCCTCAGGGACCGCCCGGCCCTCAGGGGCTGGCCAGGCAGCCATTCGTAGTGCCGCAGGGTTATAAACACTTACGTAAGCTGTGTAGAAGCACGTTTTCAAGAGGAGATATTTTCTCCATTTGGCAGAGTACGCAGGCTCCAAACTGGACAAAGTATGATCTAAAGTTACATTTTAAAAAGCAAAATATCATTTCACCCTGATTCGCTAGAAGGTTTTTCAGTTCACGTGTTCAGATGCTAAAAGCAGAACGCCATTCAAGTCTAAAACTCAAGCATTTACACGTTTTTTATAAACCTCACTTTACTTAAAGTGATTTATTTTCCCGATAACTATGGTTTGATTACATAATAGGATTGGTTAAATATCAGGGTCCCTCTTTGATGGTTAATGTACCTTAGGTTTAACGTAACGATAAAAACAGATATGACCAAGAACTTCAAGGTAAATATGAATTATGTTACTATCTATTTTTAAAAAACTTTATATAACCATGCAGAGTAGTTCAGTCACTCAAGTCAGAAACATGAGGGACGCCCTCCTAACTCCCCCATCACTGAATCTCATATGAAACACCCCCCTAACCTGCCACATGGCTCTCAAATCTGTTCCTTCCCCTCTGTTTCCTATTCGCTGTGCTCAGCCTAAGAGCTCAGGGGAGTGAGCCCATTCCTCATCTTACAACCAGAGGGACCTTTTAAAATTCAAATCCAGTGAGTCAGATTTACTTTCTAGCTTTTCGTGAATCCCAGACATCTACCGAGTAAAGGCTGGCCTTCTCAGATAGGCTTGTAACGGGTCCATGATCTCACATGTGCACACTTTCCTAACCTTTCCTCCTAACACTCTTTCTGTATTTTAGTCAAGAGGATCTGTCCAAAGATCCCACAAGGAGCTAAGTTCCTTTTTATCTCTGTACAGACTACAGATTGTTCTCTTCCCATATGCTGATGCTTCCTAGTAAACTTAGAGCTTCTATTTATATTTGAAAATAAGGCTAAAACACCACCTTCCTGTAGGATGCCCTCGCTAGCACGCCTAGATGCTTTAAGCAACCTCTTATTTCAGGCTACAATAACGTGTTTGTCTCCTTCCCTAGACCGTGAATCTGTTCTACTGATCTTCATATACCCAGCAACTAAAATGATAACCATTCCATAAACAGAAACATGTATGTGTTTTCTACAAAAGTGAAGGGAGAGAAAAACAGGCTAATGAGAAATGGTCCAGCGTTCTAGACCCAGCTTCCCACCTGCTAGCAGTTAAATTACGGATCAGTTATATTAACTCTCTGGATTTCAGTTTCTTGTCTCACTAAGGACAGTAACTATAAGGTTGTTATAAAAACAAAAAAAAATTTCAAAAGCAAAACAACTGATTATTAGACATAACTGGTTAAAAAGTACAGTGTCGCCCTTTCCATGCAAAGCTATGCAGCGATATTAACTATGAACAGTTCTTTTATTTTCTTTTAAACAAAAGTCATAAAAATAATGCAGATGTTATTCTGAGAATCTTTTTGATGTGCTTGTTCTCTATTTAGCCAAGAGGTTAATCTGAAAATCTAAAGACTAAAAGTATAACAACTGAGTTATACACTTACCAGCTTTTTGATAGAAATTGGCCGTTTCATAGGCGAGAGCAGCAATTAGTCCAGGAGCATGTTTCAGTTCGATTGCTCGAGCAATTGTTACTGCAACCAAAATACAATAAAATGAATATATAATTAAGTTCACTTGCAGTCACTCTAAGTTCCATTAATAATAGCAAATAACAGTCCAACAAACTATTTGGGATTTTAATTGCTAAAAGTTTTAACATGAAAAGGTACAGAAAACGCAAACATAAACAGAAAACAATGAGCTTGTTGGTTCTTTATATAAATCGCTAGCCATTAACAGCCAGTCAGAAAAATTACTACTATAAAATAGCATGATGTAAGAGGAAATACATATTTTCAGGGCACTGGAATCTGAAAAAAAGCAGAACAAAAGCCTACAAAGTTTCTTTATTGCTTCCACCTAAGTCTTCATTTATTTCCTGTCATTCAAAGGTGACGATTTCAAGGCAAGACAAATAGTGGAAGAAGAAAAGAACCGAGCAAGGCAGAGGGGACGAGATGAGCTGCAGATTTAGTTTTGTGCTGTCGGAAATAGCACGGAACCAAAATCCTCTTAAAGGAGCCGTCAAATGAGGAGGCCTTTTCCTGCTCACTCAAAATGAAGGCAAATGCTAAAGATAAAACCATTTCTCACCCTACATTTTCTAAAACCTGAAACTCAGTTCTAGCTAATTCTGATTAAACAGTATGTTTTTTTAAATGCCAATACAGGCTTTCTTCAAAAATAAAAAAAATCTTCCACCATGTAGGATACCTTCCTGAGCCTCAGCCTGACACTGGACGATGTAAGCTTCGATGAGTCGCGCTTCTAAATCTCTCCCCTTTTCCGCAGGAGTGATGAGCTTTGGGATGTGACTTTCCTGAAAGAGAAAGAAAACAAAGAATTTTCTTATTTATCTTAACTGAGTTGTGAGAGTTGAGGAAAATGGAAGCTGAGGCATTCAGTTTGGGGATTTATCAGAAATTCAGGATACTAACCAAAAAATGTGTTAGGAAGAAACACTAAGCTTACAGAGAACAAAAGCTCCTGCATAGTAAAATTTTTAAAGCTTTTTATAAGCGTTTGTAAAGATAAGAGATTCAAGAGCAAAATCTGGGTCACGCGGGCCTGGTTAGATACGCGAGTCACACTTCCACCTTAGAACGCGGTTCACTAACAGGAGCTGAGCTCCCTCCCGCACCGCAGCCGGCGCTGTCCCCTCCCATTAGCAACAGCAGCCAACTCAGGAGCTCGGCTTTGGCATCACTGCAAAAGCGTCCCATTTGATCCTACGAAAACCCAGCACTGGTCCCCAGGAAATGGTGGTTTAATCAGAATGAGGTGGGGGTATTTCTGGTTGGAAATACCTTACTCTTTCCCCTCATTCCCACATCTCAGGCAATCGAATATAACTAGTGTGTACTGATCGCCCCTCTCGGGTCCTCGCTGGGATACAGAGAACACACTCAGAGGCCCCGTCCTGCAGACCTGGGGCTGCTCCGGGCCACGGCTGCGGCGGCCACCAGCGGCGGGAGGGGACTGCCACCTCTGTGCTGTGTTTTCTACCTTTGCAGAAGAGACAGAATAAGCAGAGACTTACAACTTCAATTTTCTAATTGTGAAATTCACTGATGATTTTCTACAATGGAGATATTTGCTATTCTACAGTTGGCTGCACTCATCAACAAGGTCCTTACCATAAGGAAACCAGAACACATACTAGTATTTTTTATACAATGAAACAATGTCCCTGCCCCCCAAGCATCATAAATATATGTTATTATTATTTTACCTTTAAATGTTTAAAAATTCCAGCTGCAATTTTTAGGCTTCGATGGACCTCTTTCGCTTCCTCTTCTGTTATGCTTAAAGACAGTGGTCATGTTACTTAGAGGATAAATCCCGTTTCTGTAGCAAAACCAGCAACTACTACGTCATCATATGACCAAATTAGTGATTTATGTCTCTCACTAGTTTTCCTCCTTTTAGAAAATCTAATTTGACATATAACAAATGCACATGAAAAATATCCAAAGAGAAGAGACTAGAAATGAGACAAGAGACCTTGTCTAGAGGCCTGAAACCAAGGCTTCTTGTTTTTCCTTCCAGATAATCTTCTGTGCATAAACAGGCACGAAACATGCACACACTTAAGAAACAGAAATACACGATATTCACTACTCTGTTCTTCTCATCACTAAAATTACTTTAGAGATAATTTTATTATTTTTTAGAGACAATTTTAAAACAACACATACAGTCCAACTTCCTTTTTAGTTTTTACTTGTATTACATTTATTGGGGTGGCACTGGCTAATACAATCACATAGGTTTCAGGGGCCCAGTTCTAGAAGAAGTCCTCCGTGTAATTGTACTGTGTTGCTCACCATCCCAGGTCAAGCCTCCCTCCGTCAGCTTCACTTTTAAATGACTGCATATTATCCCCATGTTCAGATGCACTGGAGTTGGCCGGGGATTTCGTACTATTAATACCTTCTTCTACTACTATGAAATCTGTATCTCATTTTATTTCACAGTCCTCTAATCCTTCAAAACATGCTTTCCATACTTATAAGCCTTTGTATTTCTTTTTTGGTGAACTGCCTGATTGTCTCTTGTTTACTTTCACTTGATTTCTTGGTCTTTTCGTTGTTGATTTATAAGAGTATACGTTATAAAAAAAAATTTGTAATATATGTACTCCACTTTTTTTTGACCCATATGACATTTTAAAAATTCTGCTTATGTACTTTTACATAATCAGACATTCAATCTTTTCCTTTTCTTGGTACAGGGTTTTATTTAGAAAGACCTTCCCCATGACAAGATTATTTTCTTCCCCTTTTGACAATGGGCTCCGTAATTCTGATACTTAGAACACTAACATTATGAGACACGCTTTCACTTACTGCAGTGCCACTTTTTATCAGTAGCCTACACTTTTTAATAACAAAGCTCCACGTATTGGAATGTAAACTGTCCCCTTTTAACTTACTTTTCTTTTCCAGCCAGTCTTGAAGCATATTTAGTGTACCACAGAGCGACATTAAATCCCATGGAAATTAATTCAAAAACAGCATCCTGCTGGGCACTAGAATTATAAACACGATTGTTAACTTCTCTCAATTATTAACACATCTGTACATGAGGCCCACTGAACACCCAACTGACAATACAGAGCTCTACACACTCACTCAAAAGTGAAAACAGTCCTTGTGTGTAACACAGATGGGGAGATAAGACACACACACAATGAGCGAGGAACGGCTACATACAACAGCCCAGTATGCACTCCATAATAATAAATGTGAGACTAGCAGTTGTTCCCAGAGGTTGCTCTATATCGAGTGGCTTCAAAAACGCAGCTTCTGGGACCTGGCCCCCGAGAGTAAGAAAGCCTGGGAGGGGCCCAGGGTGCACATTTCTAACAAGTACCCAGCTGACTCTGGAGCGGGTGGTTCTTACACATTGCAAGAAAGCGGAATCGAGAGGAGAGATCGTTTCAGGCCAGACTACTTAAAACAGGCTGAATGATATTAGCAGAACTGAACTGTGCCCTGAAAGATGGCTTTGAGGGCAGCGGCAGGTGTCCCAGGTGGGGAAATGGCACTATTAAAGCATAAAAAAGTGTAAAGATTTTTCTGGAAACAAAAGACCCAACTATCTTGATTGCAGCAGAGGGTTTGTAAAAAGAAATCGAGGAACAGAGGGCAAGAAGCCAAGCTGAAAAGAAACTGAAGAGGATTTTGAATGCTAAGCCCATCAGCATACTACAAAGGTCTTTGTATCTTGTTTCCTCCAGATTCTGTTACTAAATATGAGACAAAGACGGCAAAAGCTTATTAAGCAAATAAGAGAATACTAATTTTAATCACTGTACTTCTGCTGAGAGACCCCGAAAATGCCTTATACATTATCTCATTTATCTCAAAGGGCAAAGAAAACAGAATACCTTCATTGTATACACACACTATTAAGAAAAAGAAAAATTACCCAAAAAGAAGAATCATGATTCTATTTTGTTGCCCACATCTTAAAAGGGAACGGAGATGTGAAAACTTTTTAGATTAAAAGCAAATTAAAAAAAAGTTATTTTAAAACATATGCTATTCAAAAATAACTTATGAAATACCCTGTTTAATATGTTATAATATACAAAAATAGGACAGTAATGAATGAACTTAAAACAGTTTTACCCTGCTGAAAAAAACTGAATGCGTAGTCTAACAGCTTATTCTTTTCAGCACTGAGACCTCTCAAATGTATCACCTCTGGTGACCTAGTGGGCACCTCCAATTTATAACTTTACTTTTAAATAATACGATAGTTTTGCTAAGTGATGGTCTCCTGAATAACTCCTCCCTTTTCCCCTTCATTTATTATAATCTGCCTCACTCCCAAATACCCCACTTTTATTGTATCACACCTATGGAGCAGTTGGAGTACATAGAGTTAAAAAACATTTTTCAGAAAAGATATGCTCATTCTACACTCAAAAGTGCATTTTTTTTTTAAATGGCAGGTAAGTAGCAATCAAGGATAAAGTAACTTAAAAACCTTGGATGTACTGAACACTCAGTAATACTCCTGGAGGCCTCGATCACATAACGGCGCTGCCCCGTGAGGCTGCCGAGCGCCGCCACAGGAGCCACCGCCTGGCACGGCGGCGGAGGGCGTGCAGCGCACACCGCCCGGGCATCGGCCGAAGGTTTCTAGCGTAGTAACGATAGAGGTTTTTGATTCCGTGACAAAGAAAAAGAAAACTTTCTAATGAAAAATATTCCTGAATTTTGGATAAAGTATAAAGGAGTCACAGAAAACAAAACAGAAAATGAGGTCTTGGAAAACCTTAGTGTCCCAGAATATTGAATGTGGAAAGGATCCACAGTCCCCAACTTCCTACCCAACGTATGAATTCCACACACAATATTCCCAAAGAAGGAAGGAAGCTAACGTCTACTGCATGGCTATGAAGTGCCTGGCATCGTGTCGGTCCTTTCACGTAACTTCTCCTATCCCGTTCCTCACAAATGCCGTGACCCTGGAACCCCATGCACGTGCAAGCAGCTGGCGCTCACGCTCCAGCCGCGCTGGGACCCCGGCCAGCTCTGCTCGACCCCAGGGCCACACCGCCGGCCCCGCGGCACCTGCCCGGTCTTCCAGCGGCCTGCGTTCCCTCCCTTCTCATTCTAGGGAACGGGAGTTCCAAAGCAAACGGAGATGAAGATGCACAGCCATTGAAGAAGCCCAGGGGTGTTTTAAAAAAAAAGTAGTTACATTAAAATTTAGCACCATGATGATCTGCTTCCTGTTATAAATAGATCTTTTGTAATTATTTTCAACTGAATGACCAGAAAGTTCTGAGGGGAAGTTTTTAAAAAGAGCCAAAACGGTGAAAAAAATAAGGAAGAAAACCAATACTGTGAGCAAAAGGGTAGGGAGCTGGCATAGAATTGGGGAGAAAGAGAGGAAGAAAGAGAATGACCGAAGACATCTGCATTCTCCATCAGAGAAGAAGAGTGGGGGGAAAACCCAAAGTCTGCCCTGCTTGTCTACCAAGAATGAAAGCTAGCTCTGGTTCCAACTTCCCAAACCACTCTGTGTGTTACTAAAAGTCAAGGCTATTCAATTCTAGTTAACATTTGTATTGATTATCCGAAAAACAGATCTGGCCCAGAAGTATTATGTTTTTATTCAACACAATATATTAGGAGTTTACGTGGAATTTTTCAAATTAATTTCCTGATAACAGAAAATGCTGATGAGAACTGTATTTTATTTCTTCCAATACAGGGATTATGAGTTAACCACTGGCTAAATAATACAAAACTGGCTTCAGTTTAGTGCTGTTAGCGCTGCTTACCTTGGAACCTGTCCTTGTAGTGTATCGGTCCACTTGAAATTTTGAATATAACGTAACTTACTTTCTTGGCTAGTATCCAATGAATTTATGAAACCTATAAAAAGGTACAAAACATTTCAGATTTAGAAGCATATCAAATATTCTATTTAGATCAATTTTCCAGACTTTTCCAGGTACCTGAATGAAACTCCTAACCCCTCTCTCCCTGCCTGCATCTCACGCCTTCTCCTAAGGTAACATAACATGAAAAAGGTACAGATTTAATTTTTAAAACGTTAGAAAGACCACGTACGACCCTTACATTCTCACATTTCTGACCCCCAAGCACACGAAAGAACCGAGCGTAAAAGGCTGTATTGAGATTTGAAAAGTCTAGGAATTAAGTGTGAACTTCTGCATAGTTGCCTGTTAAAAACTCCAAAGTTCGTATAAATAACCAACCTTGCAGAAGTGAGAAATAGGAGTCGGCCGCGTTCTTCATCATTTCTGGGCTGCAGCTCAGATCGGTGAACAGCTCCAGCAGCCTCGCCCTGGAGGACCGCAGGTCGCTTGCACGAGACAGAGAGAGGCGAGGTGAGCAAGCCAAGTATCCACGCGGGCGTGGCCTCGGCACTTCACTTGCAAGTTTTAAAACAATATGCACACACACACACCCCCTCCTCTAAGGTATTACTAAGTACAAAGAAATAAATTTAATCAGGACTAATACTGGAAGTAACCGAAATTCCTAGTAACAGTTGTTTTAAAAGTTAGGCTGAAATGGCCTCTATCCAATTAAAGGGGCAAATCATGGGTATAACGTATAATAAAAATACACAGCAAGTTTTAATTTAAAAAATTAAGCAAATATAGCACTTACGATGGAAGGAAGGAATTAAGAATGAGTAAACTAAACCGGCTAGCTCACAATAAAATTTCAAAACATGGAAGTTGAACATGTTTGTGCATGATTTTAGTTACCTTCTTGAAATTTCAAAATTTGACGTTGTATCAAAATATTTTGTTAAGTAAAATAGCCATATATTAAAAATGAAATCATATTCTATAGTGCAATATACACATAAAGAATATGTAAAAAAAATGTGGCCGTTAGACATTTTAAAACATCTCCCTTCTTTTACTTCTGTGTAGCAATAAATGTTGCATATCCACTGTTTCCTTTGAAATTCTTTTCTCCTTTGATTCCAGTAACTCCAGGTTTTCCAGGTTCTCTTCGTATCTCTAAACGTCCCTTCTCCATTTTTTCCTATGTCCCCTTCTTATTCCCATCTCCAAAAATATTCATTCTCTGGCTTTCCACTCTTCTCTCTTCTGAGGTCTCATTCTATCGGTACAACTTTATATCCAATCTTAGATCTACATCATCAGCCCTAACTTGGTCTGGTTCTAGTTCTACATCTAATTTCAGCAGGCGACTCACTGAGTGAGAGTTCCAGAAATTGTATTACACTGACGGTGACTGAGACACTGTGCGTAAATGACAACAGAAAGACTGAATTTAAATTGTAAGCACCAAGAGAGCAGGGATATATGTATACCTAGAACTTAGTAGGTGCCTAGGACAAGGTACATACTCTTTGTTGGGTAAAAGAATTCTAATGTTTCAACTGCTTTCCGATGTAGAAGGGCCATAAGGCAGCACCACTGTTTAGGAGAGAGCACAGCTTAATCTTGCATGGTCGACATGGAGAGTGTACTCACTGGTAACAGCTCTAAGGAGGCTTATTCCAAGAAACTATAGCCCAACAATTACAGCTGACCAAACATGGGATGGGTGACTTTATGGATGTGCCATTTAGCTAGAAGCTGGAAAGAAGTAATTCCTGAACTAGGAGAAAATTTTAATTCTTAAGACCTAGTTGAGACTCAAATAGTTTGCTATCAATTTCCAGTAAGTACTCAGTCATTTGCAACCCAACTCATATCAAGCTATGGTCATCTTAAAACGACACAATCTGAGGAAAATGTATCTTAGAAATATCTGATGGAGGCTGTTCGTTTTATAGATGAGCAGTTAGACCCACAGAAGTTAAGAGGCTCGCCCAATGCTACAGATAAAACAGTTACACTGGGACCACCTTGAGGAGCCTAAGGTCCTGGCTGGGAGCTGCATCCTGTTCCTGGTCTTTGTGCAGCCCACAGCGTATTTTTTGTAACAATGAACACGGAAGAACAGGCAGCAGTGACTGCAGGTAGCCCACAAGGCCTAAAATATTTATTATTTAGCCCTTTAAAGAAAAAATTTGTCAACCTCTTGTCTAGATTAGTTAAGCCAGTGTTCCTACCTTTTGCTCCAATTACTTCTTTCCACAAAAAAGCAGAACTATCTTGATTCTCCTTTGCTGATACCATCAATATCTTGATGACCTAGGTTCTAGATCCCACACAGAATGAATCTCGATTTCAACTTCCCAGAGGAAATCAGCCAATCTGTCCAGTTGACTCCTCCTTTGAAATATCTCTTGCATCTCTCTCTTGTTCCAAACTGCTCTAGGACAACGGTTTTCCTGGTAGAAATGACTTGTCTTCTACGTTTTTACTATCTAAATCAGCAATCAGCAAACTCTTCCTGTAAAGGGTCTGAAAGTAAGGACTTTAAGGTTTCTGGGTCATAAGTCTCTATTGGAACAGCTCAACTCTGCTGCTGTAGAAGAAAGAAGGCAAAGGAAGCCTTAAAGGTATGTAAATAAATGTGGGTGAAGTGGCTGTGTTCCACTATTTATAAAAACAAGCACTGGGCCCTAGCTGGTGTGGCTCCGTGGATTGAGTGCCGACCTGCAAAGCAAAGGGTCACCAGTTCAATTCCCGATCCGGGCACCTGCCTGGGTCGCAGGCCAGGTCCCCAGTTCAGGGTGCGCGAGAGGCAACCACACACTCGTGTTTCTCTCCCTTTTTCTTCCTCCCTTCCCCCACTCTAAAAATAAATAAATAAAATCTTTAAAAACAAAACAAAACAAACAAAAAGCACCAGGCCAATCCTGCTGAACATAGTTGGCCAACCCCTGATCTAAGCTATACAATATTTTTAAACTCCTTTCTCCTATACAAACACCCTGAGGTCTAGTCAGGTCCTAGGGTAATGAACTTCCTATCTAGCCAATTAATAATGCCCATAGGTAACTTCGTGGAGTCTCTTGTACCACTTTAATATATGCAATAGCTTACCTCGTTCACTGTGATTGCTTTAACCTCCCTGACACTCACTGACCTAAAATTCAGGACACTGGCCTGATGCCTGCCAATGTTTAAGTCATCTATAATTTAACTCTTCATGTCATTTTTAAGTTTGTAAGGAGTCTGAGGTTAGGGACAGTGTGTTACATCCTTCTGTACTGCCCATGAGGCCTAAATCAGTACCTTGTCTCCAAGGGTGGCTCAGACAATACCTGTTCTAAAACTTACCTGCAAATTTTTGAAGCAGCAGGACCAGTGACTACCTCATAGTAGTTAAAAGAAACAGGAGCAGTGGCTTTTAAGGGGTTCCTGTGAAACCAATGTGTCATTTTTCTCTAGACGTTTCCTAGCAACAAAAAAAAAAATGTATAAAAGTTAAACAAACAACATAAACAGTATAAAAATAATCACTTTTAAAATAAAATTTTACTACAGGATATATACATTTTTACTATATAACACATATGTATATAAATAAAATGCTTCATTGCTCTAAGTCAATCTTGTTTCATCTATTTAATAGTAGTATTTGTATAGATCAGGCCTACTTATAGGACATTTGCCCACAATAACTGCAATGTTAAATATACCGAAGCCACAGTGTTTCAACCTTAACGTACATAAAAATCACCAGCCATGGGGTGTCTTGTTAAAATGTAGGTTCTAATTAACAGCCTAGGGTGCGGACCTAAACTGCTGATGCTGCTGGTCCCCAAACTACACTTTCGAGTAGCAAAATACCACATTTTGGTTGGACTGCTGCAAGCAAGAAGGGCGCAGGCTGGGTAAAAGTAATCTCCAAAACAGGTTCAAGTGGTGTCCTTATTTAGACTGCTAAGGTTATTTGAGAGAAATAGGCTTTAAATTAAGTATATTTCCCACATGATACTGACTGGTTATAACATGTATTCTATAATAAATATACTTTCCAACAATAACTAATAAGAATCAATATTTTCATAATTAAAAAAAGATACTTGGTCAATAACTTCTATCCCTAAAACTAAAAAATGTGAAAAACTACATAAGTAAAATGCCAACCAAAAAAAAAAAATTAAGTTCCATACTTTTTAGGTTAAAAAAAAAAAAGGGTGTATGTCATTTGCCTAAAAGTCCTTGAAGGCAGATAGTGCAGATTTTACAGGAAGGTCTAGCTGAAGACTTATATATGGCAATTAGATTCCAGGAAGTAATATACAAGAAATTCTGATAAGATTTATTAATCTGAAGGCATTGCACAAAGCTGTCGATCAATTTTTCATAATTGGGGGAAAAAACCGTGGGCTGCACAGGGTATGAAATATCTACTTTTAGCACCTCCCTTCCGCTATTTAATTATTCATGACAATACCGGTTTTGGAGAGCACCAGATACGTAATGAAGAGAAAAACGCATTGTGCTCTCAGTAAGACACTTGACAAGTTCATTTAACAAGTCTTTTAAAAAATACACATACACTCTTCTAAACATCCACCATGCAAACCACCTTTAATAACCTCAGTAAACTAACACAGCACCTAAGTACATATAAATCAAGCCTTCTGGAGAAAAGTGGCACTCAATGCACTGAATTTCGTGGCTGCAAATTTTCTTCAAATACTCTTTTAAAGCGGCCTCCCACGTCCTGGATGAAATTGTCCGAAGTCGTGTGTCTCTTTGTACTGTATTCCCTGCCCTAACTTTACCTTTCTGAGACCCGCCACTCCAGTTTCCAGGAATTCGCAAGGCAAGGTAGAGGGACGCCACACCCACCCGCAGGTGCGAAGGGACCTTTAGAGATCGAGGCTGCCACCTAACCGCCTCCAAAGGAGGACTCGATTACTGATCAAGGACCCCCACTCCGAAGCCCCTGGATCCGCGGGGGGAGCCCACCTGAGCGGCGCCCCGCGCTTGGAGTGTCCACTTCCTGTTTACCACCAGGCTCTTCCTCCGGTGCCCATCCCGTTCCAGGCAGCGGGTGGCTACCTGCGCAGGCGCCAGCCCTAGCGCGCCCTCTTTCCCAACATGCATTTTTCTGGAAAGCCGACACTATCCACCCGGGAGGGACCGACCGATGACTGCCAAACAAACCCGTTTAGCTGGAAGCCCCCCAAAGCTGGTGGAGACGAGGGCAAAGGGATTCCGCGAATCTAACTGTTAATACTATTGATTCGCGAGGTCAAAATGGATTTCCTCTCTTTATTTGGTTTCAAGGTATTTAAAAGAGACTTTTGGGGATCACTATCCGGGAGTCTACGGAGACTGTGTAAAAGGTGCATAATAGGGGGTGACCCCGTGGCCTGGGACTCCAGGGAAGGGACAAGAGTAGGGATATTACTGGGAAACGACCATCCTCTTGACATACTCACCCGATTTCTCGTAGTCTGGACTCAGTCTTCCTAAGGGAAGAAAGGCTGTGCCCAAGTCGGCAGGCGAGAAAGGGAGGGAGGCGGGGAACCGGCTACTGAGCCAGACCGACGCGGAACCGGGCCTGCGCCGAGCCGGGGTCACGTGACCCGGCGGCCATGACAGCTACCGAGGCGGCAGCGCTGGCCGCTGGGGGGCGGAGGCTGCCGCGTTGTCGCAGCCCCTTCCGATCGCGCTGTTCCCGGGCCCTTTCCTAGCTGCTCCGCCCTAGTCTTTCCTCTGGAGCTGCAGTCTCTGGTCCCGAGAGGAAGAGCGGAGGTGGTCCGGTCACCCCAGCCGAGAAAGATGCTGCAGTAGCACCACCGCCGCTGGGGGACCGGGGCGGCCTCAACCTAACGCGGGGCGGGGCCTCGGGGGCGGGGCCGCGGCGGGGCGGCCGCCTCCGAGCCGCAAAGTTTGGCTGTGGCGGCAAATGGGCTTGGGCGGCTCCTCGGCGGGTGGCGGTGGTGGCCGTAGCGGTTTCTCCTGGCCCTGTTAATGTCGGGGCCAGGCCCGGGGAGGATGGCGCCCTAGAGCCCGGCCTCGCTGGGGTAGGGGCGGGAGGGGACGGGGCGGGGACCGGCCATGTCGGAGGTGACCCGGAGTCTGCTGCAGCGCTGGGGCGCCAGTTTTAGGAGAGGCGCCGACTTCGACTCTTGGGGCCAGCTGGTGGAAGCGATAGACGAGTATCAGATGTGAGTGACTAACGGCCGGCGCGGGCCGGACGGGCTCCAGTGGGCCGCCTCCCCTTCGTTTCTGTCGGTATCGCTCATCCATGTCTCCGCAGCCAAGGCTTCTCAGGGTGGGGCCCCGTGGGCACTCGGGCTGAGATCGCCCCGGCCCCGGAGAGGCTGCCCCAGAGACCCGAGCTCCGGGCTCCCTCGCCCTCCTTCCCCCTCCGCCTCCAGCGGGCCAGTTCCATTCAACAGGTAGCCCTTCTTTCCCGGGGCGCCAGCCCCATCAGGCTACCTACTGAGTTCTTGCCACCGTTTTAGGGGTTCCCCGCTCTGCGGTCAGTTTCCTTTCCTCCTTTCCTCCGCCTCCCAGGTTGCCGCCCCTCAACTTCTCTTTTAGGATCTCGGGGGAAAGACTTGAGTGTTCTCCGCCCACGTTCCAGGGATGGGTGGCTCTGTGCCTGGTGCCATCCTCCCATGTGTAGGACAGGAGGCACCTAACCGGTGGCGATCGCGGGGAGGGGGTGCTCGCGGGAAAGAGCGAGGCCAGAGGTGCCCCGCCAGCCCAAAGAAGGGTCCCCCCCGTGCCCCTTCTCCACCCCTCTTTCTGGTGAGCCGTGTTTTTTCCCAATCCACTTCGGGTCTGTTTCGGTTTCTGGGGCTGTTATTTGCTAGGCAGTGTGGGTCCCACCCACCCCCTCGCTCGGCTGCCTTGGGTGGAGTCCGCGCAGGATGTGAGCAGAAGAGAGCAAAATGTGAATTAATAGACCACGCACGGGAGCCACCACTCCCTCCTCGGATCCCTCCTCCTTTTCCTGTGTATAATGTATAGCCGCTGGGTGCGTGTGAGGACCAGTTTCTTTGATCAGCCCAAGTCCGATTTTTTCGCCTCTCTGATTCCCACCCCCCACCCTCCAAAAAAACTTAAGGGATTTTTTTTTAAATTAAAAGACAACATTTATGTACACATAAGACCTCACTTAGATTCTTGCACATTTTTCTGGAAGTAACTACCTACTAAAATGCTATTGTTTGCAAAATGTTGTCATTAATTACTTGTGGGTTAAAGCAAGTTATTGTTTGAGGCTTTAACGAATATGAAACCATGTGTGAGTAAATTGTTCTCCCCCTCAATGTCTTCTGGGAAGAATACAACGATTGGTACTTAGAGGATCTAAATTCTTTGTCCTTTCTCAACAGTAGTTATTTGTTTTTATCAGACCATTAAGATCATTGAAATGTGTAGATGTTCTGTATCCCATCTTACTGACTTTGAGTTGCCTGTAGTTCCAAAAGGCCCTGAAAACAGCCCTGCTTTGGGCCATTTTGCCATGTGTAAAAATTACTATCATTTGATTTGCACTTTGACTAGCTATCACTTGCTCTTGCAACTACTCAGTGAGCATACTCTTCTCATTTTACAAGTTGAGGAAGCAGAAGCTCAGGTTAAACAGATTACCTCGGGTCACACAACTATACCACTGAAATCTGAGGGTTGGTTTTTTTTTTAATTCCATATCCTATTTGCTCTACTACATAGTGCTTAAGACACTTTATTTAAGGTACGCCGTGTATGTGAATTGGACAGATTAGATTTCCTTCATTACCAAAGAGCATGTCTTTCCATACCGAAGCCAGTTAGACAGTGAGCACCTACATGTACTCGTTCTGTGTTAACGAAAATTGCATACCCTGAAATATAAAGCCTCTCACTTGTGATGTGGTGGGACTTAGCAGCTGTTGGCATTTAGCAGCAGACCTCACAATGGAAAGTGAAGAATACCGTGTCCGATTGAAATTGCAAAGGAAAAAGGAGCATGCAAGCTGTTTAGCTAGAACTGAGTAATAGGCACATACAAATCTATTGTTGGACCTCAGTACTAATTTTTGAACTTCATCATGTAGAGTACTCAAATTTTAAAAACCATCAGTGTCAAATCTGAATAGAAATGTGTAATTATTGGCTTAAGTTTTGTAAACATGCAGGTTACATATAAAATGAGGTTGAATTTAAAATTCATATATTCAAAAATGAAGGCAGGGTGTCTTTTTCATTCGAATTATCTGGGAGGAAAGACTGCAGAAAAGACCATTTGGGAGCTATGAAGTGATGTAAAAAAGAACTAACAAGATGTAGTCACTGGATACTGGGAGTGAAGAAGGAGGAAGAGTCTAGGATGACTAGCATTTCTAGTGGAGTAGGCAGCAATGTCTTTATGGTCATGGGACGTATAGGATCCAGTTTCTGGCAGGGGAGACTTGTGGCAGAAATGAGCATGTTTAACATTATCATAATGTAAGATACTGTAGCTTAAGCAATTTCATCATGCAACAAGTGAGAGCTAGGGATATAAACACCATTAAGATTTGATGTCCCCCATCAAAGCACTAATTGCCTAATTGGAGGATTTTAGTGTTAATTGGGTGTTGCTCTTCCAGAAGTGTGAACAGTAGTGCTACCACATTGCTTGCTGTTTTTCTGGAACCCTCTTCCCCCATTATCTGCCTGGGTCACTTGGCCACCTCCTTCAGGTCTTTGTTCAAACAGTATCTTCTCAAGGAGGCACTCCTTGGCAACGCTATTGGGAACTGCAAAGCCTGCCTCCCGCCCCGCCCCCTCTGCTCAGTCTTGCATATCCTACCGCACTGGTCCTGCTTATTTTTTTCCCATTGTATTGATCACCATCTAAAATACAATAGGTTTTTTTTATATTCATTTAGTGCATTGTCTCTCTCCCCACTTGAATGTAAGCTCTTTGAGGGCAGGGTATCTGAAGTGTGCTTAGTGTGCAGAGTAGTCTAGGCTAGCGCTAAATAATTACTTATTTAGATATTATATGCTCACTGTATTCTGTTGAATGGATGGATTCAGTAGTGTGCTGTGGGAACATTAAGGAGTTGATGCCAACATACTGTTGGCAGATTTAAACAAATGATGGCAAAAACAAAACTGCTACCCAAAATAAACATGGTCAATAAAAACAGCTCCATTTGGCAAACCACCTCTTTCAGCCGCCTGGGGATGCACGGCCCATAACATATGGTAGAGTGGTGTGGAGTCTTGCTCACAGTCACGTGTTTTACAGCTCAGTCCTGCAGTATTAATCCTGCACGTGGATGCTCGATAAACAGTTCAGTGAATGGCGGCGTCCGAAGCCTGACTGATACGTGCTGTTGATGGTCCTTACGGTGCTTCTGTCAGTGCTCCTCTCAGTGCCGTCCACAGGCCTGCGCTCGTCTGCAACGGGGAAAGTCGAGGAGTTGAGACTTAAGACTTAGAAACCACAGAGCAACTTGACATGCGCACAACAGTTTTTATTGTATTTTATTAAAATATGAGTCTGGAACAGATTGGGGGGTGGGTAGAGCTAGTCTGTCACTGTAGATACTCGAGAAGTGCTGATTTTTTGTCACGATTGCTGTCAGTCAACGACTTGTTTATGTGTTTCAAGTATACTTAAAATTCCGCCTTGAGAATAGTCCTGTTTTATCTATAGGTAGCCTTGTAAGGGGAGGTGATTCTCTAGAGGAGAATACTTGATAGGTTTTCCACCTCTGCTAATAGAATGGCGACTGGGTGTGGATTTGCCCTCAGTGGACATAGTCATGTCTCACTTTGCCTTCCAGTGGTACAGTCATTTATGGATTTAGAAATCTTTTTTTGCCTAGGTTTTTAAGACAGTTTTTAAAAATTATTGAGGTATAATTTATATACCATGAATTCACCCATTTTACATATACAATTGAATGAATTTTTAGTAAGTTTACCAAGTTGAGTAACCATCACTACAATTAAATTTTTGTACATTTCCATCACCATGAAGAGACCCTTTGTGCCCATCTGTAGTCACTTTATGTTCCCATTCAAGCCCCAGGCAATCGCTAATCTATATTCTCTTTCTAAAGATTTGTCCTTTCTGAACAGTTCATGTGAATTGAATCATATAATATGTGATCTTGGTGGCTTCTTTGATTGAATATAATATTTTTGAGATTCATCCTATATCACTACTTCATTCTTCTTTATGGCCAAATAATATTCCCCTGAATGGATAGACGCCTTTGTGTGTACCCATTCATCAATGGGCAGATATTTTGGGTGTTCTTACTTTGGAGCTGTTAGGCATAATGCAGATGGCTGTAAACATTACTGAACAGATTCTTTTTTGGGCGTGTGAACATGTGATTAATTGCTTTGGGAATATACCTAGGATTTTGACATTGCTGGGTTATATAGCAACTTTATGTTTAACTTTTTAAGGAATTGCCAAACTGATTGCCACAGTGACTGTACCATTTTACATTCCTACCAGTAATAGGCGAGGGTTCCAATCTTTCCACATCCTTGCTTACACCTGTTATTTTTTCTCCTTTTAAAAATTATACCCCTCTAGTGGGTGTGATATGGTATCTCATTATGGTTCTGATCTGTATTTCCCTGATGACTAATGATATGATATGCATGTGCATATTGGCCATTTTTAAAACTTCTTTGGAGAAATGTCTGTTAGTCCTTTGCCCATTTTTACATGGAATTGTTTGTCTTTTTATTGCTTAGTTAAAAGCCAGTCGTTTGGTCTTTGCTGTCTCAGGAATCGCATTGGACTATTCCTGCTGAGTTGTACCAGTAATGCCGCTCTGTCCTTGAAAATTCACCCGAGACCTTGTTGCTGTTTTTAATTTTGATGATGATCGGGCACATGATGATTCTCATGTCTGATTGATGAGGTTTTCTTTCTTCTCCATGAAAAATGTTTTCAAAAGTTTAATATGATTGCGTATTACCACTTTGGCGTGGCTGTGATTTGGAGTAATCTTATCAGCAAATTAATGAGAGACTGGTAAAGTTGGTGCTGGTGTTGGTGGTCCCTGGAGGTGTTTACGCAGAATCTGGACAACTGCTTGCTGGCCGGTTTCGGAAGAAATGTATGCTCGCTAACGAAAGTTGGATTAGGGGCCATTTGAGATTCTTTCCAGCTCTCAGTTTTTGTTTTTACTGCCGAGAGCTGAAATTTGTTCCAGGGAAATGGTATGGAAAGTGTATTTTATTTTCATTGTCATTGGATAAAGATTTTGATTCAAACGACCTATACTTTGAAAATAGGACATAGTAGTATTGTACTTCACTGTCTGATTTTTTTTAAAGATTGAAATTGTTTCACCTTGTTGCATCGAGATAGTTTGCCTTCCTTCAATTCTAAAGAACGTTTCTTTTTCTTGTTACAGATTAGCAAGACATCTACAAAAAGAGGCCCAAGCTCAACACAACAATTCTGAATTCACAGAAGAACAAAAGGTACCATGAGAGATAATTGCCAGATACGTCAAATTCCAGATGAAAAGAGTTCTGTCTTTCGATTGCATTAAGCCAAAACAACAAAAACTGTTACTCTTAAGTAGGAAGAATGATACTGATTATGCTTTGCCAAACAGTTAAGTGATCTGGTAGAGACACCACATGATTTACCACTTAATGAATTTCTCACTTCATGAATTTCCTTACTTAGCCATTCAGACTTGAACTTTAGTGAAGACGGTCCACACTTTGGTTGGAGGGTGGGGAAGTCCAGAGACTGGAGTTTGATTATGAGTCGTTGCACCTACCTCAATTCTTATTTTTAACTCAGCTTAACTTCTTCTCTACCTCTTCTCAAAATAACATAACCCCCCCCCCCCAAAAAAAAAGCCACCAGTAGAAAAAATAAGTTCAAGAATTTGGCGTAAGACTCCCGTCAGCAAAGCAAATGCATAAGATTGCAGAATGTTTCAGTGGTGCCCTTTCTCCTTGAATTAAAATTTTGTGTCAGGTTATTCCTTATACTGTTGGAGATGATGAAAAGTGCGATACTTTAAGAAGCTTTACTTTAAAGAGCGAGAAGAAACAATTCCCATTGTTTCCTGGCTCAGAGTAGCTAATGTAAAATCAAATTTTAGTCTTGTAGATAATGGAAAAAAAAATTGTATCAGTTTTTCCCACATCTCTTAAGAAAACACATTGTGAAAACTCTGGTGACTCAATTTGCTTTAATTCTTTTTTTACCCAAGGAGTGGGAGTGAATTTCTTTGCAGACTTTTTAAGTAAGCTGAAACAAATATATTTTGGTCCTTGGGCCTGTGTTCATTTGACTGTTATTCATAGGAGTTTGGAAAGAAAAAAAAACCCAAAGATTTGGGTTAGCCATATTTCTTACACAGTTAGTATATTTGCATTTTTAAAATATTTAAGATCTACATGATCTAATGTACTTTTTTGTGTTGAAAAAGAAAATGACGCATTGCTACAATTTAAAAGTCTATTGTTTTCTTTTCCTTAATAATTACTAATACCTACAATAGGTTTAGGATATTTAGGATTTGAGCCCTGGAAAATAATTACCATAGAGGAAGTGATTGCTTTGCTTAAGGAAAGGAACAAAGACTATGTGTTCTGTCACCTCTATGAAGTGTGTTATGAATATGGAAACAAAATGAAAGCTTAGGGAATTAGAAAAGTTTAATGACCCCCATATTTTAATGACTTATTTGCCTTTAGTTACTAATATTTTTTGGTCTCCAACATCTGTTTCTTAGGTATAAATCTATGAGCAATGTGACCTCAAATAGAGAGTGATTTGACTGAAAACTTTAAATTTTAAAATATGCCATCAAGAAATGATCTTTGTCATATGATGATGATTAGACTACTGAGAAAAAGTTAACTTTTTCTTAATTCTTAAAAACTAAGGTAGAAGCTGGTGTTTGATCCTCCTGTTTGTTTATTCCTTGTTTATGGCTGTCCTAGGAGCCGCCTGTTTTTCTTCAGCTAACAGACCCGCAGATCTTACACTTGATGAGGCACAGGGGGCCCCGCGACCAGAGCGAGGAGCCCCGAGCTGGAGTCAGACGACATGGTCTTACACACCAGCTCTCTCCTCTGGGCCTTGATTTCCCTGTGTATAAAAGAAGGAATTAAAAATAGAAAACAGAAAAAGAAATGAGGGATTAGATTATCCTAAATGACCCTAAAATCCCTGAACCCTCTAATGCCCTCTACCTTTGAAGTATTCCGTACCTCCTCCTTTCCTGGAGGCCTAATTTCTGAGGTATTTCTTACTTATAAGACCTACCTAGGGGCATTTGTGGCTGCCAGTTGTGACTGCAGAGAAGGCTTGTGCCTGCCTGCCTAGTCCTTGGGCTTGGGGAAGGACCCCCGAGTCACTCCGTATGACATTATTAATATAAGGCACGTTGTTTCCATTACAAACTCAAACCTCCTTACAAATACAGGTGAAACATTCACAACAGGTCAGAAAACTCATGACACAGAGGCCTTATTTGGATGTCACATACGGGAAAGTTCCTAAGTGATTAGAAAACTACAGGTTTCCAGGTGTGCTCTGGAGAACACTGGCTTGAAAAATGGGCAGACGCTCTGTGAACAGAGAGTTCGGGACTTACCAGAGCTTGTAATATGCTAATATGTGTACATTGGGGTTTTTTTCTCCTTTTTATAATTTTTTGTTTTATTTTTTATTTTAATTTTTGTATGTTGAGTTTGAAAGAGTTTGGGTAATGGAGTATTTCTCACATTTGTTTGCTTTTGGAAGTCCCCCTCCCTTTGTTGAATATTTCGTTGGGCCTAGTGTTCTGAAGGACACTGTTATGGGAAATTTTGAAACCAACTGTTAGGTCTGCAAAATTAATCGAATGCTAGACCTGGCACATAAGCCAAAGTAGGAGATTGTGTTTTCCTCAAAAGAGGAATATGGAGAATGTTCCTGATATTATTCTAAACAACATTGTTCTTTGGTTTTTATTTTGAATTATATTTTTATGCTTTTACTATTTTCACTGTTTTTGTAGCAGTGAGAAATTTGATAATTATGGCAATCTTTCAGTAGTTCGTGGGACTTTAAAAGAAGGTTTTTTAAAACCAACCATATTTCTAAAATACTTTCTTTATGAAGCTCTTTGCTGTATAGCTCACAAGTGAACTTTCAAAAATAGTTGATGAATAAGTGCTTTGTCATTAATCTTAGGCTATTGACGTTTCTTCATATACAATATGATTATTCTTTTAAGGTAAGAGAAATCGTAATTTTTGAGAGAATAGCTTATATACATCTTCATGATATTTATATTAAGTTTAAAGGACTCTAAAGCAAAACAACTGATCTCTCCCAGGGGTGTATAACCCGTGGCCCGCAGGCCACATGCGGCCCAGGATGGCTGTGAGTGCGGCCCATCAGAAAATCCTAAACTTACTTAAAACCTTCTTTTTGCTCATCAGCTTTCATTAGTGTTTGTATATCTAATTTGTGGCCCAAGACAACTCTTCTTCCAATTTGGCCCAGAGACTCCAGGAGATTGAACACCCCTGCCAGAACTTGACTAATTGGTGCTAAAAAATAGGCATAGGTTCTTTTCTTTTTTTTTTTTTTTAATTTTTTTTTAAAGATTTCATTTATTTATTTTTAGAGAGAGAGGAAGAGAGAGAAACATCAATGTGTCGTTGCTTCTTGTGCGTCCCGTACTGGGGACCTGGCCCACAACCCAGGCATGTGCCCTGACTGGGAATTAAACCGGTGACTCTTTGGTTCACAGGCTGGTGCTCAATCCACTGAGCCATGCAGGGCAGGGCTGTTTTTTATTTTTTTTCAACCTGATTTAGAAAGTTTCAGAGGCAAAAGAAGGACCCTTGGAGGCTAGGGGAGGGAGGCACAGGTACCGTGCCTGAGGGAAGAAGGGGGAGGGAAAGGGGCTGGCTGCTCCCCGCCCAGGGGGAGCCCAGCTGGGTCCTGCGTCTCGATAGGGGGATTTTCTATTCATAATATTCTCAGGTTTCTTGTGGAAAGTTAAAAAAAATTATGATTTTTATTTGAGCCTCCCTCATGATTAGTTTACTTAACTTCCAATTCTCAATAGTTTTGTCATAACAATGACTGGATTTAGTAGCCAAAGAGTAGCTGCCAAAAGCTTTCATTCCATTAAATTCCCTACTTTGCTCCAGTAGATTTGCTCGTGTAAGTTTCTGGGCAGAATAGAAGAATATTTTGCCTAATGATGCTTAGAAAGTCTTTCCCGGTTTTGAGTCGAATGTGTTGATAATGATAACTCGAGGGCTATATGCTTGTTTTCCACTTTTTGGGTCTCCCCTTTCTGCTGCCTCCCCGCCCTTCCTCCCTTCCCTGTCCCCACCCCGCACTAGGGAGGAGGAGACTGGTTATTTTAAGGCTAAAAAACTGAATCTGGATTGAGACTATACTACTTGAACTATGTGTATTTTTAAAACCTATGTAAACTGATAGGTTTTAGTCACATTAATTTAGCTCATTAATTGTCTAATTCTTATTCCATCTTTTTATTTAACTGCTCTTTTTGAGTTGTCAATTTCCCTAGCAATGATTAAGTAAAATAGCCAGGATTCCGAAAATGAGAACATTTTCCATTTCTGTACCATATTAGGCAGGAACAATTAATTTGAATGAAGCGCCGATAGTTTAAATCTTTCTAAAATTAAACTTCTGTTACCTTCAGTGCTGAGTCTTAATGTGCACTAGTTGATAGTACTTATGTTGTACTCTGGCCTAAGTGACCTTGTGCTTCTCAGTCGTTTTGTTTCTAAGAAAGGTAAAACAATTACAGTAGCAAATGCTTAATTTTGACATCAATAAATGCTACATGTTTTAAAAGTCATTGCGACATCTGAAAATGATAGCTTTTCCCTCCTTTTTTAATACTGATGTTGGGTGTGGTCCCTTAAAATAGTTATGAATAATGCCTGTTGGTCTGTTGCCATGGTTCAGTAGATTGCGTATAAAAAGCTGTTGCTTCTGCTTAACTTGAAGTAATGTTTAATTTTAAAATAGGTTTTTAGTGGAGTCATAGTTGTAAAACTACATTTTATCCTAAAAGTTAAAATCATCAAATCAAATGGATTTTATAGTAAAGGAAAAGAAGTTAACTAATATCCTCAAAGACTTAACTGATTGATAGATCTCAATACAGACAAAATCCTTTTTAAAAATTACTTTTGAAAGAATATAAAAATGTATGGCCCAATGATATTAAAGTAAATGTATTGCTTTGTTATATATTGCTTCTGTATAGAAAGAATTGACGTCTAGGGCAAGTTACTTAACCTCTCTTCAATTTTCACATCTATAAAAAGGTTGCATTTAATTGATAGAATTCTAGTGAGGATCAAATGGATTGATGTTTGTAAATCCCTAAGGAGAGCCCGTCATTCAGTAAGTGCTCTGTAGTTGTTAGCCATTACTCTTATTACATTATTATATTTAGGTTTAAAATTATTTATTTTTTCCAGAGTTGAGTGATATACTTGAATAACAATGATTTGGGGGATATTAGATTTTATGTAGAAAAGATTCAGTGTTTCCCATGCAACAGCTATTTGAGAGGGTAAAGAAACCTGAGTATCCTGAGTCCTTTTGCACTTAATATACTTATTAATTTTTATTTTTAAAAAGATTTTATTTACTTTTAGAGAGAGGGGAAGGGAGGGAGAAAGAAAGGGAGAGAAACATCAGTGTGTGAGAGGTATAGTGATCGGTTGCCTCTCACATGGCTCCAACTGGGGACCTGGCCTGCAGCCCTGTGCCCTGACTAGGAGCTGAACCAGCGACCTTTCAGATCGCAGGCCGGTGCTCCGTCCACCAAGCCACACCAGACAGGATTTTTACTTAATATATTTAAGTGGAATCTTGAAATGTCAACTTCAGAATAAAATAGGGTGTTTTCTAAACTTTTCTATGGGGATGAAAAAGCATTTTTAGATTGTGGAGATAATTACATATTGTTTCTCATGCCTTAGCCAAGAGTCGTCCTACTTTGCTCGGTAGTGGTTTCTTTTGTGAGTGGCTCTGCTGGCCTTTCACTGCAACAAGGCCCACTAGCCTGAGTGCTGGGGCCAGGATGATGCTTTCTACTGCTCTTTGCTCCTCATTTATCTTGCAAAGAAAATTGATAAAGAGAAAACCACCAACTCCAACTTACTGAGTCATCTGTACATGTAGAAAAACATGTCATTTGTTTTCAGAATATTTGATTGTGAAGGCCTTGCAAATGTTGTACAAAGACACTTTTACGGCCTGGATTGATTCCTAATAAAAACTTAAGAAATGTCTTAGGGAGAACTTGAAAGTCTGGGTGGGCATAATTCAGCTGCCTGCCCTCACAGGTATTTCTTCTGTGGGTCCCCTCCTTTTCGTATCCAGCCCAGTCATTCATGTTCTTGTTCCTCACCATTCCTGGACAGTGGAAATAACCTAATTGATCTTACCTTTGATCTTTTACCTTTTCTTCTCCAACCTATGAATACTGTTGTCACAACAATCTTCTTAAGCAAACCTGATATTCATTCTGTGTTCAAAACTCTTCTGTGTAATTTACTGCCAAAGTAATACCAGATTCCTCAGTTAGTCCTTGAAGGTCCTCTATAGAATGACCCCTGTCCCCAACATACACACATTTTGTATTTCCAACCTATATTCAGTATGGGACAACTGAAACATGACAATTTTCTAAACTTTTTAGTTTTCAAAATCCTTCCAGTCGCTGGAAATTGATTCCCAGCACATAGCCTGGTCCCATTTCTTCAGAACATACAATGGCTTACTTGGCTGAATCTTATGGAATCAAGTGTCTCTTCTTTATATGACAGTGATTCTGTCCACGTCTTATCTTTCATAACAGAACCTGAGCTTATTAAAGGCAAGGACTATGCCTTATTACTTATGTCCATTTTATAGCTCATATTATGTAACACAGATCTGACTGTAAAACTTGCCACTGTTACCACAAGTATTAATTTCGCTTAGTATTGCCTGTGTTTTTAATTAAATAAGTCACAATTGGACTTACTCAAAGTTAAATGTTACCATTATGTTAACTTTCAGATATTTTTAAAACTTTTGGTGAATTTCATGCTTTATGGAAAAGAAAAGGCAGAACTTGTGAGGGAAGATGTTGGAAGTCTTTTCCGTTGCCCTTTAAATCATATCATAAAGCTATTGTCGAAGTAAACTTGATTTCAAACTGGTGTGGCACATTAGGTCAGAAGGGAATATATAGCCACCTTCTCTCCCTTATCCAGCCATTAGCTTCCTGTTTCTCTTCTTTAAAATCTGCAAGATGCTAAAAAGAAATATAATTTATTTGAAAAAATATACATCCTGTATCAATAAAAATTAACTTGATGATTTTGACAACTAACAGTTATATTTAGTATTTATAGCTTTTTCTTTTTTTCTGCAGAGAACAATAGGCAAAATTGCAACATGCTTGGAATTACGAAGTGCTGCTTTACAGGTAAATAGGCTTTTTCCCTTCCTTCTGATATAAGGAAACCACCAACTATTAGGTCTGCAGAATTAAGGAAAAGGAATTATTGTGAACTATTCTGATAAAACATTAGGCATGCCTGCTAAAAGCAGTGTTGTCTCAGAAGGCTTTTATAACCATCGGAATCCATGAGTTAGGCTCACATTAGAAGATTTAGTTCACAGTTTATAAACTAGAAATAAAAGATATAACTTTAATTTTTTTCTGTTATTAGCAGTCTGAATGTCCCCAAAATACAACAACAAACAAAAATCAGTTTCACATTTTTCATTGTCTCCTTTGAAAGCAAGAAATAGATTCATTTATTTTGGCTACTTTTTTGACTGTTGAGTTCTCGCCACTTAAAGGATGTAGGGTAGAGTGAAATCTTCCTAATAAACAGATGTAATATGCATATTTTAAATTTAGTCCACACAGTCGCAAGAAGAATTTAAACTGGAGGACCTGAAGAAGCTAGAGCCAAGTAAGTTTTATTATATATTTTTGGGGGATAGTCCTTTCAAAAAGTATTTATTATAGCTCTTAAGATTCGTTAGCCGAAGTGCTTATTTGATTAAGCTCTGTCACTGTCTGGTCCTGGGTGACTTTTTTATGCTTTTATAAAAAGAGACCCTGTGCCCATTGTCACTTGCCCATTGCCCCCCAGTCCCCAGCTCCCAGCCCAAAGCAAGCCACTCACCTACGGCCTGTCTCTGGACTTCCCTGTGGGGACACCGCGCGGCAGTGGCCTCTGGCAATAGGTGGTCTTTCGTGACAGCCTGTTATTTTAAGAAAAGTACATGGGGGGCTTTTATGGTTATATAATGTTTCATATGAAAATTACAATGTTCAGTTTTTTAATGATATGCATAATTAGGATTTTGGCTCTTTATTTGGTCACTTTTTCCATTAGTTTTGTTTGTTTTTTTTTTCAATTTGTCTCCAAATACAATTTTAAAATTGAATAGATATGTTGTAGGGTGACTATAAACCACTTATCCTTAGTTATTTACTACCTCTTCCTATAAACATGTCCATTCATTTCTCCTCTTGCCTCAAAGGATCGTTCATGGGTGATAGTGTTTGCCATCTTTTAGAGCAGCAGCCACCTGCAAAAAGCACACAGATAAACCCACTCAATGGCAATTTGTTAACTGACACTTGCCCATGACCTTACAGCTTCTAAATGCCAGACCTGGGTTTTGACCAGGGTTCTAAGTGACCCCTACAGCCCTGTTTCTTCCACCACACCCGGGCCGGTGCAAGGCTGGCGTCAGTCCTGAACGTCACAGTTCTCCCGTTCGAGCTCCGAGAGGCTCTGGGTGCCGAGTGGAAGACTGAGCTTCTCTTTCTCGTGTTTTTGTTTGTTTTTATGTTTTTTAAGATTAGGAGTGAGAATGGAAAGGAAAGATAGATTATTGGGATTCATTCTGTTATGTTTTGAATTTATATAGTGCTTTTCATATAGACTTCTCCCATCTCTGTCTTTACATTTACTGTCTTGGTAGATGATTTTTATTTGCTGTTTGCTGTTGCCTCCATCAGTGGGTATCGCAGTCGGATATATGCTCTGTAATTTTTGTTTTATTAAAGTTAGGCACTTAGGACAATTATTTTACCAGAACTAATCATTTTCTACAAATTGGTATTTGCTATATGACAAGTTAAGGGCACTTAGACTCACCTCGGCCTCTGTTAAGACTGACTGTAACAAAAGGAAAACTAATGACTGCCTTTCAACATGTGGGACTTGGTTGTTTGCTTTTGCTAATGTATTTTCCCTTCATGGTTTTTTAAATCTCTTAATAATCCTGTCCGAAATACACAAAAACTAAGATCTTGAAAGTACTAGCCATTTCATTTTCTTACGTCAGTCCTGAGTAATATCACTATATCAGATTTCAAGTCTCTGCCACCCCCCTGCCTTATCAACTTGAGCTATGCAGCCTGTTCTAGTCCTCGAACAAGCCAGACCCGCTCCGGCCACAAAGCCTTTGTTGTCGCTCCCTCCTGTCCCCTCCTCTGTGGAAAGACCTTGCCCCAGAGTGACGTGGAGACAGCTCCTCTCACCCCAGGCCGTGGCTCACATGTCTTCTAACGTTTTAGTTTTGAAAGGCCCACGCTGTCCACCTGGGCTGAAGCTCTGCCCGCCTCCAGTCACACAGCCTCCCTGTGTGCGACCTTTAGCGCAGACGCGCAGTCTCAGTTGCCCGGGCAGTCTGTCGGCTCATTTGTTTTCTGCCTTTCCTTGCTGGGGTCTGAGATCCGCCTGGGAGGTCAAGAACCCTCTGTCTTGATCACTGCCGTGTTTTTAGCACCTAAAGCATTATGGGACGTGATGGGCACTCAAGGCACATTTGTTGAGAAGAGCGTGAGAGGAAGGATGGGGGTAAGAGCTGGAGGGAGAGAGGGGGGAGGGTAAGAATAAGTGAGAATCTAGACATGAGTCGCAGACTTCTCTCCCCCTGAGGGACTTAGTAGGCGTGCCTATCTGACAAGAAGTCTGTTCAACAAATCTGACTCCTGTTGAAGTCCTATAATTCCAACCCATGCACTGGGACGTCCTCCTTTAGGATGACATGCCATACTTATTCTAGCTTTAAGCTGCAGGACTCCAAAATTAAGCTGAATAAGACGAATATAAAATCCTGGGAACTTTTGGGATTGCCCAGTTAATGTCATTACTTCACCTTCATATAAGCGCAGGTAGTTACTGGAAATCTGTAAGGCTGGATATGAAACACGTACTTAAAGGACCTCTCCAAACGTGGGCAGGGGCGTAGAACATCCCTCTTTAAGGTTATGTGCCAGAGCGTCATCATTGTCCGCAACTGCAAGACAGGAGCCAGGGCCGGGTTGTGTTGTTTGAAGACTTCTCTGGAGGAGAAATCTCTCTTTACATGTGTGTGCATGCATGTGTGTGTATGTACATGTGTTTATGTAATCTTTATCATAGATGATAGTAAACATTTATATGTCTGTATATAATATATGTGTGCATGATATGTGAGAACTATTAATCAGATTAACCAGGCTTTACCAGTTTTGTGGAGTTCAGGGGAAATCTAATCAGGGCATAGAAAAAGACATACTCAAGTACTTCTGATTGGTCAACTTCGATGTCAGTCTTTTAACTGACGTACTCCAGGAAGGAGGCATTATTTGTCTCTGGTTCCCGTGTCTCACCTGGGACGTTGTACATAGAAAATCTGTTTTGGAGCTTGCTTTCCATGAGCGCTTTGCGACTCTGGAACTCATACTCCCTTAGAGATCTGACAGTACTCTGAAGTTATCGGTACCTGGAGCATACTATGGGTATTTTCATTTTGCTAAGACCTGTGTGAGTCAATGGACAAATGCATGACAAGGTTGGCAATTTTTAAAAATTATTAATATGCATAGAGAATTGATTAAAAACAGTCATTTGTGGTTAAATTTTGATTCATTGAATTCATGTCTTTTTCTCTCTTTATTCTAGTCCTAAAGAATATTCTTACATATAATAAAGAATTCCCATTTGACGTTCAGCCTGTCCCCTTAAGGTAAAGTAAATACCATTGTTTGCTTTCTTATTTTACACCTATTTTGTCAGTGCTGTTGATATCAGTATCTCACCAGGGAACTGAGGAGCTGTGAGGCCTCACTGGTATACTTAGTTTTGTGGCTCACTATTTTTCCTGTCGTTTGGCATGTAGAAGAATTTTAGCCCCTGGTGAAGAAGAGAATTTGGAATTTGAAGAAGATGAAGAAGAGGGTGGTGCTGGAGCAGGGTCTCCTGACTCCTTTCCTGCTAGAGTTCCCGGTGGGTATCACTTGTTTAAAAATGTGCATCATGACCTTATCCCAGGTCAGGTGTTCAGACTTTATTTTCCCACGGGGCAGCGGGACGTGGAGCCTCCGCAGAGTCCAGGCCAGCCTGAAGCATGCGTTGCTGGCCCTGTTCCTGGCAGTCGCTGTTCAGAACAGCCTGAAAGTATCTTACTGAGCCAGGGGTCCCAAGACCATGGTCAGGTTTGGTGATTTGCTAGGAGGACTCGGCCTATAGTTGTACTCTCAGCTCTAATTTATTACAGAGAGAAAAATACCAGAACAAAACCAGCCAAGAGAAAAGGCACACAAGTAAGGAAGCCGGCGCGTGCTCCCAGGAATCCTCCCGGTAGCCTCATGTGGTGCTTAGTTCCCCCAGCACCAGGTTGTAATAACACCCGGGAAATGTCTTCCCGTGGGGAAGCGCATCAGAGACTCAGTGCGCAGCGCTGGGACTGGGGGCCGAGCACGTGGCCACCCTCTGCCCGGCAGTGGCCAAAATCCCCGACTCCGGGAGGAAAGCAGACACTCGGCTGACACCTTGCCGTTTGCGCAGACTCGCAGCCACAGCGGCCGTCGGGACCAGGGGCTGGTGGGAACCCGCGTGGAACCCACGCTCCAGACGCGGGCCTGGCCTGGCCGCGGGCGGCCTTGCGGGGCCGGGAGGACTGGCGTGGGGGAGGTGCGGCCCCAGTAGCTCTTCCCCGTTTCAAATTAAAAACGACTTTTTAGCCAACCTTTCTCAGAAAGACAAAAAGGATACTGAGGCTTAGCTGTCTTAATATTAATCTCTTTCTTTCCTTTTTAAATTTTTAAAAACTCATAAGGCAAACATAATAAATTTCTGTTAGATAACAGCCTTACGCCAAAAATGGGGTGTAATTTTTCTTGGCTTTGTAGATTTTATTTAAGTAAAGGCTATAAATTTATAATTTGTTATTTATGACCTGAAAACTTATTGACAGTGTGAAATAATAAATCAATTAAAGTCATAAACCAAAGCAGTATGAGTTAAAAAAATAGCCCAAGACACAGTTTTCAGGATTTAAAAAAATATTTTCTTCCTGATTCACATGATCTCTTGATTTCTTAAAATATGCATAAACATATACTTAAGATGATATCATTGGGGGGAACACTGTGTAAATTATATATTATAATTGTCTAACCACTATCCTCTACACCTGAAAGTAATATAAAATAATACTGAATGTCAACCCTAATTGAAATATTAAAAATTTTTTAAAAAGAATAAGGAACAAAAAGATAATGTTCACTGCTATACCTCAAAATGTGTTCTGAATTTCCGTGAAAGAAGAAGGTCCTGATAGTCATAGGAAGAAGTTTCAACTTCTTACCTGTGTGGTCATAAAAAGGTACCGCCTCTGCCCGGGCTGGTGTGGCTCAGTGGATTGAGCGCCTGCCTGGGAACCGAGGAGTCACCTGGTCGAACCCAGTCAGGGCACATGCCTGGGTTGCGGGCCAGGTCTTTAGTTGGGGACGTGCGAGAAGCAACCAGCTGATAATTTGTCTCACACATCAGTGTTTCCCTCTCTTTCTCTTTCCCTTCCCCTCTCACTAAAAAATAAATAAAATCTTAAAAAAAAAAAAAAGGCATTGCCTCATTTTAGCTGCAGATTAAGTCCACATTTACTTGTCTCTCAAGTTAACTCAACTGAGTATTTGTACAGCAACAACAAAGCAAAGGTTTCACATTAAAGAGGTGAAGTTATCCTTTCTGTTTGGTTTTTAAAAGCTGGCTGCTTACTAAGCCAGTAAAGAGGAAGGCCCTGTCTTCCCTGTGTTGTTAAAATATTTACTCTGAAGGTATTGGTGGAGCTCCTTTTTACCGCTGTTGCTCTCTCTGTTGCCAGGTACTTTATTGCCACGGCTGCCGTCAGAACCAGGAATGACGCTGCTCACTATCAGAATTGAGAAAATCGGCCTGAAAGATGCCGGGCAGTGCATTGATCCCTATATCACAGTTAGTGTAAAGGGTAAATGACTCGCCTCCGAATTTTCCCTCTGCTGACTTTTGTAATGTTGCTTCTCATTGGGATGGGGGCAGGGAGCAGTCGGGCAGGGCCGTGTCTATGACAGCTCATTTCCATTCATTATGCAAAGCGGCAGAATCTGAGAGGAGGTTATCAGTTCGCCTCTGAACCTTTCTGAGAGATTGACTAAACACATTTCCCTGGGGAAACTTACTCTCACGTTTGCTGTTGAGTTTTTCTTTGTCTGTGTCTTTTTATTCTTCACATTCCTTCATGGGTGCTGCCGAAGACATACACCTTGTCTCTACAGCAGGGACATTCTTTAGGAAACAGGGTGAAAGTGTCCCCGCCCCCCAAGGCCGTGTGGTTTTCTTTGCAAAGCCTGTCGCCTGTTTCCCTGGGTCCCCGTGCGAGGCCCTCTCGCTCCTGCCCAGGAGAGGCCCTCACCTGGGAGAGCCCTGCCCGAGGGGGCGGCAGTCAGGACCGCAGTGAGTCATCGGCAGTCGGGAAACAAGCACGTCCATAAAGGCCCTCGCCCAGGACCCAGTCCTGGGGGGCATTAAAAAGCGGTGTTTTTCTTATCAAGAACTATGTTACCGAAGTTAGTAAGCACGATTATCCTTAGGATTTGTCTTATTCTGCTGTCCAATGTGGCCAACCATATATTCCTAGAAAACAACTTTCTCTGTCTTTGATTTAAGAGGGAAACCGCAGTGGTTGAATTCTTTTGCTCCCATCACCAAATATTTTATACAGAGCTTGACTGTAAAGCACTCAGTGGTCTTTGAAGAATAATTATTGGAAAAAAACAATTAGTGGGTGATTGAGGGCAACGTTGTCATACAGTTATTCAGAGAGAGCTGCACAGTTAATCTAGTCCGCTGTGAGTCTGCGGTTGGAGGCAAATCAGAGAAACAGATATGGACTGAAAGTAAATGGAGGGAACTTTCACCAATGACAGAAATCCTTTCCAACCCCTGTGGGTTCGTTAGTACCAAGTAAAAGAAAAAGGAATTTGTCCACTGAAGACTTTTAACATGGAGAGACGATGACCCACGACACTAGTGCTGTGCTCCTCTACCTTCTGGTGTGACCCGCTATCAAATCCAGGTTGCAGGAAAGGATTTGTACCCTACATTGTTTTACAGGCCATTTACAGAGCTGCATATCTCATTCGAGAATATACGCTGTAACACAAAAAACGTCATGAGAACGTGATAGGTATTTTGTTATCTAGCTTGTTAAAATATTTACTCTGAAATCGTTGGTGGAGCTAATTGCGTACGTGTTGAACTGAAATATGTTTTTGTGTAAATATCTTTGGGGACTGAAATAATTAAATGCACTAAATCGTTTTAAGTTCTCTCGGACGGGTCTGCTGAGTAGTGCATAAACAGTGAGGGGTGATTAAGTGAGTCCCTATTGAATTTGATTAAATTAGAAGATTCCCGGCTCCAGGAAATTAAAACCACACACCACCCATACTGTACCATCTGGTTGTTGTAAATCAGACTGTTATAGCAAATATAACCAGAATTTAGGTTATACACATAAAAAGGCATTCACGTATGGGAAGGTTTCTCTGGCAGCTCTGCTGGCCGTTGTTTGGGCCTCTGGCTTGGGTGCAGCAGGGGAATTCTGATCGTGGCAAATGGAAAGGCCTACCCGCGCCATGCCCTCGGCCAGGAGTGGAAAAGCGGGGTGGGAGCCCCACTGTGGCATATTATTCACATTCCAAATGTTTATCGCCCGCAAAAATATGGTGAGGCCTCCTCTCTGAGGAAGATACAAAGTTCTCTTCACCTCTTAACCATAAGGATCGAACGTTGTGACCTCCAAACTTTCTTTTGTACCCAGTCATGGCAAGGATTCCTCCTCCGGCCCGTGAGGTCCCCCTCCTTCTCTCTCCTCAGCCCCCTCCACATCCCTGTGGGAACCACTGGGTCTTCAGGTGCCTGCCCACGCCAGGCTGGAGTTCCTGTTAGCTGGGAGCCCGCTCTCAGCTTGCGCCCAGCCTCCTTACAAAACCTAGTCCGCCATGGTTCATTTGCCGTTTTTGAATCTGTGCATTTGAATGCTGCTAAGCAGAAACTTTTCTCTTCTCTAGACCTGAACGGCATAGATTTAACTCCTGTGCAAGATACTCCTGTGGCTTCAAGAAAAGAAGATACGTATGTTCATTTTAATGTGGACATTGAACTCCAGAAGCATGTTGAAAAATTAACCAAAGGTTTGTACTTCTAAATAATTGGCTGCTTGTGGTCTGAGTACTCACATTTTTCACGCTTGTGTGCCTCATGGGCCTAGCAGCACTGGAAAAAGTAAAAGTCACGTAGTGTTTATTGATTTGAATGAAATGTGTATTTATTTAAATGTGGGAATTAAGAATAGTATTACCTAGTTGTATAATAACTTATACAATAAGACATTCTTTGATTGTAAGATATTATCATCCTTAACAACAAAATGGAATGAAAGCTCTCGTACTAAAGAGCTGGGGGCCTGAAGATTAGGTCTCTAGTAGTTGAAAGAAACATTTTTTTCCAGCTGGACGTATAGAAATATCCTATAATTTGCAGTTAGTTGTCAGGAGGAGGGGAAGGGTACATTTCCAAGTCACATGTTCTTAGGATGAGATGTTTCTCTGTGTCTTTTGCCCACTGGAAATGTCAGCGTTCTCTGAAAATGAGGCTTTAGAGCCCCTTTATCACATGAGATTTGGTTGCAGCTTTTAAAGTGTCTAAGCCCCGTGAGAGGATTGTACATGATACACAAGGGCCTTTCGAACAATCGCCACATCCTCTGCAATACCTGCCATTTTCCTTCTCAAACCTGGTGCCGCGGTGCCTCTGTTCTAATGCGCTGGTCCTGCGGTGCTTCTGTCGGAGGCTGCCCCGCCGAGCACCTCCCTGGTTAGAGGCAAATGCCTGGGCCCAGCGCCCCCCGAAGTTTGAGAATCTCTGTGTTAGAAGAATATAAAGATAGGATGTGCTTATGAAATAACGTTCAAGAAATTTCAGTCTGACGTATGCCTTCTGGGTAAAAATCTTAACAAAAAATGTTTTCCCCACTAAACTCCATTGCTTTGAGAACTGCTTCTCATGGGGGCAGGGGGGTGGTGGGGGGTGTTTCACGGGCTCATTTGTTGTGTTTCTCCTTTATTGAGCTGTGTTCTTGATGGCTTGACTTGCAGGGTGTTAAAAGTAGAACTATATTTGTACCTTGACTGCACTCATTTTCTCCAGCTTGGAGTTCATCGTGTGTAGTTGCACTGCAGTTTGAGGTGATATTAATGCTAATGAGGCACTTCCTTCATGTTTACAAGCATTTCAGCTCATCATCTTAAGCTATTCTCATTTGGCATTTTGTTCTTCAGTCAGTCTGGCTCAAGAAGTTGTGCGTACTTTGTAGAAATGTCACTCCATTGAGATATAGGAGTCTGGAGTGACAAGCACAGTCATAACGTCAGATTGTCTGACAAAGGTCCCTCTGAGAAATGACACCAGTTGTTGCTTGTGTGTTTGCTTCTGTGGATCCAAGACAATGTACTGACGGGAACGGTGCTCCCTGCGGCTGATGTGGTGTGTTGTAACCCCTTAGGTGCAGCTATCTTCTTTGAATTCAAACACTACAAGCCTAAAAAGAGATTTACCAGCACCAAGTGTTTCGCTTTCATGGAGATGGATGAAATCAAACCGGGGCCCATAGTAATAGAACTGTAAGTGACGCACGGAGGGGACTGGTACTGACTGAATGGGGACTAGTATTCCTTCTTAGTGTGGAATAGTCTGGGAGAGATCATTGGGATAAATCAATTATCCAAGTATTTTAAGCAGCGGCTTTTCTGTTGTGGTTACAGATACAAGAAACCCACTGACTTTAAAAGAAAGAAATTGCAATTATTGACCAAGAAACCACTTTATCTTCATCTACACCAGACGTTGCACAAGGAATGCCCCTGACGGGAGCCGCCCGGAACTGCTGTGAGTTTCCCACGCCCTAGAAACCGTCCCAGCTCCGTGTAGCACAGCCACCCGTCAGCAGGCAGGAAGCAAGCCGCGCCCACGGCAGCAGGCCAGAGCGCCCCCGCAGCGCCGCCGCTCGGGGTTCCGCGGCCCGCGCGGCCCTGGCGTGGGAGGCTCCTTTGGACGCAGGCTTATTGTAGGTTTGGGAACATGTTTTTACTTTCCTATTGATCGTGCAGTTGATAGTCTCTTTCCTGACTGACCGCTGCACCTGCCCTGCTTCCTGGAACACTACGGTCGTGGGTGGGATGTGCTCGTCTTCAGACTTAACTACAGCAATAAGAATGTACTAGAGTTTACACATCGGATCACTTCTGCTCCACTGTGCTCTTTGGTTTTGTGAGTTCATGTCAAACTTTGGGCCGATGTAGGGTATTATGAAACTGCTCTGAGAGTGTGTGGACCAATTCATTATGCTGTCCAAGAAGGAAATTTCCAGGCTGCTCCTCAGAGATGGCCCAATTTCACCCCGATTTCATCCTTTTCCTGCTTCGAGCGTGCCTTGGCCAGATCAGTACCCACATGGGAGCGTTCCCAGGTTGTAGCTGTGATTTTTCCAGTTGACCAGATTGTGTTTATGAGAGTGAGCTTATTTTTAGTTGTGTTGATTCACTGTTCTTCTACATCACATTGCTATTCTTTCCAGTAGTGATTCTACTGTTAACGTGGAACCATCTCAGAATAATTACACTTTTTTTTTAGATGGGTTATGTCTTTTAAATCATGTAATGTAAAAGTAATTTGAGTCAGATGCTAATGAGATACTGCAGGAATAACTGCTGTTTTTCGGACAACTGATTATGAACCCTGAAAACCGGCCTGCCTGTTCTCTGAGCGATGAGTGTGCAACGTCGGGAGATCCTCTATTTTTTTTTACATAGGTAGATAGGACCACCATTTATTTCCTATTTAGATATGTCAACATGCATCCATATGGAAATGTGCAGGTCATTAGCTTATTATAATTTGACTATTTACATTACTTTTGACTTAATGATGGGGCATAAGGAAAACTTTCACAGGACACACGAGGCGGCCCTTCGATACACAGAACATGAAGCCCTGGGTGGGCTGTCTGTGGGTCAGGTGCAGACCCCACGTTCTTACCGGTCACTGCTTTCAATGACCGGTGCTAGCGTGAGGGGAATGCGGTGCCAGGACTCAGCCTGCCTTTAAACCGGTGTAATAACCCGTCATACTGCCCACTGTTTTTGCTTTTTAAACTCGGTGACCACAGTTAAGGCCCTCGCATTTCAAGAGATCTAGTCTTCCCTTTCACTTGTCTGTTAGGTCCATCCTCTCGACTAAGATGGATGTCAAGAACTCCATGAGCCCGAAAGAATTCTCAACCTGAGTTAGGCTTGAGTAGATTAATTCCAAAGCAATCCGTAGCGGGAGGGGATGAGGAACTGCCTTAAATCACTTCGTCGTTCACTTAGCTCAGGCTGTGAGTTGTCACCCAACTGGAAGCTCTTCGAGGGGCGAGGACCACATTTCCTCTGTGTCACGTAAAGTCTCCGAGGTACCTGGCTACACTCTGTACCCTGTGGAGTACTCAGTACCTTTTGTTTGATGTTGCTGACAAGACCTAAAAAGTTTTATTCCTCAAAAAACCTACCATTAAAATGTAGCAAAACTGATACATTGTTCTTTCTCTTTTCTCTTGGACCAAGACATGTATATTAAAGTGGTAATTTATCTGAAGCATCCGCTGTTGTTCACATAAGTATGGTTTATATGAACTACACATGCCTTTCACCAGTATTAAAGCTTAAACTGAACAACACTGTGTGAGTAGCTCAGCTTTAATTCAGACCTGAATGAAATGACAAAGCGAGCGGTTGTCGCGAAGCAGTAGGCAGAGTCCCACATCCCACAGATGATTTAAATTCACTTTCAAAGGAACAAGAAAATCAGCCATTGAACAATAACCCCAACTTTTAGGAGAAATGCGTTCAGGCTGAAACACTGTCACTTCATTAATGAAATGATTTTAGCACTAAGCCCCAGAACACAGTTAGCTGGGGATGGCGTTTGAACGTAGATTTAACTTCGGAGGCGGCTGAGTGTGATGTAATGAGGGATGGTCCCCTGCCCGCTCCCCGGGTTTCGGGGGGTGCCCAGGCTCTGCTTCAGAAGGGATGCCCTCAGGGGGCCGAGAGGCGGCCCTGGCAGGTTCGGACCTGCTTGGTTTAGTGATTGGTGCTCGAGTCTACAACTTACTGGTTCTTCAGTAGTATAGGATACAGAATACCCAACAAGGTTAAGGGGCAAAGACTCCACGCTCTGGCTGATTTCAAGATAGATTTAATTTACCTTTCCTACTTGATCATCTTCCTAGCTGGTATAATCTGTATTTAAATGCTATTCACAATTAGAATCATTAATCATTTTGTGTCCTAAAGTAAGACTGAAATATTCAAAGGTATTTGTGATTTAATCTTATTTATTTTCCATGGTTAAAAATAACTTGCTAGTGACTGGAGTTTTCCTGTTAAATTTCTTCTATTCTTGATACTAAATGGGAGAACCTATCAATGGGATCCTTTTGCTGAAGATCTATTACTTCTGAATTTTGAAAAAGTTATCTCCTTTCAAAGGTCCTTATCTTTCTAGAGTGGTCTATATATTAGTGGAAGATTTTGTCTCACAGTGAAGCTTTTGCTTTTTTCAATAGAGTATTCTTAGTGGATTCAGTACTGTAAGTGACCGGTCCTGGTGTAGGCAGTGTTGCATTGTAGAACTTCAGAGAATGGGCGCGTATAGGCAAGCAGCAAACAAGGAGACCAGCTCTTTTATAATTTTCATTAAATCTGAAACATCTTAAAATGTGCTATTAAGTTACTATAATTTAAAGCCCCTAAATAGTTAAGAAACATTGTTTAAAAGACATGGTGTAGTAACGGTACAGTAACACTATTAAGTATGGCATATAATCCCAGATTCTTAGACAGGCTAATTCTTAAATTTATGTGCCAACATTCAAATATTCATGGTGGAGTAGAATCAGTCAAAAAAAGGAATGAGTTCAGCCCATGGTTGCTGGCCTAGGGCATGTTTCAAGCCTTAAAATCCTAAATCATTCTTTTTTGTAATATTCTACTTTTCTGTTTTTGCCATATTCACTAAAAATTGCATAGGCAAGATATGGGAGAAATAATAGGCTCTATAATCTTTAATGAAAGAAATCTCCTTTTATGGTCACAAGACATTTTCATTTCTCTGTTGTGCGCCCTTAACGCAAGAACAGCACAAGCAACAGAACGTCTCGTCAAAGAGTTCTCGCTCCTCCTGTAAAGTCACGCTCAGGAAGTGAACGCGGCAGTTGCAGGTGCAGAAGGCCCGTGGGTGCAGTGCAGGTGGGCCCCGACTGCGGCCCCGGACAGGAGGGCCTGCGTGGGGCGCCCCAGCAGCTGAGGCCGCCCCGCGCACGGGGGCGCAGGCAGCCGGCCACCCAGTCACCAGCATCGCCTCCGGGCGCCCCAGCTGACCTCTCTCCTGGATGGCATGCGTCTCATGAGAAAACAACCCAGCAACTCAACAGACACTTGGGAAACATTAATAACCAAATTTTAATGAACCTTTACTACAAAGAACTTCAGCAAGAGGGGAGATAAAGTTCAGTGATCTTTTAGTAAACGTTTTTAGCGTAACAGTCCTTGCGACCAGATAGATACTTTAAAAAAATCAAGCTTATAAACAGTTGCTCTGCATCCAACCGGTATACACTAAAAATAGGATAATAAATGGAAATACATGTTCTTAAAGCATTTCCACAGGAAATGTTCATATTTTTCAAGACATACTAAATCATTTGACAGTTACATATGCTACATTAACTAAAACACAGGTATTCTTTATTGCACATTTCAAAGTTGGAAGGGGGCTGTAGCTTAAAGGGTGATTTTTATTTAAGGGGAGGGAATATATTTTTCATTGTTTGGCTCAAAAATGCAGGCTGCCAGGGCAGCTTAGTTCTAAAAACTAACTTTATTTAAGTTTCTGGATTTTGAAGACTGTAAGGAATAGCGCACAGGCCAGCTTCTCGCGGACCGGAAGTCGGAGGCCTGGGTCATGGGCTCTGCTTCAAGGCCTGGGAGGGGTCCTGGCTGCCGCTCTGCGAGGCCGGCGGGGGCTCCTCCCTGGAGCCCGGAGGCAGTGAGTCTCTTGCAGCAGGTGGAGGGTAATCCTGGGGGCCATGGCTTAGCGGGGGTGGTGGTCGGGGACCAGGGATAAAGTACTCGCGAGGGCCAGGAGAGGCCACAGGCCTAAAATGAGGGTGTCCCGGCACAAATCCTTGGGGGTCGAAAGGCACGTCCCGTTTTCCAGGTGGCACGCCGGGTGCGTATTCTCTTAGGCTTAGAGGTGGCCGCATGCCACGACCTGGGAACATAAAAATTGTGTCAGGTGACCCATGTGAATGTGCCTACGTTTGGGTGATTCCAGCTACGCTGATCCTTCATTTCTCCTGACCCTAGAAGCCAGGGAGTGGCATCCCCCCTGTGTGGGCCCACCAGACGGTGGCCGGTCAGGCTGGCGTTGCGGCCTCGGCCGGCCGGCCACAGAGCAACACGGCCCTGCCCGCCTTGTGTTCTTCCACTGCACATTCTGCCATCTCTGTCTCACAAGAGTTTGGTCTGCATTTGACAGATTAGGGGAAAAGGGCTTCACAAAAATAAACTTTCATGAAGGAAATTCCATGTCTACCACTCTATCAATTAAAATTCCTCGCAGTAGCTCAGCATGGACTTAACAAGCCATCAAAATCAAGGTGCCTGCCCTCCTGGAAGGGCCTTCCTGCGGTGCCAAATTAAATTCAGCAACATTCACTACATAGAGCTATTACATTCTACCTTGTCTTTAAAACTTCCTTCCCATTCATTCCCAAGTGGGGCGTGAGCGTTCAAGTTCCCTTTATACTGGGACCCCTTTATGCTGTACCACGCCTGTGGCAGTGCCCTCTAGGACCCCGAGCTCTCAGAGGTCGGAGGGAGGGAGACCTCTCCGGCACGGAGCCTGGGCGCAGCCAGAGAGGTCAGTAGACAGCGGCACTGTCATATTCTGGCTCCCTAGGAACAGCCCCTTTCTGCCGCCTACAGGCCACGGGGCCTCTTTCCCATCTCGGGCAGACGATGCAGTGCCCCATGTGCACTAAGAACCTTCAGGAAAAGTTAAAACGGACTCAGCCAGCTTTATCCTTTCGTTGCATGGCCCTGTGATAGCAACTGAAATTTTAGCAAGGAACAGGCCGAGAAGGTGATGAGCTTTACAGGTCAGTGACCCAACAGTCATACCAAACGGCGGCGGAAAGGGCCGGGGCCCGAAAGGCCCGCAGAGCTGAGGCGGTGGTCCGTAGCGAAGGGGCGGCGGCGGCACGGGGCCTCCCATGGGAGGGCTCATCACTGGCGCCCCCGGGAAGGGAGGCGGCCCTTCTGCGGCCATATTCACCTGCAGAGCAGAAACAGTTCATGTTCTGAAATGCTCCGGTGTGACAGACAAAAGCACCAACACCAGCACAAGCTGAAACCCAAAGAAGCAGGTGCCAGGCACCTGCCGAAGGGCAGGGCACAGTGCGTAAGGCTCCGCCCCTCCTCCCCTGCGTTCCCATCCCACAGAGGGCGGTGCGGGTGGTTAGACAGCACAGCAGAAAGAGTTTTCCAGATCACACGATCACTGGTCTGCATAAGTCAAAGGAGTCCCAACTAATTAAAAACAAATTCACACCGTACACAGGCAATCTGTTTCTAGGGCAAGGCTTCCCTCCATGTCTCCCTCCCAGCACCACCACAGCTCACTGTTTCCATGCTACGAATGGCGAGAACAAAAGGGAATAAAAATCCACTCGCTGCACATGTAATCACAGCTACCGTTCAGGGTGCCCTCACCGAATTCTCAGGTCGTGGAATCTCTAAGCGTGATCATCGTGCTTCAAGTGTGAACACAGAGAGTGCCGGAGAATGTGCTGGAGGCCATACAGCACGTTAAGAGGCTAGGGGCGAACTCAGGGTCAGGCCTGGCTCCAGGCCCGTGGCCTTCCCATCCGTCTCCCTCTAACAGAGCAATCTATTCTCTCTGAAGCCTTCTACTGCCAAGGGGTCTTGGGTCTCACTCAAGCTGCCCTTGGAGGAAAAGATCTGTCAGAAGAGGTGTGTTCCTGGAGCCCTGCACTGACACCGGCCAGCGCTTCCCAACAGAGACAGTGTCCCGTGTGTACGTTAGGCCAGCGCAGCGCGAGTATTAGTATTTACCTCCACTCGCCCAGGGATCCTGTGTAACGTGAGACACTGAGATAATGACTAAGCCTTTCTTACACGTGTTTTGATTTCAACCTGGGAAAGCACTGCCATGTATGACCGGAGGACCTCTAACAGCTACGCGAGTGACAAGAGGCTACTCTTGTGTGGACGTAATTTAAGGCTAGTACCAGGAACTGGCACAATAGTAATTACAGATTCCACTAGTCAGTCTTTCACCTCCAGCAAACATTCCTGTTACCACGCTGTAATTTCCGATTATTCAAAATAGGGTTTGCCCAGTATACCCCTGGAGACAGTCTTAAATAGCAGACTTCCAAGCCAATACGTAAAAACGACGAATTATGCAACACACAGTGACTCTGCCTTAGAGCCCTCAGCACTGAAGCGCACCATGTAAAGGTGGAGTGACGAGTTTGCACATTTTTAGTTAATTACAACACTCTCAATGGGTTAATCACCTAAGCAAAGCAGAAACGGGCAAACCAGCCAGTCAGACTGTGGCGACCCAGAGCCACTTCCAAGTCCAACACCAGGGTAGGATCACACTGCCGTGCAATCTAAAGCAAAGCAGGACAGGGCCCTGCCCTGCATGTCCCTTCCAGGAGCACACCAAGCCAAGGCCGGGTTCAGTCCTCGGCCTCCAAGTACTCACTGCTACTGGGTGCCCAGCCAAGGGTGTAATGCTGGGGACAGAGGGGCCTTCCGACTCTTGGGGAACAGTGTGCTTTTTAAAAAATAAATGACAGCACAGATATAACAGAACACACATACAGACCCTGGATGAGGCAGAGAGGCGCTGAAGCAAGAGGGAAATGTTCCCTGAAATGCGTACCTTGCCCTCCTCCATCCCCCTCGAAGGGGAGGCGCTCCTTGGGCTGCTGCTGGTCACGGCAGCTGCCGCGGCCCCCGGACCTGTGGAAGGCCAGAGGGCTGGTTTAGTCGCATTCCGACGCACAGTCTGAGGAAGAGGGAAAAGTCCTCCCCTCCCCGCCGCATGACCTCAGACCCTCTGAACACACTCGTCCCCACCACAGGCAGGTTTCCCGGTGCCTCAGACCAGGGGAGGCCAGGAAGAGGCGCGTCCACTGCACCGCGGAAAAGCAAGCACGAAGCCCTCGTGCGGATGTTCAGGGGGAATAAACCAACGGCGGACAGGCCAGGGTTCAACTCCACCCAGGAAGCAACGTTACAAATGGGGCCCCGGGGCCTCTGAGGGGGAATCACAATTTATGCAGAGACTTAAGTAAAAGAAGAGCCTCCCGGACAGAAAGAACAGCCACAAAGCCTGCGTGCGCACCCGGCGCTGCTGCCTGGGCGGACCTCTTCAGTCCGTGTGCAAGGACGGCCAGGGCTCGGCCGCTCTCACGGGCACGTTCGGCAGCAGGAACAGACTGACAGCGTTTCGCGTTATCCTGCGAGACGGCTGTAGGCTGCCTAAGTTATAAAGTCTTGAGGCTACTTTTATAACATTCCAGGAAGGAATTCCCTGGAAATTTAATCCCAAGACAAAGGCTTACACATCAGAGTGAAAAATTTTTTAAAAGCAAAACCAATACTACATATTTATTTGTATATTTACTTACATATAAATATATTTTACATATTTACTTATCTGTAATAAGTAATATTAGTAATAATAAATAGATTATTTCTGTTCTAAAGCAGATCTTGCAAGAGACTATTTGAAATGCTAGGAAAAATTAAGAAATTTTCTTCTCTATGTTGGACAGGCCTAAATTCTAAAATACTGTTTGCATTAGAATTCTCCAGGAAAAAGGGGAAAAACTCTTGAAACAGCTTGAAGGAGTGTACAGGTAACGCGTTAATGCTCACCAAATTCACTTCGGGGCACATCCCTCCGACTGAGCGTGGCGGAGAGCGGTCTCGCGGGCGGGTCTCTCAGCGGAGGGGAGCACTCTCCCCCACTCACGGGCGATGGGCCGAAAGAGCCGTTCTGGCTCAGGGGACCTGGGCGTGAGAGTCCACCGTTACCACTTTTGGGAAGCTTCTTTTCGTTCCTAAGTTCTTGGGGCTCTTGTTAGGCCATCACTTCTATGACACACAGAGCGACCTACACAGAGCCCACACTGAAACAGAGATGGCTGCGCTTCAGAAGTGCACCTACCTCTTCGTGGAGGGTTTTGTGTGTTGGGTCTTCCTGGCATTGGTTTAACAATCACAGGTTCCTGCTGCAGCATCGCCATCTTTTGGGTTAATTCCAATAATCTTAAATATAGAGAAAGAATGGACTTGAATATGAAACAGTTCTTACTAGCCACCCCACAGCGTAGCCTCAAAAAACTCTGAAGCGCTCAGAAAAAATAGGTATCCAAGTTCCCTACTTGTGTCTCAGGTTGGCTGCTTCCCTCTTCTCTTCGGCCATGGCTCGCTCTGCGGCACGGGCTTTCAGCTGCGGGGGGGAAAGACCCAGCCTCAGCGGGGGCAGGCAATGCACAGAACACAGGAAAGGGAAAAAGCTCTTACCCAGTTGTCGTGAGCTTTCTTCTCATTAGCAGCAATCTGAAGAAGACAACACGTCAAAAAACATGTTTAGTGACGCATTACGACGAACTGTATGGGGCCCCCAAAAATTCTGCGGCAGTGGCCAGCAAGTCACCTGGTCTTTAAAGGAGCGCTCTGTCTTCTGTAGCTCTTCCTCCAGTTCTTCAATTCTCCACCTGAGGATGACACTCACTTTTATCAAGCAAGCACAACTGAGTGAAATCTTAAACCGCTTCGCCATGTTCCGTTTAACTGTACCCTTACAGATTTCCTCCATAATACAGGGACATGTTTTACACGGTTACAATCAGAGTACAGTGTAATCAAAGCCGCATTCATTTCCTTATTTAATGGCTGGAGATTCTGTGTTGATACATTATAATTTCTTTAACTTCTTTGAATATCTTCCTGCATAAAATTTTTTCTTCTTTTAATTATATCCACAGAAAACCTTCCAAAAGCTGTGAGTTCTGGGCCCATCGATGGCACGGTCATTTTAGTGGTTTTTGATACACCAGATAGCAAACTGCCTTCCTAAAATAATTCCCTGCCAAATAAAACCACCCAGAACTGTGGGCATGAACCAAATTCCCTTACAGTCTTGCCAGTGTTGGGTATCGGGAAATTTTTGTTAAACATTTTTTTCCTTTGTTAACTTAAAATTTTTCTTGTGAGAATTCAATGTATACATACATGTCCCTCTGACCATTATTTATGCTCCTGTGCTCTTGTGTTCTACAAACTGTAAAAAATGTTTCTTTCTTTAAAAGCCAACCGTAGCTTTATACTGTAGAAGCTGAACTCACTTGTAGGTTTTTATTTCCTCGGCCGCCGAAAGCGCCTTTTCATCGGCAGCTGACAACCGCTGCTCTTTTTCTCGCCGCTCGTACTCTTCTTGACTCAGCTTCCTAAGAGAAAATCAGCTGTTGAGTGAAACTGTGTCTTTCTTCCAAGGAGCCCGAGAGCCCCCACTGAAATGTGACTGCTTCCCATCCCCTCTCAAACACACAGCCAGGCAAACAAATCCACGTGCCCCATGAGCAGCTTTCCTGTGCCTGGGATGAGGAACGTGCGCTTGCTTCAATGTGCAAAGCCAGAGTTCATCTACCTAACACAGTTAAGCTTCTTAGGATAAAGCTGGGAATAAGTCTCTCATTTCCTCCAATGGGAAGACCTCTCGTTATTTCCCTTATTTCTGTCAGGGAAGGGCTGTTCCCCAGTTCAGGACTGGTACCATGGTAAAGATGGCCCGCCGAAGAAAGAGCCCTTTAAAGCACGGCTCTGTCTGTGCGGTTAACCACAGGACACTTCCACGCTTCAGATCCCAAACTGCCACTGCTTATTTATGGGCTGTGGGGTTGGGATAAGGAAAGAGAGAGACCTAAGGATGGGCAAGGTCTGTTGAGTAAAAAAAGAATCCGACTGCCCCCTAATCGGGGCACTGCCTCCTGGGAACTGGGTTCAGCCACGTCACCTGCGAGCTCAAGGCCTCAATCTACCGTAACGTAAGTTACGACGATAGCGATGTTTAATGGTTTAAAATACCATTTCTCATTACTGCTGGACCTCTTCGCATATAATTCAGACTCAAAAGACACTTAACCTGAAACTCTCCATGAATCAGAAGCAAAATCAGAGAAGAGCTATAGTAAAAAAGGCTAATAACACCAAAGAGAAAAAGGTGTATGTGTCCTTAACTGCCCATTGAATACTTCAGCAAGTATTTTATGAGTGGCTATAGTACCTCAGTTACCTAGGTAGATACTGAGAGTAAAGTATGGACAAATGCTATTGTCACAGACTGTTCGCTACTCAGTCAAAGCTGACCAGGCACTGGCAAGACTTTGTGATCTAATCTAAAATCAGACAAGCAAGATGGACCGTCAGGTATCTACATAATGGAATTAGCACGCGGACTTTGAAATAATTATGCCTTCAATGTTTCAGGAAGTAAATGTCAAAATTAAGAAGTTCAGCAGAGGAATAGAAATTACAGAACTGAAACACAGTAACCGAAATCAAGAACTCAGGGAATGACTTTGGCAGCGGATTCAATAGCTGAAGTGAGATTTCAGCACATGGGAAGCTGGGATGGAAAAAAAAAAAATCCAGAACAAAGGAAAGAAAAGTGCAAGTTATGGAAAACGGGGTAGAAAGGGAAAAGGGCTACCCTATACTAACTGTAGAGGGAAATCAGCTGTTGATCGTCTTTAAAAAAGAGACAAAATGACTTTTACCGGTACACACGTTTACTTGCACAACAACACTGTTACCCCACGACCATCTTACTTTTGCAGAGCCATCTCCTTCTGCTGATAGAGTTCATTCAGAATCTCCACTTTCTGCTTCAGGGTTCTGTTTTCTTCTTCCAGTCCAGCTCTGACGGACTGCAGTGAATTGCGGTCATCTTCTAATTTCTTTATTTGGTCTGTAAAGGATAAAACACCTGAGCTGTGTGCGGGCACAAGGACTGAAGAACTTGCCGGGCTGGCGTGAAGAGGCGTGAGAAACATGACACAGGAAGCTGTTCTCTTTCCAGCGCAATTCTCTCTCTCTCTCCAGTATTTCGCAACCTACCTTCCAGGTTACATTTGGTGGATACCGAGGTTCGCAGCTTCAGCTGTAGAAGTTTTAGATCCTCTTCAACTACTGATATTTCTGTTTGTGTCTACAAAGTGGAGCAGAGAGAAGTGTTCTTAAAAGCAAGGCACAGTAGGAATCCACAGGCACTCACGGTACTCTGTTGTATCCGAAGGATTATACCCGAGAAACGTCCATCATCTGCTTAATTTGATTTTTCAGCTTCTCACTTCGGTCACCTAAAAAACAGAAGGTTTTCATTACGTTTTCGCCCCATGCTTTTTAACTACAATTTCCTTATTTCCCCCCAAACTAAGCAATTACCATGTTTAAATGTTCAACGTGAAAACAAATTAACAACAGAACTGATTAGTCTGCTTGACTTTTAAGAGAATCACAAACCTACAGTCAAAAAGTGAGAGTGCAATAAAACTGTTATCCATGCTGTTCCTGAGCAAGGCGGTTTATATGAGGCAAAGCTCTTTCCTCCCTCTCACATCTACCTCCACCCGGTCATGGATCTCATTTAGAAAGACCCACTCCCCCATCCTCCCTTGAATCTGCAAACAGGTGGGGTGGAACACACCCAGCATGCAAGCTGCATCCAACTTGAGAAACAGTATCCAGAAACATCCCCTCAGGAAGCAGGGCTATGCTTTAGCTTCCGCTCATGAGCCTAGTTACTTTATGGCTGCCACCACCTCACGACTCTGAAAATCGGTTGTGGGGCCCTAAGAAGCCACACGTCATCTCCATGAAGGTGAGAAATGAGTTTTTCTGACTGAATAGTGTTCATGACGTGGGTCCAGTGCACACAGCTAGTTCTAAGGTGGTGGAAAAGCCACATCAGTGCTCACCGCATGCCCGCTGTTCCACCTCTGCCCAAGGCGTGCACACACGCACGCAACGCATGCACGCTCAGTAGTGTGCCCGCAATGCTAAAGTGTGAGAGGCCACTTGGTCAGCCTCAAAGGAGCATCAGTGTAGTTAATTAAAGACAGGAAGGCAAGAGGAGGGCAAACCTCCCTGAAAGTGATCTTACCTCCCACTTCCCCATTTGCTAATTCATCTGACTCATTTCCTCTTTTACTTTGATGCTCAGATTCAGATTCACAATCTAACCGATTCAACTGTGTGATGCAATTAGTCAAAGCCTAAAAAAGAAGCCAAAGGGTATTAGAAAGAACCTCTCAGTTTTAATCCATCAGAGTTTGTGAAAATTCAGCGTGCATCCAAGAAAATGAACTTACATTGATATTATCATCTTTTTGAGTAAGAGCTACTTCCAAATCTTTCTGAGACTTCTCAAATGATTTGATTTGCTCACTGAGCTCAGTATATGCTTTTTTCAAGTCTTTGATTTCCTGCTGCAGCTGAAAAGTTTAAACACATGAATTTCCAAAAGTTAGGCCTTTTGCACTGGAGACATCAGGACCACGTGACTGAGACAGGTGAGCCTGGGGCCGTGCTCCTTGTTGCCCTGTCACGGTGGCCTGAGGCCTTGGTTAGGGGCCAAGGGACAGTAGCTCTAACCCCCGGAACTGCAGTGGGAATGGAAGAGCTGTCCAAAAAAGTGATCCAGTTGACTGTGTTCTTCAGAAAACTGTAGCCAATTCCAACCACTCACTTCCAATAGGAATGAAAGGGCACAATCTCAGTCTCCAGGACTCCAGATCTTGCAATCTTCCCTTGGGCAGTGAAGCAGTAACGGCTTAAACTAATTCTGTAGTTTAAGAAGCAAACCCACTGCCCCCTTGAGGCTATTCAAGTTCTTAACTGGATGGTGTCTGACAAGACAAAGCCTAAACAAACACTCTGCTTGCTATAAGAAATGGTACAGAAGAACAGAAAATCCAGAACAGATGGAGAATGTACACATGTACCCAATTTGGGAGCATAGTTTAAACTTTGCATGTCTAAGAATAGAATCCTGCATACATATTTCATTTCCTTAATAACAGATTCTGAAACAAAGATGTTTGAGAGGTAATAATATTCAGTTCTCTAGTTCACATAATCTATGACATTCATTTTTCTTTACCTGGTCTTTCTTCTTCTTAAGCTTAGCGTTTTCTTCTTGAACCCGATGGCATTCAGACTTCACCTTCTCTTCACTAAGTTTGGCTTCATTAAGGGCAATTTGAACCTAATCCAAAACACTCCCATTAGTGAATTCATTCCCTCCCCCCCAAAAAACCCGCACAAACAAAGAAGAAGTTACACTTTCCCAACTACACATCAGATAGTTTTCTTTTTTTTTCTTTTTTGTTTGCTCCTCAATAAAACTAAGACATCTTGTTACTCTCTCGCAGAAAACTGTAGGCAGCTTTACCTCTGAGAGTTCTGAGGCATTCATGGCAATGACATCCTTTAACTTGTCTAAAGATTGCTTGTTTTCCAGTATCTGCCATGTGGAAAAAAACACAAAAAATACATTAGGACTTCAGTAGAAACACTGGGATATACGCTAAAAAGGAAGAGCCATCCCCTAGGTATCAGGTAAAAGTAGGCAATCCACCCTTAGCCTACAAGAACAATCAAGAATGTAGAGATGAGGAAAAAAGAAAATAACTGGAGGCCAAAGTGTCTCATGCCACCAACAACCTTCCTGGCTATGAGATAATGGGGTCGATGACCAGATAAAAAGGTGAAGGCAAAGAAAATGAAAAATCTTTCAAGTACGCCAGTGCAAATCAATGCTTCTTCCTAGGGGGAGAGGAAAAAAATCCCCGCGGTCACTTGACAAATTCTCTTGCCTGAACTAGAAATGGCTGGACTGGAGAATAGGCCAACCTCACATACAAAGGACTTCCAAATAAATTAGGAAGATACCATATCCCCAAGGAGGCAGAGCACAGACCCCTCAGTCTTTTAACTGTGGTTGTGCATAGTGACTTCCCCCCAGAACACAGTACGCAAAGGATGGGAAGCTGGTAGCCTAACAGTGGAGCAAGCCTAACCGAGTGTGTCATATACAGGAACCCTCTCTTCTACTACTGCAGCTTTTATTTAATTCCAAAACCGTTCTAATATTAGAAGTTTCTTTTAAAAGAGAACCATGCTAACAAAACAAAGTACTAAAACTGGTCCACTGGGCTAGTTTCTTAGTTGCTCTCCATGTTTCGGGGGCTGAGCTAAGCAATAGGAAATTACCCAGGCCTGGGGACAAAAATACTTCCTGGAACCATAAAAATAATAACTTGTAGGATTAGCATTTAAAATTCCTTAAAAATGCACAGAAGTAGGTTTAACTTTCCTGATTCTGAATCTTACTTACTCTTGGAAAAGGCAGAGTGCAACTCACCCCATCTGCAAAACAGTTTGGAGAGAAAGAAGTTGGGAACCCAAATTATAGTAAACGCCCGTGGCACCGCTCTTACCAAGTCCTCGTTCTTGGCATTCTGTTCTCTCTCAGACTCTAACATGAGACGCAGGTTTTTAGCTTTATCGTTCAGATTCTCCTTAGCTTCTTCAAGTTCCTTGATTTTATCCTACAGAAAAATATAATACGATTAATAATAATTACTCATTATTTTCCTTTTGTTTTTAGAATGTAATCTCAAAAAGATAAGGGATTCTTACCTTGTATTTATTTGCTTCATCAGAGAGAATCATATTCTGTTTCTTGGTTTCTTGAACGTATTTCTTTGACTCCTTGATCTATTTAAACAAAGCATTCAAAATATAGAAGAATGGCACAGAACTTATGCCATTCTATGCCAGTAAGAATGGATCAGAACTTATCTCTGTTAAGTGACCCGCTAAAAAGAAAGTATCTTACACATATGATGATTGCTTCAAATTTGGATGGTTTTTAGGCAATAATGGAACTTTAAAATATTATTTAAAAATAGCATAATAAGCAAACTGTAAGACAGGAGGAGGAAATAATTAAAGCTGGAACCATGGAGGGGGGACTAAAAGAATTATACCTTCTGTTCATAATTTGACAATTTTTGTACAAGGTCTGCATTTTCTTTCTTGAGAATCTTTAACTTCTCAGAAATTTGCTGTTCAGTGACTAAAAAGGGGGAAAATACATAACATGATTATGATTACTAAATAAAACTGAATTACCCACTATATTAACAAAGAAATCTTTCCCTGCACTGTGAAGGAGAAGAATGTTTTAGCATAACTATTAGCCTTTATAAAGCAATTTGTAGTTAAGAGCAGTAAGGGTGTAAAAATGTTATTAAGATTTAAATAAACTATAACTAGAACCTTTATTTCAATGGGTTCCAATTAAAATTATTTCAGAGCTGGGAAATACAGTAAAGTATTTTAGCTTGATATCTTTCCCTTCATGAAGCACCTTTCTCTGTAGAAACTGTGATCATTTCAAATGTACACCACTTGCAAAGAGAAACAGAAAGTATAGCATGTTGGTTTGTATCTATTATTCCTCAAATTATCTATCTGAATAAATGAATATATTATACTGATTAAACCATTAGCACAGGAACACTGTTCACATGTAATAAATTTGCATCATGTCAGCATTTAAAGTCAATCTGCCCCAAATGAAACCAATCATCTTCTTCCTACTCGCAGTCTGTTCCAACTCATTCTCTAGCTCAGTGGGTAGCATCACCATCTACTCCATCGTCCAAGCTAGCAACCTGGGATTAGTAAAACATTTAGGAGGTGGGAAGTCAGACATCGGACGTCACTCTATCTATTTCCAGTTTACAAAATTCATATCAAACACCACTAATGAGAGAACAGTCGAAATGAAAGTAACAGAATCAGCCTAAATATTTACCTTGGTACACGTGACTCTTTACCTAAAAGAGAGAGAGGTGAAATCAAATTTGCTGTCAATGCATTTTATTATTGGCAATATTATAGTTCTAATACAACAGTAAAATCATAACAACAAGAAAATTTAATAACAATTGGTTGAGCCTCATGAGCCATAGGATTAGAAAAAGGTTAAAAGGCATTTCAAATGTTAATTGGTACAGATACGCCATAAATAATTTCTGAGAGATAAAAAGCAGTAAGGTAAATACCTCATTTTGCAACAAAAGACACATTTATATGTCTATTAAATGAGCACCGATCTTATTAAATAAGCACCGAACTTTAAAAATGAAAATGGATAATATTTTCCCATTAAATATACTAATGCTTCATTTACCCGAAATAATCTGACAATCCTGAACAGCCAGGATGGGGTGTAGAAATAATGATAGTTCAAAAAGACAAAATTAAATGCCTATCTTTGTACTAAGATATGCCTCTTCCTCTCACCAGAAGACAGCTTAGAAGTCCTGTTCAAAGTTGACTACTGGCTGAATTTAAAAGTCTAAAAAGCTAGATCACCTGATTTTCCCAAACCCTTAAACATAGTGGTCATAAACCTGAAAGGGAAAGGAGACCGCTACTGGAAAATGCATGAGCAACAAAGACAGCGAACACCTAAATCACCCCCTATAGATAACACTTAATTATGGGATAATAAAATCTAAGCAATGCGGCGGGGGGGCGGGGGGGTGTTACTAAATGTCCTTGTAACCCATGATTTATTTCTCTTTCAAACATCATAAAAGGTGATAGAATACGTCACTGAAAAAGAAACAAATGGGACTGTGACTATAAAATATTCCTGATATTTATGAGTCAAGCTATAAGTTAATTTAATTTACTCACAGCAAGGACGGTTCTCCAGAAGAAAATGACGAATGAAACAATTCCCAAGAAGGCGGTGATAAGCACAGGCTTCCATGGCAGTCCATAAAAATCAGGTGCAGACTGAACATCACCAGGCAATGTAGAAAGCAGCTGAACAGGAATATTAGACACAATAGGAAACCATAAAAAACTGGCAACAGAGCAGCCACAAAGAATCACAGAGAAACTTCTAAGTCAACCTCCATCAGATACCTATCGCCTCAAAAATCTTCAGTAGCTTCCACTGCTTCAACAAATACTGGCGGCCTCACATTTCTCGCTTGCTTTGAAATGTTTCTAAACATTATGAATCTAAATGTCTTTCAGTTGTGCATAGATTCCAGTCTGCAACACCACACACCACATCGTGCTTCTAACACATGTCTAGAATCCCTGTGGATCACACTCTTCCTTGTTTTTTAATGTCTTAAAAGCCACATAAAACAACTGAAATACTATAAAGTAACCAACTTTTACGGTTGCAGATACACCCAAAATGATAATAAGTAACACAAATAACGTGCTTTTCCTCTAAGATTTTAAATCTTAATTCTATTCCACTCTTTCCTAAAAACAAATGCTGTGGCGGTTCAGACAGCTGATACTGGCCTAGGCCTCTCTGAATTTAACCGTCATCTATAAATCTCAATGCCCTACTTTTAAACGCTTTCTCAAAGATGGTGCAATACACACCTGCCCACTTCTCCACCGTTTTCGCCGCCGGCTAGAAGCACACAAGCAACTGTCGGAGGCCCCTCCCCCAACAGTGCCAGGGTCACTGGAAAAGGCGGACCCACAGGGACGTGATGATCGCGGCTACGACAGCGATCACCTACCAGCAAATGACACAGCGTCTGCTACACCGTAAGTGCTCACTAAAAAGTGAAGGGGCGAGGACACCGCCTCAAATACACGCCCACTGGTCCCCTTAAACAGCACTGCAGGGTCCTGCCCGCCTCGGGCCCGACACTCCATTTCTCCCTCGCCCCGTCCGTCGGGGCCCCCGCTGCGCTCAGAACGCGCCCACCAGCCTGCCAGCGCTGGGGTCCCTCCCCGGGAATGGGGACCGTCACCTCCAGGAGCTTGGCTATGAGCGCTGCGTAGAGCACCGACAGGGGTCCCAGAAGCTCCGAATCCCCCGCAGAAGCGGTGACAGAAGGCACAGTGGCAGGTACTGAGTCCATTGTGTGGGGATGAGCGGAGACGACGCCTCTCCGTGTTGCAGCACCGGATCCCCCTCTCTCGTCACCGCTTCCTCCCTCGGAAAGGACCCGAGGGGAGTGTACTGGGAATGAACTTCGCCTTCCCCACGCAGACACCTTCCACCCGGCACCTTCCGCGAAACACGTCATCGGACCCGGCCCCCGGGCGCACGTAAACGTGCCAGCGGGGCCGGCCCCGCAGTGGGCGGAGCTCCGGCGGAAGGAGCCAATGGTCGCGCGGCGGGGGGAGCGGAGCGAGCAGACCTGCGCGGAAGAAACCACGCGCCGCGCCGCGGGGAGGAAGCAGACTCACCTGCGGGGACTAGGCGACTGTGCGATCCGGGGGCGGCCCGGGAGCCAAGGGGAGGAGAACGGGTGGGGCCAGCCACTCTCGCCGGCCCCGAGCGAGAAGCTCTGTCATTGTAAGCAGAGACTCCAGACGCATGTCGCCTCTCCTGCCCCGTCCAAAGGATCACCGCTGTGACCCGGTGGCCGGCTCCTGGGAGAGGCCTTCCTTCCCCGCATCTCCCGTGCCCTGCCCACGGATCCCCTCCCCGACCCCAAGAGGCTCACACAGTCTCACGTTGTGGCTGATACCCCTTAATAAGCCGTGTTCTAAGGAATCGGGGTATTAGCACGCCCGTGCCAGTGGGTTCAGTTCTGGGTCGCACACCTGACGGTTTACGGGCCTTACGGAAAGAGACAAGCGTTATGAAGAAACTGGGGACATAAACCTGGAGAAAAAAACAATTTTTGCAGCTCTTCAAAGGTACGTCTTTGGGTTGAATATAGAATCAATTCAAAATAGTAAAGCAAGAGCAAGAGGGGAAAACCCCGAAAAAATCGGAGAATGGAGGGGGTGGGACGGAAGGTGAAGACAGACTGTAATTTAGCGTGGTTCTGGCCCAAGAATACAGACTAGAAAATCTAGAAATGGACCCAAGGGCGTTGGAAATGTGGGATACAGTAGAAATTAGTTGGGAAAAACGACATTTTACTAAATGGTGTTGGCATAACTAAATAACCACATGGAAAATGATAAAATGGTCTTTTTCTCACTGTTCATAAGAATGAATTTTAAATAGATCAGAAACCTGAACGTAAAAATACAAACAAGTACTAGGAAAAATATGGGTGAATTTCTCGATGTAATTATGTCTTCAAATCCAAGGGGAAAGATTTGTAAAACGTGATTACTTAAAATAAAAAAAATTGGCCAGCCCCTGCACACACAAAATACAAAGTAAGCTAAGTGTGAGGACACCCTGAGGAAAAAATATTTGTAACGTATATGGACAAAGGGTTCATAGTCCTAAAATATCAAGAACAAATAAATAGAGAGGAAAATGACCAGCAAGCCTGTAGAAAAATGGGCTGAAAAATGAACACAGTTCTCAGGAAAAGAAATAGGAATAGCTGACAAACATATGGAAGCATGCTCTGCCTCGCCCATAGGGGAATACAAATTAAACCTACGTGAGATTCCGTTTCTCACTTCCATCAGCGAGATCCAAACATTTAACAACACACTGCGGGCGAGGGAATGGAGGGGAGACAGGAACCCTCACAGGCTGCCGTCCATTCTGTAAAATGGTCCCACCCCTATGCCTGGGAATTGGGCGTGACTCCCAAAGTGACCTGTGTTTATTTCCCTACTAACAGAACAATCCCACTTCTAAAGATCACAGGTTACAGAAGAACAAAAGTTGAATACCACACACAATACTATGTTACTCCAACACTATGATAACAAAAGACTGGAAGTAACCAAAATGCCCATCAAAAGGAGAGCTGTTGAATGCACTAAAGTATACTACGAAACCACAAAAAAGGGACTCAAATAATTCTACATGCCGTTAGGGTATGGTTTCCAGAATAGTTTTTTAAAGGAGGGGTAGAGAAATGGAAAATACTATTATCTAAAAAAGGAAGGAGAGACAAACATTTTTATGGCTTGGAGGCAAAGTTGACATGCAATAAAATACACGTATTTAAAGTGCACAATTTAAGTTCTGACCTGTGTATACACCTATGAAACCATCATCACAGTCCACATAATGAACATAAATCCGTCACTTCCAAGTCCCCACATCCCCTCGATAATCCCACCTCCTGCCATTAGCCACCCCTCCCTAGCCCCACCGCAGAATTTTTGTCATCGCAGATGAGCTCACCTTTCCTAAAGCTGTACGCATATGGAGTACTACAACATGCGTTCTGTTTTCTCGGCCTTCTCTCACTCAGAATAACTTGAGATTCATCCATGATGCTGCATATATCGATAGGTTATTTTATTGCCCAGTGGCATTTCATTTGTGTGGCTATATCATTATTTTATTCACCTGTTGACAGGTATTTGTTTTTATTTCCAGCTTTGGCTTTTACGAATAGAACTGCTATGAACAAATCCTTCTGTGAATGTGTAATTTATTTTCTCATGGATAAATGCTTAGCAGAGGGGTGGCTGGATCATTTGACAGGTGTGTTTACCTTCTTAACTAACTGACCAGCTGTTTTCCAAGGGGGTTGTACCATTTTACATCCCTACATGTATTTACATACATGTATTTACATCCCTGTATAGTATTTCCAGTTCCTCCACATCTTCTCCAACACCTGATACATCAGTCTTTTTAATTTTAATCATTCTAGTAAATGAGTAGTCATAACTTATGGTGGTTTAAATTCATGTTTCCCTGATAAATATCGACGTTGAGTATTTTTTATTGTGCTTATTTGCTACTGATATAACTTCTTTGGTGAAGTTTTATTTTACTATCTGCTTTCTAATTAATGAGCTCTCAGAGTTCTTTATATATTCTGGATATGTCTGTTATCAGAAATATGCTTTGCAATGACTCCCTCCCAGTTTATGTCTTTTAACTTTATTATCAGTCTTGAAATCAGGCCATGTTTGTGCTATTCTAGGTCCTTTGTATTTTTTTATATGAATTGTAGAATCAAACTCTCATTTAAAAAAAAAAAAAAAAAGAAGTCCTGCTGGGATTATGTTGACTCTGGTGATCAAACTGGGAAGCTTAACAATATTTGTCATATCATTTGTCACAGTGACAAGCGATAGTTTAACAATAGTCGTCTGACTCATGAAGAAGATATACCTCTCCACATATTTGGGTCTTCTTTGTTGTAGACCTATCTATTTTTCCATGTAGTTCTATCAATTTTTGCTGCCTGCATTTTGAACATCTGCTATTTAGGAGCACAATAGTCAGGACTGTTTTGTGCTCTTGATTAATTGACTCTTCTATCACTAGAAAATAAATTTTCTTTATCCCTGGTTCTCAGGCTTTTGGACTCTGCCTGAATTACACACCACCAGCCTTCCTGGGTCTCCAGTTTGCAGAGCGCAGAATGTGGGACTTCGCACCTCCCTCCGTACGTAGGTCAAACCCTTATAATAAGCCTCTTCCGACATACAGGCACACCTCTCTGCACGGCGCTCCACAGATCCTGCATTTTCACCAGCATTGAAGCCAAGCCCTCCGCTAGCAAATGATTGTGACTTAATGAAGGCCCAGGTAATGGTTAGCATTGTTTAGCAATAGACTCTTTTTAATTAAGGCACAGACACTGATTTTTTTAGTCATCATATTATACCCTTAATAGACTACAGTATTGTGTGAACACAACTTGTATACGCAATGGGAAGCCAAAAAACTCATGTGAGCCACTTTATTATGATGTCATGTCCCCGCAGTGGCCTGGAGCCAAACCTGCAACGTCTCTGAGGTATGCCTGTATGTGCCCAGCCGCTTCTGCTTCTCTAGAGAACCCCGACGGAGACAATAAAGCATTCCTGAGCTCTGTTCTGGGATGCGGGTCAATGACTGAAAAACAGTTTGATTTATTTCGCGCTTGCCTTTAGGTTGATTAGGGGAGACAGGAGCAGCCCTGAGTCTGAGCAGGGCCCTTCTGAGCAGCCTGCCCAGTCCCCCTAGGATTCTAAGGCCCTGTCCTCGCACCGTCAGGAGCTGTGGCCTGGCATCACTTAGACGCTTGCTCTGACCTCCCGTAGTCCTGTCACACGCAATAGTGTGCCGATCAGTAGTCTGCTGAGTGCCCCAAAGGGGCCTTTCAGCGGGGTACCGGGTTCTCGGCGGGGCTCTCTCCTCGGTCTTCTGCCCTGCGAACTCGCGCTGCCTTGCCCTCCCTCACCCGGCTCCCTCTGCGCACCCCAGGCTTCCCCGTTTCCGAGCCTCAGCCCGGGCGGTCGCAGTGCAGCGGTAAGTGGGGACAGACGGGGGGGGGGGGCTCCCAGCATTTATTCCTTGTCTCCCTGGAAGTCCTGTTCTTTGTTACTTGATGCCCAGTGTCTCAAAAACTGTTGTTTCATTTATTCTGTCTGGGGTTTTTTAAGTTGTTTGAGTTAGCAGGGTAAAGTCGATACCTGTAAATCTATCTTGGTTGCATGCAGATATCATTTGTTTATTTTTAAGTGATAGGACAGATAATGATACTAGATTTTTTTATCTGTAGAGGAGGGTAACAACGGGTTGGATGGAACTGGGTCAAAAGGTAGCCTCTGAGAAGAGACCTCGTTTTACAAGTTCACTTTGGATCTTGTAAATATGTTAGATAATTATAAAACAAAAACATCTTAAAGAGCAATCCCTAGACACTGAAAGCAAAAATGAAGCAACCTGTGCATCAAGTTGGTGGCAGGACAATAGAAAGGAATTACTTCGAGCATACCCTAGTGGAGTACAGCATAAACACAAAAAGAACGGCAAAATATTTTCAATAACATGATGATGGTAGTGTTGATACTGGTATTTTTAATACTGTTGTGTGACTATTGTAAAATAAAGTAAATAAGTAATTATGTTAATGTTATTTCCAACATGAGAGAAAGAAAACACAAATGGAAGACAGATGAGGTTAAAAAAAAATCCTTCTGGTGTCCTGAATTTTGATTGTCAATATTCACCCACGAAAAATCCCACACGTATTTCCTAGCTCTGCCCCCTGAAAAGGCCCAGAAATGACGACCAACTCAAAAGCAATGAGCGATCTTGGTAACCAGAATGCAGTCTCTCAGCACCATTTCCCATGAGCAGGAATTAGGGCTCCACAGACAAATAGCTCCTGACCCCGATGACCAATTCAGAAAATATGAAGAACCAGAGAAACATGTTCGGTCATAGCAGGGCGTGCAGACCTCAGTACGGGGAGGGAAAACCAGGCGGAGGACGCCAGTATCACTGAGGAGGCAGACATCAGAACTCAGGGAGACCGAGGTCCCTGAAACGCCCGGAGAAAGACACCTGAGACGTCAGGAGAGCTCCAGAGAAAGAGAGTTCCAGAAAGTGCAAGGGGGGTTCCTTCAGTCTTGGACGGAACTGAAAGCAACACCTATGTAAGGTAATATTGCTTGAGGATGCCCCCCGTGCCCAAAAACCTACAGACCAAAAACAACAATAAAAAAAACTACCAGGAAGCTGGGAGCTGAACAACTCTGAGTTAACACTGGGCTGAGAGACGTTGGTGCTCCAGCGAGCCAGGGCGCCCTGACCTTGCTGAACGCCCAAGTACTCAGCAGATTCCAGGAGAATCACACCTTAGTGGCAGGGCCACGCTCGCCCTAAAGGCTTCTATATATACCTCCCTAGCAAATCTTTGAAGTAAGACTAGAAGGATCAGGCTGATCCTCAAGTAACTTAACAGACAACCAAAACAAACTTCAGCACTTTTTAAAGGAAGCCACTAAAATCTGGGCACTCAACAATGCAATATTCACAGTACTTGGCATAAAAAAACCAAAACACGAGACATGCAAACAAGCAGGCAAGTGTGTCCATAACTAGGAGATAATCCATAAAAATAGGCCAAGAAACTGCAACGGAGATGACAGCTTCAACTAGCGTACAAGGTCTTTAAAACTGTTATTTTAAAATATACTTAAGAATTTTTTGAAAAAATAACAAAACCATGACCACACTAAGGAGAGAAATGGAAGATATAAAAGTAGAACGAAGTGGAACTTTTAGAGAGAAAAAATAATATACCAAAATGAAATAATCTGCAGTATATATGTGGATGCGCTGAAAAAGGGGTGATTCGTGTGACGTCACCACTCTACGCAGAACGACTTGCAATTTATTTCTGGAATTTTTCACTATTTTTGGACCGCACTTGACCACAGGTAACTGAAACTACATTAATCAAGACTGCAGATAAAGGGGGACTACTGTATATATTTGTTAAAATTCACTGAGCTGTATTCCCAAAATAGGGCCATTTAAGTGTATGTAATTTATAACTGGTTAAAGTTGCTTTAAGACGTATCAGCTGAATACAACATCTGGACCTCAACAAGATCCTGCTTTTGAGTGAGGACAGTTTTGAAAAGGAGGGGAGGGGGATTCTGAATGTGCCACATACGGGGGGAGACGAAGGAATTACTGTTAAACTAAGTGATGGGTCCGCGCATTCCTTTTACTATTTTCCCTGCTTTTGTATGTTTGAAGCGTTCCATGACATAACACTTAAAACAATTAAAGCATAACTTTGAATATGTAAGGAATTATTATGTAGAAAAGGAATTAGAAGACCTCATATAGAAGAAAATTTGGAGGCAGTATAAGAACTGAACCAGCCAAGAGCCTCGTAAGGCAGGCCGTTCCCACTAGGAATTCCTGATGCCCAGACTCCATCACCAGCGTCAGGGCTGTAGGAGCGGAAATTACTGCAGTTAGTGAGAGGCTGGGCTGGCTGCTCCCTAAGGTCTCTTCTAACCATGAACTTTAATTAACTGTTGATCTCCGAATCTGACTTCCGATGTAGTTTTCCTAATCAAGTCAGCAACCCATTATTCCCCAATTATCTATACTTAACTTGATACTTCACAAAAACTATTTCACATATTCCCCATTTTCATAGATACTTGCTATGACCTTAAGACTTTCAGAAATCAGAATGATGCTTTGTAACTCCTAGAATCTTTTATTCCTAACACAGTCCTCGGTAGGCATTGGGCCATCAATATATTTTGACAGTACCTTTCAAAGCAATGGTACTTTGTCACATTATACCCTTTTCTCTGGCCATTCATGTCTGTGTCTTCAAACCCTGGACTAGAACTGCAGTCTGTGCATACTTATAAATAAAGCAAGTAAAGAATGTCTCCCACACACGGCAGCTGTTACACTTCTGAAGTGAGGATGCATTCTGATAATCGAATGTGAATTCTGAGACTCCCTTAGTCACTGAAAATTTCATTACTCTAGCTCACAGGTCATATACACCTTCCCCGGTGCTGCCACCCCAGTAAACAAGGAGAATCCTGAAATCGGTCTGGTTTCCTTCCGTCTTTCCCTTCCTGGGGGCCTTTCTCCTGATTTCTTGGTAGCTAACGTCTTTATACTGCCCTCTGAGCACCCACACGAGAAGTGGCGGGGGGGGGGGGCGATGCCTACAACATGCTGGCACTGTGCTAGATATTTTATGTTATCGACTCGTGTAATTCTTACAACAATTGGAGTAGGTATTACCTGCATTTTAAAGATGAGGATGCTGATATTCTAAGCTTTGTAATTTGTCCACGCTTCTAAGTGATGTATCTGGGGTTTGAAACCAGACCATCCTGGCTCAAAACCCATGCATTTTACAGAACAGCAACAACAAGAACAACAAAACCCTTTTCCCTACATAAACCTTGAAATAACAGAACCTAGAGGAAAAATATTTTTGTCCAGGAGGATACTTCATAGCTCCAAGGGCAGCCTGGCCTCCCGCTTCTAAAAGCTGCCCATTGCAGTAACCAACCAAGAAGAACACCCAATTTCAAAAAACACCACAAGGGGGAGCTAACACCTAAAAAAAGATAAATTTCTAGACAGATCAAACATCTCATCTGGATTCTGACTTCGTTTAGAAAGATAAATCTGAATGAATATTCTAGCATAAGTGACTCTTTCTAAGAAACAAATCTGACCATACCCCTTTCCTGCCAAAAACTTCAAAGGACACCCATCCCTAACATTCTCAGATAGCATAATATGCAACTTCCTTTATGTTTGCCCATCTCCCCTACTCTGCACGGGAACACCAGCAAGCCTTCCCCTGCCTCCCCATCTCCTAGAACATGTTATTTCTCCAGACTGCACACTGCCCGGTCTCCCTCCCCCAGCCCTTCTATTCAAGAGCAAACGGCACATCAAACTCCCGCTGGTCCTTCAGCTCTGCTCAAAACTTCCACCTCAGCCCACTTCCGACCTCCGCTGACCATCTTTCCACCACAATGAATCAATTTATTCAACACAGGGCTCTACCATCAGTGAAGCACTTCTCGTTCTGCCTGCACGACACCCTGTGCAACTGAGCACCCTCACGGCCTGGCGGGAGGGGAAGGGCCATGCTGCTGCGGAGCCGTGGCCCCCGCGCCGCCGCCCGCGGCAGGTCCTCCCCAGGGGCGGGACTGCGCGCAGCACGTCAAAACCGTGCGCCTGCGGCTTGTTGCAGAACCGCAGTGGATCAGGAGTAATTTCCATACAAACGTTTTACGCTTTTCACCCCGTGTCCAGAACCAACTTAAAAACATGCTACTTGAAGAAACTGTACATGTCACACTTACCGTCTTAGTTAAATAAAACGTGAATGACTGTATTGAGAGAATTGTATTTTCCAAAGGCATGACACTTGCTGGCTCGTCGGCAGGTATTTCCGGTTCCATTTTTCCATCAGCCGTATTGTCAGGAGTGCTTTCCGTTACAACTCTCTCTACAATTGAGGAGGGAAACGAACGTTTTATTTTATGCTTTAGAGCATGAGTGGTTTCTCTTCACCTAAAATATTTATGGAGTGTCCCCTAAATAGCAGTCACTGTGCCTGCATCTGTCACTCTCAAAGACACTTACATAGCGAAAAAAGTTCAGAATTCCCCTTAGAGTTATGATGCCCTTCAATTATACGAGGACCATCTCCAACACACTCTCCCTACCAGATTAGCCGAGCACAGCGAGTGTCTAGTGGGAGAGCAGCTCATTCTGTGACTTCTATGCTTGGCAGGGGGTTAGGGAGACCAGCCCAGGGCTGCCAGGCCTTGCAGTGTCACAGGGTGAAGCTATACCTAGGCTTCTAGACCTTCAAAAACACAAAAACAGTAACGATGTCCTGTCAGCATTCTGGAAAGACAAGACAACACAATCAGCTGCTCTTCTGACATCCTGCCAAAACGAGTGAGCTACAGAAAAACTAGGAAGCTGTTGACACCAGTAGTAGGGTTGCATTTTTTTTTATTTTGTTTTTAAAACGACTTTCTCAACTCAAACAAAATGAGCTGCTCTCCCACTAGACATTTGCTGTGCTCTGCGATTCAGCTACTATTCACTGACGTCAGTCTGCACTGCACTATTATGGACCGTACTGTTGGCTGTACTCTTACTTGGTGGGGGGTGGGAGTGAGGTGTGGGGCGGAGGGAAATCCCTGAATTTGTGAGGAGCATGGCTCTCAAACATCCACCTTCCGCTGCTCAGAATTTCCTGGAGCGCCTGCTACGTTCAGATTGCCGGTGGCCACCCTCAGAGCCTCTGATGCTCCTGGTCTGGTTGAAAACCGCCGTTTTAGAGCGTACGGCTTTCAAAGTATATTTTAGTTTAAAATTATTCGCACAAGCTAATGCCAGCCAGTCACTGGCGTGTGGGTTGGTTACAGTCTCCGGCCTGATTGCTGTGATGGAGCACCACGTGTCTCCACGCCTGCTTTTCGTTCTGTTCTAGGATTTCTGATTACTGAAATCCATTCCTACCTGTGTTACTCTCCCCTCTCCTTCCGATCTTTAACAACAAATCTCCTCGAAGCTCTTCTTTATGACATGCCTCTGTTTTGTAGAAAAAAACGAGCAAGCTTTACCTGGCAGTGCGTCTTTCTCGGTATTCAGCTTCGGTGGCGCTTCTAAGACACTCACGTCACTAGTTACGGGCTCATCCGAGTGGCTATGCTCTTCAGGAAGCTGCATGTTAGGATCCTCGGTGCTCTCTTGGGGGACGTCATCTTCCAGGGGCGGCTGTATCTCTGCGTGGGGGAAGAGCACACTGGCTGGCGGAGCTTGCTGACACCCCCCATTCAGTTCCCCGCCCCCCGAGCGGCGCCCCAGCACCCGGCTCCAGGGCACCCCCGGCCCTGCCCTCCGGGTACTGGCAGCCAGGGACCCGAGTGCGCAGGGAAGGAAGAGTCTCAAATGCTTTTCCTTCACTGCAGAGATGGCTAACCTACTAAAAATGACAAAGAACTCCTTATGCCAAAGTATTTCATAAATAGCTAAATATACTTACAGCAAGGACCTCAGTAGCCTAACTTCCTTTGGCCCACACAGATAAATGTGCAAAAGAGAATCCCAGTCAAGAGCAAAAATATGAAACACCTCTGCTACACAGAAGTGAGATGAACTCTCGCGCACACAGGCCTGGCTGTCTCAGAGCCGGTACAGGGAAGGGCGTCTCACACGGGCAGCCTGCGGAAGGGCCTCCACACGGCCTCCGAGGACCTCTGACAGAGAGAGGACCCCTGTCCACCCCTAGCGGGCTCCACGCATAGCCCGGTGTGACCCAGAACAAAGGCGGATTTCTCTGAAACCCCTTAATGTACCTGAAAATTCAAGTTTTACATCGCAATCCGATACACATCTGCTTTAATGAAATGCAGAGATGTTCCCTTCCCCAGATGCTCAGGTACATTTGGCACTGGCGGCGGGCTGGGGGAGAGGAATCTATCCTGTGCCTTTATGTCTGCCCACCTGCTCCCCGTCTCCAGACCCTCGGTTCAGATACCTCGACGGGAAAAGCATGGGGACGTTGAAAAGAGTGCGCAGCTAGGGACCAGCTGGCACGAGGGGACTGGCTCAGGGTCAGGTCAGCCACTGTCCACTGAACGGCTTCTGTGTGTCAAGTGCGGCGTTAGAACTGTGTGTCCTGGTTCTGTGCTTGATCTATGAGAATGCGGGAACCCCAGGGCCCAGTCAGACGTGGCTGACCTAGGTGACTGCCCCAGCGAGGCAGAGTGAACACGACAGCCACAACAGACGACAGCTGGGGCAGTGAAGAACCTCAGGCGAGGCATCGATTGAACAGTTACATCTGTCAGTTCTCGGTCCAGCAGCAGCTACTTCATGATTAAGAAACTGTTCACAAAAGCACTTTCATAATTTTCCATGAAGTATGTACTTTGTTAACAGGTCTATTCAATGCATCTTTTTCTTGTTTCTATCTTTATCTTTTTATAGTTTCTTTCTGAAAATGCTACCATTCTCCACTACTGTAAGGAGAAAACGGGATAAGAAATCCTTATCCAAAAGGACAAGTGGACATCACTATACTGCCTCTTGCCTTTAGACACGTAAGCTGGACAAAGCTTTACAAATACGGTACGAGACGCTCTGCAACCCTGCACGTTTCCTCAGCCCCACTCGACAAGGCCACGGGGGGCACCTTACCTTCCGCGGGTCCATCCCAGCCTTCCTGTGAAGTCTGCGCCATGGCCAATGGCCCGGTGTCCTCCCCCGTCGCGTGCCTGTACCTGACAAAATAGATCAGGTCTTGAACGTCATCTAGCACTGCGGCCTCTTCAAATATGTTTTTTTCCTTCATTCCCAAACTTTGAAGTTCGGTCACACGAGTATCCAGCATTTTCTCTGCTATGCTCAAAATTCGTGACTCAGACGTACGGAAGACCTTATCTAGGGCTTTTTCCACATTATAGGGCAGGCTCTTCTGCTGTGCTGACTTCAGCTTTAGGGACATTTCTTGGAGCATGGCTTCCAGATTGTGGACATCAAAGTACTTCTGGAACCGCTGCCAAGACTGCTGTTCCTTGAAGAAGCTGCTTATTATAGGCAGGTCGGCCGTGTGGTCCCTGTGCTCTGGCTTTGCAGATGTAGGTGCGGCCAAGTGGGACACAGCGCCCTCATGCTCCTCAGAGGCAGCCCCCTGGCTCCGCGTCTGCCTGAGCGTCTCTACGTCCTGCTGGTCCCCAGGCTTCTCCGCAAGCCCCGAGGTTGTCAGGCAGTCCTCAGGCTTGTCTTCTGTAACAGAGCCAGACTCTTTACTCTGGAACACTTCACCTGGCTCTGGGGTCGGATAGGTTTTCTTGTCAGCAAAGTCACTTTCTTCAGATGGTGTCTGTGCTTTCTTACCTGCAAGAGAGCTTGTTTCTTTTTCTACCACCGGACCGCCAGGTTCCTTGCCGAGCGTGCCTACCCCTTTGCCCACAGTTTCATTTTTTCTTTCACTTTCCAAAATATGACTAGTTTTTTCTTTGTTTGCTTCAGTTTCTGCATCAGTATTCATGGTGCCTAAAGCCTCTCTTTCAGGGACTTGGGGACGAACATCGAACTGCCTGTCCTGCATCCCAGGGCTTTTTTCTTTAGACTGCTTTGCGCTCACAGCATTTTCATCCTCCAGTAGTTCTTCAGGGAAGTCATCATCATCTTCTGTTTCTGGCTTTTCGGTGTGGAGGCCTGGCAGTTCTGCGCTGTCAGGTTGGCCTGACGTTTCAGCCTCCGGAGCGCCCGGCTTTGGACGCACAAGCTCTTCGCCTGCGGCACCTCCTGTGACCTCCTCCGCCGGCAGCCCTGTCTTCTCACTCACTTGCTCAGGAACTGCAGGGGCCACTTCTCTTTCTTGTTTCCAGGACAGATTTCTTCCCAGAACGGGACCCTCATCTTCTAGCCCTGCTGACAAGCCAATATCATCCGGAGAGGAGAACCTAGGTTGATTTTGAGTTTTAAGAAGCTGTTCCTCTTTAAATTTCTCACTTAGATGCTCCACTGAAACTGTGTGTGGTTTTGGTCCGTTTACTAAAATATCTGCTTCCTCCTCCACACCGTCTTTAGATGCATTATGCAGATCAGCTCCCGACAGCGGTGTGGCATCCGTGGCTGCCTGTTTAATCTCTCCTTCCTTCGCCTGACTCCCTGCAGCTTCATGCTCCCGCCGACCCCCTGAGCCACCTTCCAGAGTCGGCTCTCTGGGCTTCTCCTCGCGGACCGTTCCTTTTGAGACAGGAACAGCTGCTCCTTTTAGGTCGTGTTCTTTGTTACTGAAGACCAACTTTAATGTTTCCTTACCCTTTTCAGTCGCTGGCAGAGAGTTGAGGTTACTGCTTTGAGTAGGACGGTGCGGAGCCCTGTCTTCTTTCTTTTCATCCTCTATTCCTTTCTCATCCTGCACCGGGTTCTTCTCAGATTCTTCAACCGTCTCCCCTTTTCCTTTAACGTGAAGTTCTGTGTCCATTTCTGGGTCTTTGTCATTATTGGTTTTAGGAGCTTCTGCAGCTGGAAGGCCGTCTTCCGCCTTTTGAGGGTCAGTGTAATCTGGTGCTAATTGTGGTGTCCCCCATTTGCTGTCTGGAACTAATCCATCATCATCTTCCTTTTCTTCCTCTGATGTAAAACTCTCGAAATCCACATCTGTTTGTTCCTCACCTTCTGTGTCAGCGGAGATGACAGTGTCTTCCCAAGTTGCTAGTAGATATTCTTCATCATTTTTGACGTGAAGGGCCTGAGTTACCTCTACCTTATCCTCTTCACTTGAATTCTGCTCTTTATCACTTGAATATTTGCCAACTTCTGATGTTGCTGGCATTTTCAGGTCTTCTCCATCTGTGAAAGTTAGCAATGGTATATCATCAAAATCTTCCTGATTGTCTTCCTCTTCTTCCTTCCCAACTACATAATACTCAGCATCGAATTCCTCATCAAAATCGTCTTCTAATGAAGTAACAAGTCTGGTTGTCTCGTCATCAGACACCAGCGCATCAGCAGTGGAGCCAAATTTGGTTTTCAAATCCAGATTCATTTCTGTTTTCAAAAGTTTATAAGCATCCATCTTCTCCTGTTCATTAGAGATCTGAGAATTATTGCTGGTTTTGTTGTTTTCATTGTCTTGCACTTTTAGTTTATCTTGAAGCATTTCTTCAAATGAAGATCGTTCCCCCTGAGAGTGATCTGTCTGACTGTCCACGTGGGGGTGGGTCTTTGGAGCCTCGTAGCCTCCCTTCTGCTCCTTAGTGTTCCCTGAGAAAACGCCATGTCGTCCCCCCGAGGCGGCCTGTGCCGAGTCAGGGTCAGGGGCACTTTCTTCAGACCCTTCAGGAGGTCTGTCCGCATGCTGGGACGTTGTTTCTGTAGCTTTCTTAGAATCTACGGTTGCAGAATTGTGCAATTGCAAAAATCCTAAAAGTTCTTCTACGTTATAGTTATCAAAATCATCTTTTCCCCCGTCAAAGCAAACAAAATCTGTCTCCTGTTAAGGGAAAGAGAAGCATTAGTAGGTTGCTGGCCACATGTCACAAAAGCAAACTCTCACGTGTGCTAATGACAGGGATAACCTCAAATTTGTGTTTGGCTCTAGAGGGGCTTTTGTGCTGACCTTGGGCAGCTGCTGTCCTTGAGTGGCCAGGAGGTGGGGGGCCGGAGCCCCCCTTTCCCTGGCGTCTGCTTCCCTGAGGCACGCCTGGCTTCCCTTCCTTCTCTTCTCCCGGGAAGGAGTGAGTCGTGTGGCTGGCAAGTCAGCCCTGCACCATCCCTCTTTTCTGTTCGGGACCATCTGGAGAGAGCACATACCCTCTCTCCTCTGTGCTGTCAGTGTTACAGGGACAGCTCCCCTGGGACAAACCCCCTCACTGCCCTCTGCCTCTGCAGTGTTAGTCTGTCTGACTAGACTGCAGTTCTGAGAGCCCGTTATTTCTACACACGGGCGCCATGTTGCCAAAAGCTTTATGAATGAACACTGGTGGCATTTTACTCTTCATCAGCCTGACTCCTGGGCCTCTCAATTTGTTCTGAGCACAAGTGGGGGAAAGTGGGGTGTCACGGATTGGGCCCCCCAACTTCCAACCTCTGTAGCTGATGTTCCGGCAATCAGCCGGCAGTGATTTGTGCAGGGGAAGCCGGGAACCACCCAGCATCTCTGTCCTGCCTCCTCGCTTACCCACCTAGAAACAGGCGGAATCACCTTGCGTCAGGCTCTGGGGCTACACAGATTGTTTAGCTCATGTTTTCCTTGGATTGGGAAAGATAGATCAGCTCCAGAAGGATCTTACTGAAGAACAGGTGCACAGAAAGCAGCAACTTAAAGAACAAAGAATGGTGTCCAGGGCTCCCACCAAGTTAACTGTTCCCACAAGTGTAACTTGAAAGCAAGAGTCTGTGAGGAACATACTCTGCTCTGCATCGGGGTTCTTGGTGTAGGCAAAATCTGCTTTCAGGACTATTTGTAAATCTATATTCTTCCTCTCCTCCCTTAAAAACCACATGGCGTAAAAGGGGCCATAAACAGAAGGGAGAGTTTAAAAACCAACGAGGATCATTCTCTTCTCCTAAATAACCCTGCACAGTACTCTGGGGAGACCTGCCCAGTGCAGTGTGGATGAGTGATTTCCTTCTCTCTTCACATGCATTTCTAAGCCATTTTCTTCACACCGAGAGTCGCGTGCAGTGGGAGACACACGGAGAACGCAGAATCCAAACAGGCGAGGTCCCTGCGGCCGGAGAACTGTTTCCCACATGCCCCGGCAGTCTCTCCGTTAGGGGTGAGGCCAGACAGGCAGTCGGGCTGATTTTATGGCCCTTAAGACTATCACTGAATTTTAAGAATAGCCTTGGCACCCTGGCTGGTGCGGCTCAATGGGCTGAGTGCCGGCCTGTGAGCCCAAAGGTGGCTGGTTGGATTCCCAGGCAGGGCACGTGCCTGGGTTGCGGGCCAGGTCCCCGGGAGGGAGAAAGTGAGAGGCAACCGATCAATGTTTCTCCCCCTCTATTCCTCTGTCCCTTCCCTTAAGTAAGTAAAATCTTGAAAAAAAAGAAAAGAAAAAAAGAATAGCAATGGCTCTAAAACTTCATGCATCCTGCCAGTCTCATCTAAGAATCGCCTAGGCCAGCAGTTAACGTGCCCTGCAGCAACTGTAATGAGCTGCTCAGAAGCTCCGACTGACGACCCCAGAACACAAAATCCTGGTCTTCACAAAGCTGTGTTAAGTCCGTGCACCCTAGATGAATGCTTTACAGATTGTGCAGTGGGCACCTTGTAGATTTAAGACAGGACAGCATCTGAAACTCTCAAGTTCCCTTTTCCAAATCTATAATATATCTAACCCATTAAATCACTAAAGAGTCAATAATAAGAAAATCCTTATAAATTTGTATTTCTGGCCTAGTATATAATTTAGGGTGTTTTAGCAATTTAACCTGATTTCTCTATACTACAACTGTCTAATAGCCATTCAATGAGTAGTTTTCAAATTGAGAGACCTTTTCTTTTTGCTTATAAAAAGAATTATTTACCTCTTAAATGGAATTAACTAAATGCAAAGACACTGAATTCTTCATTTTTTTCTCAAATCAGCAAAAAAAAAAAAAACCCCAAAACTGTACGAGTACACAGCCTTGTATAAGAACATCTGGTTCAATGTATTAAATAACTATCAGATTAAGATATAAACTCTCCTATAAATTCTTTTCAGTCTTCTTTTTTTTCTCTTTTTAAAGGTAGTCTGACTCTAAATTAAAATCTGATACACAAACATTAACTTCTTTTTTTTGACCCTGATACAGAAACATTAACTTCTTTTTTTGACCAAAACACACTGGAAGACTCAAAAATACAGCAAGTCCTTGAATCCTATCTTGTTCAATGTCATTTCATTATAACATTGATGAAGTAACACAGAAACTTAACTCTTGCCTATATCAATTAACCTATGATAAAACTGGCTTTGTTCTATGTCATTTTGCTTAAAGTCAGAGAACCTATTGACAACACTAAGTGAGGATTTAGTGTAGTTAATAACTGATGAACTTGTAAACCCATTTTAATAGAGAACCAACAAAAAATCCACAACTTACATCTGCTGGAACTTGTAGCTCTTTTTTAATATATTTATGGGCTACGTGGATTAAATCCTTTGGAAAATATCCAAAAATACGTCCAACCTATATAAAAGAATGGGCAAAAGAAACAAATTTATCAACCAAAATTCTGTACAAGAAATACAAATGAGAGAAATTTAAATGAAGTAGTAAGCTGATAGGTAGCAACAACTACAGAAACACACAGTCACTTTAATGATTACAGAGATTATGATTCTAATAAAAATAAAGTGCATAATATTGTAAAGCCAACTTTTCTAAAACCACTCAAGTTTTCTTTCAACATTCAGCTTAATTCTAAACACAGAGCACATGAAGTTAGGTTTTTGAAGGAGACAAAAGATCTGCATAAGAGAAGATTGTTGTATATTATATGATTAAAACTATCCAAATCAAAGCTGGCTGGAAACACAATTCCAAATAACCTCTGGCAAGAATTGACCTCCACATTTCATGGCATTGATCACAAACCAGTACTGATACGTCTTCCTTAAACCAATAAACACCAGCCATAAAAAAAAATAAGTAAAATATATAAAATTTCTGAAATGTATGACCAACACTACAAAAGCAACTATTTCTTGATATTATAGGCTGTACCAGCTTTTTCAAAAACTAGATTTTCCAGTATTTAGGGAGAAAATAAAGTTCATAATAATGTATCCACCAAACTTTAGTTTTATGCAAAGTGAACCTCTATAGAAGATTACCCCAATTATCTGTAGCACTAACAGCTAAGGTTATACTAAGTTGCATCCTCTTGAAAAACATACACTGTTACCTGCTACAGCCTGGACAAGAGTGGTAGATCGCTTCCCAGTCATTAGAGAAGGAGACTAATAGGCAGATCAAATGCACAAGAAGAAAAAAAAAGGCTATCTTATCACTAACTCCTAAAATATCCTCATTATGAGCACTCTTGTTATATCTGGCAGCTACCTGAAAGACAGTGTTGGTGGTACAATACTGCCTCGGAGATTAGATAAGCCAGGGCAATTAAACTGCTACCCTGGCGGCTCAAGTCTTAAACTTGAAGAAACCGAAAAAGGCTGCAGGATGAAAACTGAGAAATAGAAGAATCATTTGAAATCTAAGGAGAGAGAGTATTTAATTTCCTAAAGTATAAGCGTCACAAAATGAGAGAGATGAGGGAAAACATCCCTCTTTTTTCCTTCTCAGGAAAATCTTAGAAGAAAATCTGGAAAAGAGAAAAAAAATCAGAGATCTGTAGAGAACTACATTTATCTTTGTGTAAACTTTGTCATATAAAACTTCGTATTTTTATACTAGGTGGGGTCCCATTTCTTATGGCCTGACTCCCGCCACCCGGAAATGTTGCAGAATCATGGGCCCTCCTAACTAAAAGTAACCTTCAAATCTAATTTTGCTTCCATGCATTGTCCCTACCAAGGGACTGCTGATTTGGGGAAAAAAAAAACAAAAAAAAAGCAGAATATTGTTTTAAGAGAACAAACTGCATAGCTACTATCAGGATAAATGTAAATGCCCCCGCCCTGAAAGGAAATAGTCTAAAGGAACATGCATTACACATAGGTCCTTCCATTACAGAACTTTTGCTTTTATAGGAGCTAAGACAGTATGCACACCAACTGCAATACAAAGCAGGAAAAAAAAAATGTCATGTGAGCAGCGCAAACACAGTGCCTCCTAAACAACTGCCAGACAGCAAAGCTCCCCTCGGGCGGTGCTGAGGGCAGTGCTGCCCCCAGAGGCAGGATGAGAGGCGCGACCCAGACGGCGGGCAGGCTCTCCAGAGGTGGGCACGGCTGTGAACGAAGGCGCGGAGGCAGAAAACTGCAAGGCGAGTTCACTGATTCAAGTGCTCAGGCTTGACCACTGCGTTACAAATGCAGCCTAAGGACAAGGAATAACTCTCCAAGAATAAAGATCGTTAAGAAATCGCATGTGGTAGACTGGAGAGAAACAGAATAGATTCTTCATTGTATTGAGCGATTCAGCTGGGATTCTTCCTAAATACAAGTAATGTGCCTGCCCAGTTGGCCTTTCAATATTCCTCCCTGGGTAGGAATCTGGAGTGCCCACAAAATCGATGTGTTTTTTCCTATGGAGGTTTCTCAAGGCTAATTTTCAGTTATTTGTTTTGGTGTCTCATTGAGATTGAAAGCTTTCACAGTTGGGACTGGGCACGTCTCAAAGTTTGGGCAGTTCTAAGGACATCGAAGACTCTTACTGCTCTCACACAGTCCACACTTTTTAAAAAGGACAGTGAACTCATACGCCTCCTGATCAGCCCACTCCTGGTGCACCTCCTCACTCACATCACGGGAGCACGACGCAGTCCCCGATTTCCATGGACACCCATAGGGCTGGGTGGGACTGAGCTGCTGGGGCAACTCAGGGAGCAAGTGTCTGAAAAGCAGGAACAGGATGACCCAGAAGTTGCAAACTAACAAAACATACAAACGAGAATGCACACTGTAGAAATGGCATTTTGCTTTTTAACAGACTAAGAACAGGACACAGGAGGAGGTAACTGTTCCCAGAACTGCCAGTTTTTCACAAATATGAATAATTTAGAAAAAAGAAATGCACACAACATCAACTTTAATCATGAAACACTATCTTGTACATAACAGCAATAAGTCTACTGCGAGCGAATCCTTCCATTTTAAAGCAGGGATGTTAGAAATGGTCAGATTGCACCATTTCAGCCCTTACTGTGCATGGGGTACCCATGGCCGAGAAGGCCGAGAACGTGATGCTGAGGAGCAGCAGCTGGAAGCAGCTCAGCTCTACTTAGGAAACCTCTCCCGAGCCCCGACTCTGTGCCAAGCCTGACGCCTGCCCGGAAACACAGCAGAGAGGACAGGCGAATGCCATCAAGGGCCCTAGGAACACAGTTTTTAAAATCGACAAGCCAGTACCAAGTCAGCAGAGAAAGTATGTCATTTTCTCCATCTTTTTCCTGGCAGAATTTGCACGTGGCTCACCAGATCTGCAGGTTCTGAATTGTAGTCCTTTCTATTTCTTGAATAAATCCTTTTTGGTGATGAAAAAGGAAAAGTATGTCCAAATTTTACTTACACTTCCAGCCCAAACTTCAGGTGATTTCCCTGCCAGTTTATAGTAGACATAGACACTGTCGCCTTTCTTAAAATTCACAAAACGACAGTCCGGGCCCGTAAAATCTTCCAGAGCTTCTCCCCGGTACATTAACACTGCATATAAAGAGAAAAAAGGAAATAACTGGGTATCAGGATTCAGCCTTCATAGTCTATACTGATTTTTCAGAAGTGTAAGAACCCACTGTAAACAACTTTCTCCAGTACTGTCCGGAATCCATCACTTTCAAGTCATGTGCCCACAGCATCTTAAAATCTTTAGAGTTTTATCGTTATAAATCATGACCACCAGACCCCCCGCCCCCAGCAAATAGGGGAGAGGAACACTCTCACTAGTTTTCTTTAGGGATAATGCTGAGGGATCAAAACCAACATACCCACCGCCACAACAAGGCTGTCCTCAATAAAACTCTTGGTTCCCTCTCTGACCTTCTAGTCTTGATCTTTGCTGTTTCATAGTCATAAAAATGCTTCATTTTGCAACCGTGTAAATTCAAGTGTAGATGCTGACTAGCTTAAGCATGGGCACGTGCAGTGGTAATAGGGAACTGGGGAGAGTGCCCAGAAACCCCCAAGGAATCAATTAACTTTAACCACTAAAAGACACCATCCTTAACTGGCTCTAACTGACACCACTAGCAGTAAACACTGTCAATTTCATTTGTGGGCCCCCCCCCCAAGTTGTCCTCTCCTTACAATATGTACATGAATGAATGGGAAAGGATATTGCTCTCTATATGATGGATCCAATCGCACTGCAAGGTAATACTTTCTGAAAGGAAATAATGTTTACTGTAGCCAGTGTTAAGAAGCTTTCAAAACAAATTAAAATACCCGTATTTACTTATTTCTATAAACAAAATCAAAAGTGGACATCACATGTGACAGGAACAAGCAGAATTTGTGAGAATTGTTCAGTTACCTTCAGTCTTAAAATGCAGGACTTAAATCACACCTGATTCAGAAACTGGGGGAAGTGGTTTTCCTGTTTGCTGGCCAAACACACAGTTTCTGATGTAAGATGAAATGGACAATAAACGCAATTAAATAGCAGAGACAAAGAAGGATGAAAGGGAAATAGCACTTTCCTAAAAGTCCATTAGCAATAAGTATATTAAAACGTATCTTTAAATACATGTTTTGAGGGACAAACATTGATTTAAAGGAGGTTATTTGGATTTTGAAGCTAAAAATCTTATTATTTTAATATATGTCAGCATCCTAATTCAGCGATAATCTGGTGAAAGGCCAGGGACTGTATCAGAATTGTAAACAGTAATGTTTCTCTTGTTCCCCTCAGGAGAGTTCATTGAGGATTTGTAATAATAGGTGAGGTGACAATACAGTGCGTTTGTAAAACATCTTTCTGAAAAGCACATACCATACAACACAGCCCCAGATCCTGCTTCAGCTGCTTCCTGCTCTTTGGTTACATTGTGTCATATGGACACAAGTCATATGACAACTTCAGGGCGCTCTCAACACCGTGTCTCCCACTGAGGAGGCATCAGCGACGTGATTCTCCAGGGAACTGGCTTTGATGAGCTCGGGTAGGGCAGTGCTTGAAAGCAAAGGAGAGCAGACGCGCCGAGGCAACCCTGCTTGCTAAGAACTCGGTTTGCTCCCAGAAAACTAAAGGAAAAAACCGTGGAAATTGCTCCACCTTTCTAGTGCGTATTCACATCGGCCCTGGGGCTGCCTCCAGGAACGGCTCAGCGCAAATCACATTGGCTCCTTTCTCATGGAATGGTGTTGCAGTAATACAAACTTCAAATTATGAAATTCTTTTTTGAATAACACCAATTTGAATATAAGTAGCTAAACTGTAGGCCGATGGCCTTTTCCGAATGAATATTTTCTATACCTTTTGATTTCGGCAGCGGTTATCACTAAGTTACAAGGTTATTTGAGACGTGCTGGGGGCCTACGAATCATCCTGGTTCAGCAAACACATAGGAAGAGATTCAGACACAAGGGGCTAAGGCTAAAGCTGGTTGGGTTTACAAAGCCCTTAGAGTATTTATTATTGTTACTTTAATAATCCTCTTCATCGGAGGAGTCTGGAGACCTCCGTCCTCTGCGACCCCTCCCAACCCTCCACCAGAGGCTGGGGAATAATTCCGCTTCCTGCGCTTAAGAGGAGGAGGCTGCAGGTCCCCGGTGGCTGATGCAGATCCTTCATAACTTTCGAGAGCCAAAGATTTTGGCCTTGCTGGTGCCCTGCCTGCCTGGCTGCTCGCAGGGGGACTTCGAAGCACAGAAATGACAGGTCCGAGTCACAGCGGGACGGAGACCTTGGAATACACCGCTTGCCTGGACTCCGAGATTGTCCCAAACCTGAACTCGAGTATCTGTTCAAAAGGTGTTACGCGCCCCAAACCCGAGTGAAGCGGAAGGGCGAAGGGGCAGCGCCGGAGCTCCCTTTCCGAGCCCCGTCATCACTCTTCGGCAGGGAATCCGCCCACCGAGCCTTGGGCGCATCTGTCCCCGCACAGCACCCACCCAGGTCCCCGCAGCGGGGGCAGGAAAGCGCCGCGAGGCAGCGTGGGAGCCCCAGTGCACGCGGTGCGCCGCCCCATCTCCCCTCGGAGCCGGGTGGGCGAGGGTAGCGGACGCTGGAGCTGCCCGGGGGGAAACGGGGCCACCTCCAACACCCAGAAACCTGCCTCGGTTGGCCAAGGAAAAATAAAGCGCCGGCAACAAGTAGGAGGTGCAGCCCCCCGCGGGCAGGGCCTGCCGGCCCGGGCATCTGCAGAGCCACGGGGCACAAATGCAGGGACCTGGGGCTCGCCCCCGACCCCGCTTCCCGGCGCTCCGCCCTCCCACCCAGGCTGCGACTCCCCCGCCGGCGTGCGGGCTGCCGAGCTCCCGCCCCCGCGTGGCCCGCCACTGTCGTGCCCCGGCACTCACTGCTGCATTCCACGTCGGCGCAGAGTTTGTATTCGGAGAAGCGCCGGTCCGCGTCAGGCTCCGGATGGCCCGGTACCAGCCAGGGCAGCCGGAGCAGGAGCAGCCACAAGGACAGCCCCGGCGCCGCAGCCATGTTGTGGTCACCGCGGGGAGCGGGTGACGCCGAGGACGAGGCCGGGGTTGGCGCCAGCGGGCGGGGCCGGGGGCGGGACTCCGAGGGCTGGCGAGCCGCGAGGCGCAGGGCGGTGCCTGGGAACGGTTGGAGTGGTTCCCGTCCGACACGTCAGCACCAGCTCGGGGAGGAGAGGAAGGGGTCTCCGGCGACGAGGACCGCTACTCCATCCTTCGCTCCCCCGCCCCCGCCTGCCCGGCGTCCGCGACCTTAGATCCCCTGATCTCGCGCCCACCTCTTGATGGGATGGCGCGAGGTTTTCGCACCTTCTCGTTTCTGATCGGCAACCCCCATTCTTGGTTTGGTGGCTCCTTTTCCCAACTACGAAATCGCACCCACGGTTTGCCACTCTCAGTCCCGGTTTCGAGGCCCCCTCTCCTTCAGACTTCCAGGGATTCTTGGGGCCCCCTCCCAGACACCCCTTTGATTAGGAATGGGGGGTGTGAGTGGACCGGTCAATGGGTGACGAAAATCAGAGCCGGCCGCCTGCTCGGTCTTCGTAGGAGGCCTGGGAGCTGGAGGCGGGCCGTGGATGGGTCCCTGTGCCGAGAGCTTCCGATTCTGGGGTCTTTATCCGTAAGGGAAGCAGTCATTTAATTCGACACAAATGTGTTGTGCTTCCCTTTCATGCCACCATTTCATGTCAGGCTCAGGGTGGTGTGCGGGGATGTGCAGGGCCAAGACGGGATACCTGGTCCTTGCTGACGGAGCCCGCAACGGAGCGGAAACCTACTGCCGTCAGAACGAGGACGAACCCGCGTCCGCGGAGGAGGAAGGAAACGGACGGCGGCTAACGCCCACGGAGTCTTGCTTGAGGAGCCGGTGTTATTCTAAGGTCTTTCTATGTATCGATTCATTTCATCTACAATAGTACCTAACAATAGTAGATCCTGTTGCTTCCGACCTTCATTTTCGAGAGGAGTAAATGGAGGCCTTCAGACTCTAGTGGGCAATGGAGCTAAGATCCAAACCCATGTAGAAACCTCCCTGTTCATCGCAACTCTTCAAAGCCTCCATCGTGCAATATGTAATTTCTGCACTTTTTCTACCTAGGGGAAGCAAAGCCTTGTTTAATCACAATAAAACGGAATTGTGGACATATGCAATTAAACACACAAACACGCCCACAGGTCCGCTCAGGGAGGAACGGCTGTAAGGTTCTGGCCGACGTGGGAGCGCTTTGCGTGTGTCCGTGACTAAGGCCCCGCCCTGGGGCTCTGTGAGGCCTGTTCATCACCCTGGACACCAGTCAAACCCATCAGCTGGTCTCCTCAACTACCGGGTTCTTCAACAGCAAGAAGAAAGAATGTGGTACGTCCACGCGATCCATGGTGCCGAGCAGCAGGGCAGATGGGACTTCCCAGATGTTCGCAGCGGTCTGTCCGCAGGGGCCGTGAGATGTTCCGTGGGTCCAGTGCCCTTCCCGCGCTACTTGGAGAGAACGCGCGGCCGACGAGACCGCCGTGGATTTCCGCGTCAGTGCCGTCTCGGTTGCTTCATTTTCCTTCTCCGTGGGTGTCTGCCGTAGGATCTTAGGTGTGTCTAACAGGCATCTCTAGCTTAATAGGAGAACTCAACCCTTGATGTCTCTCTCTCAAACCCTGCTCTGTTTGAGAGAAACGTAAAGCATGCCTAATGACATTTATAATGTCATATATAATGACATTTTAATTCCTGTCTTCCGGGTGCTCAAGTCAAAACTTTAGAGACCATCAGTGACCCCTCTTTCTCTCACCCCCCAAGCCTAACCTGTCAGAGTCTTGTGCACTATTTTCACAGCTCCATCGAGGTGTGATTGACATACATTGAACCGCACATACTCAGTGTGTGCCACCTGATAAGTTTCGGCGCATGCACACAGCCAGGAGGCTGTCGCCACAGCCAAGACCATCAACGTTGCCACTCTCCCTAAAAGAGTCCTCATGCCCCTCTGGGCCTCCTCCCCCCATCCCCTGTCTATCTCCAACAACCTGCTGTTGCTACGGATGCATTTGTAATTGTGAAAATTTGAAATCAATGGGATCATACAGTATGTATTATTTCTCAGACTTCTTTCGTCCGGCAGAAGCATTTGAAATACACCCAGAATCCGACCACGTCCCATGAGCTCCTACACTAACGCTGCAGGCCAAGCCACATCGCTCACCTAAAAGATCGCAATAGCCTCCTCGCTGTCCTCCTCGCTTCTGGCCTTGCCTTCCTAAAGTCCTATTAAGGGTTATAAACCAGGTAAAACCTAGTAAAAGCGTTAGCTAAAAATAAAAACATAAAAACACTATGATTGTTTACAATAAGAGAGTCAGAAAAACAAGAAGCACCCCTGCCTTTACTCTGTCACGTCAGCCAGCACAGTTTCATTTCTTCCTGGGCATCCTGAGGTCTTCCTTTCTTCTCTCTCCCCAGAGTTCTGCCTCTTGTGTCTAGTGTCACCCTGGGGGGCCAGTGTCTAGGAGACGGGTGCACCTTTTGCACCCGTGCCCAAGCAGTCTCCACCTTGGCTCCACCCCTGAGGGTGAGAGAACGGCTCTGGATCCTCCTCATAGTCTTTAGAGTGGAAACTCCTAAAAGATCAACAAATCTCTCTTGCTAAGACCAATCATCTCCCTTGGTAAGAACGGGGGGATGGGGAGAAGTAAAGAACCCTGCCACACAGCAAGTGCTGAAGTGTGGTTTGGTATAAATTCTAAACACTGAAGCATTCAAAGAAGGCAGAAAGTAAATGATGGTGATGGGGTTTGAGTTAGATCTTGGTGGGGTAAGTGGGACTTAGATTCCTAAAAGAAAGGAAAGGGAAAGTGAAGAAAGCAGCACAAGACAAAAGAGAGCAGAAAGTAATTTTTAAAGGACAGTAAAGAGACCTAAAGAGTAGTAGGAGATACATTTGGGTGGCTAGAGTAGATCAGATTATGAAAACCAGTCACATGAATTTAGACTTAATAGAGTTCAAGACAGAAAGCTATCAGACTTTAAGGAAGGAGATTATAAAACTAAAGTGAAGTTTAAGCAAGTATCTGGTTCTGAAAGCCAAGGAGAATGAAGTTTTGTGTTAAGCATGGCCAGTAGAGTTAAATCCTTCCCCACAATTAAAAAGCCATGCCAAAGTCATGTCAAAGGGTATGTTCTACAGGGAGTGAGTCACATATAAGGCAAGGTCTTCTATCAGTGTGTACTATTTTTCTAGTCTTGGCCAATATCCCAATTTTTATTGTACAAAGAAAGAAAAACATCTGAAATTGCCGCTAATATATAGGGTTATGTATAAGTACAAGTTCCTGTTTCCGGTTCTACCTAATTTACCTTGGCACTGTTTGCACAGAAATCAAATATTTGGTGCTTTGAAACAAATGCAAAGCAAATTCTAGGGTGGGGCCTGTACAACTCAATTTCCACAGTGTAGACTTTATCCATTACAGTTTTCAGATAAGGATCATTTCCTTACAGGACAGGAACAAAAGCAGGGAATGTAGTCAAAAGAATTAAGCTAGGTATCAGAAGCCTAACTGTGTGACCATAGGCAAGTCATCAGTTTTTCTGTCTTAGATTCCACATCTATAAAATTGGGGCTAATGTTAACACTTCACAGCATTTCTTTAAGAAGCAAATAAGATCACATATTAAAGGTTGCCCACTTATGTCATTTAAAAAATTAAACATCGACATATCTGGTTCTTAGCCAACAGGGATGGTTGATGGTGCAACAAGAGTCTCAGCAAATTAATGACTTTGTCACAAAGGGTCATTTTTAGATAATACCTACACTGGACACTTCCCTTCTCACTAAAGGTCAGATGGCAGGTAACATCCTCCCAATCACAACCCACCTGTTGACAGATCACACACCCAGACAGAGCAAAGTTCCTGAATGCTCAGTGTAACATTAGGAACAGGAACATAAATACCATTATGAAGACTTCTTAAGTGTCATTATTGAGCAATTGTATACAGGAAAAAAAAAAAGAGTTCCCTGCAAATATAAAAGCTCATTCCTATTTAAATTTGCATAGGATAGGAAATGGTATGGAATGTGTAAGAGGCTGAATGAATGGCATCAAAGCAGAATGATTAAAGTTCTAAATCTGATATTTCCCTGTTTCTCACTGACTATCTAGAACAATGCTGTCCAATAGCAATATAATGCGAGCTACCAATTTAAAATGTCTACAAGTCACATTGGAAAGGTAAAACAAAACAGATGAAATTAATTTTAGTAATATATTTTATTTAACCCAATACACCAAAAATATTACTATTTCAACTTGTAATAATTATAAAATTGTTAATGAGACATTTTATGTTCTTTATTTTGTTGGAAATCTGGTGTGTATTTTATCTTTACAGCACATACCAATTCAGATGAGGCACATTCAAAGATAGCACAGCTTAAGAAAGCAAGGATTAAAAATTAACATCAGAGCCATACCATATCTTTGTAAATGTCTATGTATTATTTTGCATATACGTATTTTAGAGGAAAAGAGCTTAAAATTGTGTCTTAGAATTTAAAATATTTTTGGCAAGCCTCTTTTGAACTTCTGTGGAAGGAAAAGGAAGGATGGTGGTTATGTCAAAACCTGCAATTTTTTTTTGTTTGCGATTAGAGGTTGAAGTTTTTGTTGGGATATCTGAGCATTTCATTGCCATTTCAAATGAATCCGAAGTCCTTAATAAAAAGTATAAGCTACAGTCATCATTATGCTTCTAGTCATTAAATACTAGTCATGCTTTTAGTTCTTATAATTATCTCACACACTTACTATTCTTGACAAACACAAAGAAACCAAGAATGACATTTAAATGGATAATAAAACAATGTGAATGCACGTAGGAAAACACAGCCACAATTAAGTAATAGACCAGAGCACGTTACTGATTTAGGCAAATATTTCTTGTTCTATTGGCTTTTTAGGGGACGTGACCTTCAGATCAGTACAAACTGCGATTATGCAACACCAACAAATCTGTGTTGTAAGCAGTGTTAAAAAATTCTGCAGGATGAAAGATGATGGCGCACCCAATGGGAACTGAGATGCACAGTGTTTTAGTTATCCTTCGTTATGTAACAAATTTAGTGGTTTATAATGATAATTTCTTATTTCTCCCTGTTCCATGCCTTGGCTGACCTTCGTCGGGTGGTTCTTCAGATCTGAGGGCTGTTGGCCCAGTCACGCATGTGGCTGCTCCTTGCAGCTGCAAGGGCGGGCTGGGGCTGAACCCTCATTCACATGCCTGGTGGCTCAGAGGTGGTGGCTGAAGGGGCTGGGATAGTCCTCTCTCCCTCCAGATGTTTTTCATTATTCAGTAACCCAGCCCAAACTTATTTACTCGCTGTCTGAGTCCCTAGAGAATAAAAGTAGGAAATACAAGGCTTCCTAAGGCCTACAACGAGAACTAGCATGGCATCACTTTTGCCATGTTTTTTCAACAAAGCGAGTCAGAGGACCTGCCCAGATTCAAGGCACGGGGCAGGAGGAATAGACTCTCCCTCTTATGGGAGGAGCAGCCTCCACATACAGGAATAGGAGAATTTCTGGCAGCTACATTTGAAGATAACCAACTGGAAGGAATGAAAGCACTGGACATGGAAAAACATAAGTCAACATAAAAGGCAATGTCTATTTTCCTTCTCCTAATTTCTTTAAAATACATGTGACTGTTTAGAGCAGAATAATACCGAACGTAAATGTAACATATAAGAAAACAAAGCACAAAGGACTTGGGGCGGTGGTAAATGGAACTATCAGTGGCAAGCCTTCTTTATTTCACAGAAAGTATCACAATTTTAACTTTAAGTAGATAATTTAAGAATGCATATCATAATTCCTACAAACCCTGCTAAACAGTAATGCAAAAAGAAAGAGCTAAAAGCCAAGAATTCAAAGGGAATACTAAAACATTTGATTAACCCCCAAAACGGCATGAAACAAAGACCAGAGGAACACGAAAGAATGGAGCAAATTGGAAACAATATCAAAATAATAGAGTCAATTTCAACAATATCAATTATTACAGTTACTATAAATAAAACACACCAATTGAAAGGTAGAGATTGTCAGATTGGATTAAAAATAAGAAACCAACTAATTCCTGTTTACAACAGAAGCACATTAAATAAAAACAGTTAAATATAAAGTAGAAAGATGGAAAAAGATACACTATGCAAACTGTAAATTAAGAAAGCTGCAATGACTGTATTAACATTGAATGAATTTCACTTCAAGATCAAGGGTGTCATCAGAGACAAAAGAATATTTCATAGTGATAAAATGGTTGTTACATCAGGAAGATGTAAGAACCATGAATGTTTATGTGCTTGGTAACAAAACTTCAAACTGTATGAAGGAAAAGCTAACATAGTAAAGGAAGAGACAAATCCACAAACATAATCTGCAATGTTAACACCCTTCTGCATGCTTTGCTTTGCTTTTTATTGTGTTTTTGTCATGCCATTTCTTTACCTTATTTATGGCTTTGGATGCAATATAATACAGTCATTTTCATTTCTTTTTACTCTCTTCACCTAACACATTTCCTACCATAATTGTACTGTGGGAAAAGGAAGGGTTAAGTTGGGCATACGAGTATAAAGATATTAGTCCTTAACTTTTTCTCTTTTATCTAGCGTTAACTAGAATTGTCTAAGAACGCTAAGGTAAATCAGAAATTTCTTCACCATTTTTGTGAGAGCATGAATTTCTAGCCTTATAAAATCAGTTCTGGGTGGGTTTGGGTGAAATTATACTTCATGGCAAGGGAAGAAATGTACCCATACCAAGCCTTTAGACTAGAAGCCTATGTCTACGGTATTTTATTTGTGTGACTTTCTGGACCACAGCGTCATTTAGATCAGACTTGACAGTGGAGTCAGAGCACAGGCTTGAGTGAAGCCAAGGACTTAGGACACAAGAAACAGCAGAAGGAATTTTTCTTGCAAGCTCATAGCTACTGCATGGTGTTTATGAGGACAACATAGAGTTAAGTACTTGTAGCATTTAAAGGAACTCCTGTACAAAGTTTACTCGACCCTTCAGTCGACTCTGCAATACTGATTCTGCTCAGTGGTTCTCTTTCCGGGCAGGGAAAACTCCAGAGATACCTGCGGCAGCCCATGCCATTATTTGTGCAGCCTTACAAAATTCTTGTAATGACTTTAAAGCTGCCTCCCTTAACTTTGACTCCCAAGTCCTAGTTCTATTAATTCGGAGGCTTTGAAAAAATAGTCTGATCCTCCTTTCACAGAGCAACCTTCCAAATTTTGGGGATATTGTGTTGCCGTTGGTCTCTGCTTTTCCAGGGTCGTCTTCCCTAGAGCTCAGCTTTCCAGTATTTCACATTTAGCCATCTTACTTTCGACCTCTATTTCAGGAGAAGTTTGTCAACGTTTCTCCTGACAGTGACTCCGTTGCTGAGAGGAAAAAGAATATTCTTGCCCAAATTTGGGGGAGGTAGTCAAGGGTCACCTATATTCAAAGCTAAATTTTAACAAAAGAGAAAAATGATTTCAAGGAAGCAAGTCAAGACTATGCAGATTTATTTTGTCAGGACCACCAGTCAAGCTAAAACCTAAGGGTGAATTACTTGGGTAGAGTGACATTGTGCTTTTTGACTGCTCGCCACATCCACTTGCCCTCGGGTCGCCCCAATATCCACCTGCAAATAAAGCCTCCCACTTTCCCGACTGGGATACACTCAGATGTAAACCTGGAGCGAACGCAATGGGAGGGCGGCAGTTCGCGGTTACTTCCGGGTTACTTGGGGCGGGGGAAACCGGGGTGGGGAAGTGGGGGTCGAGCCGGAGACGGCGACGGCTGCGAGGCGGAAGTTAGGGTCGCAGCTGGGTCTGTGCGACGGAAGTTAGGGTCGCAGCGGGGTCTGCGCGCCGCCCTGGAGCCCGAAGCGGACTTTGCGCATGCTCACGCGAAGCGGTCGCTAAATCCACTTCCGGTGTTTGCGCCTGCCCCGCGGGATCCGGGAGCCCCTGCTTTGGTGGTACAGAAGGGGTCTGGCTTTGGACAGGTAGGGGCCTCGGGCATGGCCCATTAGTCACTGCGGCCAGTCGGGGCGAACCCGAGGGGCTGCGCCGGCGTTCGCGCGCGTTCTCCCGGTATTTTCTCCTGATGCGCCCGGCCTCGAGCTCTGAGAAGGAGGTGCAGGTGCGGAGAAGCTTTGGTTAACGTGGTACATGCGTGACACTTCTGTCGTCTTTGAGAATTTGGGAAGGCGGAGCGGCCTTCTTTAAGGACTGAACACACGTGCGTGGGATTCCAGTTCATGTGCTACTTAAAACCAATGCTCCTAATCACAGAACTTGATTTTAGATTTACGCTGGCTCTGATGGGGAACAGCTAGGTAGAAAGCTAAGGCAGTAATCTAGACCCAGTTTGAAGGTGTCCTGAAGAGGGTAGCGGTGTAGGCTTGTGGAGAAGAGGGAAAACTGAAGAAGTACTAGCTGGCGGGGTCAGCGGGACCTGTAATTGAGGCGGGAGACAGCATAGGAAGGTGCCGCTGTTCAGGCCAGGAGCTAGCATCTTGGTTGCCGGGAAACACCTTTTAGCGCTTAGGTAGAATGAACAGCGAAGCAAGGCAGGGAGGAGGAGGGAGACACGTCTCCCACTAACTCAGCAGTCGGGAGCCTGTCCAATAATATTGCCAGGTGTTCCAGCATCACAGGAGACACTATGCCAGCAAGGAAGGAGGGAAGGCCTTGAAATCCTACCTAATGTTTCCACTATCTGGGAAAGAAGGCCTTGAAACTGCTTTCATCCCACGGCCTGAAATACAAGAGGGTTTTTTTTGGTTATTGTTTTAAATCAAGAGGGCTTATCTATCTTTGTGTTTTCTTGAAACATAGTATTTCTCTGTTTTTTGAATGGATCATTTATTTTGGCTGCTGCTGGCATAATTTTTTGGGGGGGGGGGGAGTAACTACCAGTACAATTAATTGTGATCAGGTGATATTTATTGGATTTAAAAAGTCTGTTTTCTGTATAACTTAGGAGGCTGTGGATTACGATGCACAGAAAGTAACTGGTATTCTCATTTTGAAGTAGGTATGAGTGATTTCAGTGAAGACTTGCGAAGGCGCGGGACAGAGGATGACCCAGGGGAACGGAGTGTGCGCTCTGGTTCGGGAATGCGCTTTCCTTGGCTGCAAAAGCTTCTGGAGAGTGTGGGTAAGTGGAACAACACACGAGCATTTTGCCTTCAGCGCAGGTAATAGTAAGATTATGGCTACAAAATGAGTAACCAAGCTGGTTCACTTTTCAAGATAGGAATAAATGCATGAACGTGTTTTATACTGTAGCCAAAAAGAAATCATAAAAAAATAGATTCTTATTTCTTTTAGAATTCTGTTCCTTTGAATTAATGATAGCCTATGTTATTTTAGATACTTTTCTCTCTCTCTCTTTTTTTTTTAACTGAGGACTTATTATATCCCCAGGCTTGGCTAACTAGTGGGGCTGCTTAGATGAAGAAGTTGGGGTTTCTGGAGTTGACTACATACCTAGAAGGTATTTTCAAGAAGTTTCTGTTGAATTGCATTGAAGTAATTCCTAATAGAATTGACCTATAATAGATTCAGAAAAAAGAATATTTCCTTCCATTTTCATAAAGTAAATAAAGTGTTTCTATGGGATGAATTCCATACAGGAACATATAAGAGAAGCAATTATCTGCATGTGGGAATGTTGGATGGTGTAGTTCTGGGAATACATTTGAACCAGCACTTTTCTTACGTGTTCAGCTACATCTCTCTTAACCCAGCCTTCTCTCCCCCACCCCCTTTTGTGGCTGATGGGTCATAGGTGGGTTTTTATTTTGTTGTTGTTGCTTGAGTAAGAGAGAAGAAAATTGTAATGAAATGGAAAAGAAAAAGTGCCAGATTGATAATCCATTCAGTGGGAGCCCCAGCACCCGGCTCTATAAATACTGGGCAGCTATTCTTTGCAGGGAAAATGACATAGGTCATTAGGTGGAGGGTGAAGAAAAGCTGTGAGTCACCGATGTGACCTGACCTTTGACCGTGTGCAAATTAGTTTCCTTTGTAAGGTCTTGGGTAGGTTCTTTTTTCCTTAATAATCTGTGTCTTAAAATATGCAAATGCAAAAAGAGAAAATGGGGCATTTGAAAATAATGCCAAGTAAAATGCTAACTTATAAGCTAAAATGACTCATTTCTTTAAATGCAGTACGTTTATGTAATGATGGCTTTCATCTGAATTTGTTGTTGACAGAAGAGACGTCCGAACCTATAAAGAACTTTTAGAAGCATTTATTTGAGCCTAAACTGATGACAGTTGCTGGGAGGATGTCACATGCTGCTTCTTTCCCCTTAGCGTCTAGACTTTAGCTCCTGTTTCTTTATCTTTTGATACAAATCTCATCTAATGTAATTATATCAGTAAATTCTCAGTAAATCTTTGTGCTGAGTATTTTCAAGGTGAGGAAACTAAATCTCAAATAACTCTTTTAGTGCTGGTCTCAGGAGTCAAAGCCACATGTATCTCAAAGCCCATACTTTTTTTTTTAAGATTTTATTTTTTTATTTAGAGGGGAATGGAGGGAGAAAGAAAGGGAGAGAAAGATCAATGTCGGGGAGAAATCTGTTGCCTCTCTCACACACCCCCCAGCCGGGGACCTGGCCTGCAACCCAGGCGTGGGCCCTGACTGGGAATCAAGCCAGCGACCTTTCGATTTGCAGGCTGGTGCTCAGTCCACTGAGCCACACCAGCCAGGGCTCAAAGCCCATACTTTTAATGACTGAAATATATGAGGGGGGAAAAAAGATAACATGTAAAGTTATCTAGCATAGAGCCTCCTGCACGGTGAGTATTGAAAAAGTAATAGTTTCTTTCCCCTTATTTTTGCTGATTAATGCACATGGTTTAAAGACTCTTCTCTTTAATCTTTATAGCGACTGGAGGGAAAAAGGAGAAGGATTTTGCTCAGACAACAAGTGCCTGTTTAAGTTTCATCCAAGAAGCTCTGCTGAAGCACCAGTGGCAGCAGGCGGCAGAATACATGCACAGCTATTTCCAGATCTTGGAGGACTCGGACAGCGACAAAAGGCAGGGCTCGCCTGAGGTGAGGACAGCGCGCGTCTGCTGGAGGAGGTTGCCGATGTAGGCGCGTTGCAGCCTCTTGAGCTCTGCCCACATTAGCTTTTGTCGGATCTCAGATTGATTTAAAAATACCATATAATGCGGCCCCATGTATAAAGTGCGCCCACAGTTCCCTCCAGGGTGATGTCACCTGGCTTCCAGGACTCGAGACTCTCCCTCAGTTTTCTCTGCGGCCTCACCGGCCGCTCCTCTGCCCCCTCCTCGCTGCTCGTCTCCTTGGCCATTTGACCGGGGAGCGGCCCAGAACTCACCCCAGTCCTCTTCTGTACCCGGACTCACTCTGGAGGGTCTCCTCCCGTTCCCGAGCCTTGCATTTGGTCTCTGTGCCGGAGAATCCCAGTTGTACATCTGGGGCCCTGACGTTTCTCTTTCATTTTCATGAAAAAAAGAGCTCCCAGTTCTGTCACCAGGGTTTTGGTGCTCTGGGGAGAAAATGTATTTCCGTAGCATTTGTCCATGGCGGATAAAAATTCTTAAATTGGAGTTTTCTGTCTACATTACAGAGAGTCAGCAGGTACAAAGCTTGTTGAGACCTCAGGCAGTACCTAGTCTGTTGCTCTCGTTTTGTAAATAACAAAGATGAGACCAAGAGCAATGAGGAGGCAATATAATGGAACCCAAGTTTCTTTTTATTTTCCTCCTAATTAAAATTTTTGTCTTCAGTGTGTATCTTAACTGCCCCCCTTTTTAGACTGGTAACTTTAAAACGGCCCTGTGACAGCTCGCTGGTGCTTTGACTCAGGTGGTGGAAAAGATTTATCACCTGCGTCACAGTGTTAGTTGCACTGTGGGAAACACAGGAAATGACAGTGGAGGTGGCATCAGCGTTGTGATTGGAAAAAGCAGTTTTCTTAGACGCTGGTTAAGGCAGACACTTTACATCTCTGGTAGTAATTTCTGTTTTGACAGATTATTTGGAAACTCGGAAGTGAAATTCTCTATTACCATCCCAAAAGCAGCGTGGAGACTTTTAATGCCTTTGCTGACAGGATGAAAAACATCGGCGTCATGAATTACTTAAAGGTGAGAGCGCAGGCTTTGTGGCTGCGCCTCTTCTGGGCTCGTGCTAACAAAGCATGTCTCGGGTAGGAGGGAGCCAGGTGAGGGGCAGGGACAGGAGGTCAGGCACCCGGATAAATAAGAGAGTCCGAAGAAAGCAGTGTTGCCAGAACCGCTGGCTCCTCCGCGTCCGCCCGCCTGCCCCATCCTCTGAGTGAAATCCCTCCTCTCTGTGCCTCTGGCTGCCAGAGCCCGTCCTCCGGAGGCGGCACCCGTGTTCATTCCAGGGATGGGCCATGTTCCCACCCTTTGCCTAAGTCCTCTGAGCTCTAGGAATTGGCGTGTTTGGAAAAGGCTAGAGCTAAACAAATTGGGAATTTGAATATGTGAAAATGTTCTTCCCCCAACTGTATTGAGATATAATTGACATACAGCGTTGTGTGAGCCTAATGGCTACAATGTGATGATTTGATACATGTACACATGGTGAAAGAGTTAGCAGGGTAAGGTGAGATAACGCATCCTTTACCTCACCTAATTGCCATTTGGTGGTGGTTATGATGACCACATTAAAGCTCTCCTTGCGGCAACTTTCAAGTATGCAGTTCAGTGTTATCAACTATAGTTACCATTAGATCCCTGAAACTTACTCATCTTAAAACTGAAAATTTGTTTGACCGCTTCTTCCTGTTTCCTCCACCCTTGACCTGGCAACCGCCAGTCCACTTGCTGTTTATGTAGCTTTTACGTAGTGTCTGAGCCAGGCCACTCTCTGCAAAGCCCAAGTTCTTTCACTAGATCTCGCTGTCTTCTCTTTGGAAGCTTGTATCATTTTACCCTCATTTCCCTAGTGTTGTTTCATGTATATTTCCTCCTGGCTAGGTTGAAATTTTTGATAACAGGGACAGTGTCGTAACATTTGTGTCCTACCCTGGTCCCAGCCCAGCATGATGTCACTTGTTTGCTGAGCTGTCTGACGAATGGCTGTCGAAGGACCTGTAGGTCAGGGGCCATTGTCTTACTGTTGTTGCAGATCTCCCTACAACATGCGCTATACCTCGTGCATCATGGGATGCTTGATGATGCCAACCGAAACCTCAGCCAGGCGGAGACGTGGAGGTATGGCGACAAGTCCTCCTCCCAGGAGGTGTTAATCAACCTGATTCAGGCCTACAAAGGGCTTTTGCGGTATTATACTTGGTCTAAAAAGAAGACGGAGCTGTCCAAGCTTGGTGAGTGGCTGTGAGTGGACCTTTTCTTACGGTGATAAGCCTGAGCCACAGGGACCTTAAGGGGGAATCTCGTCCCCCAGCTGCCCAGCTGAGCTTTTCCCAGATGCTCCAAAGAACAGACATTTCCATGGATGTAAAATTCTCAGTCATCCTTTATATTTCTGAAAGATCAAAGAACTTTTCAGACAGAAGTTAGGTGATTCATAAATTAAGTTTCTGACCATTTTAGACTCATCGCTTTTTACAACATGATTTCAAGAAAGCATTATTGCATATAAGAAATGTTCCTTGTGGAGCCGAATGGGGTTTAGTGTGTTTTATTATGTGGTTTCTCAGAATAGAATGCTAAAAGAATATAGAGCAAGATGAAGTCGTTCCATCTCTGTGCAAAGGTCGTAGCAGACGGTTCTCTTGATTTGCCGATGATCCTGTGCCCTCCTCGAGCTGAGCTCTGCTGCTCTGAGCTTTTCAGCGGGGATGGTACCCTGTGCTGGCCCCATGTCTGTGTGCTTTAGGCCTGTAGATGCTCTGCAATTTTTTTCTCTTACTTAGTTTTTCTCTGTCGCTTCTCTGGGATTAACCCTTTCTTTATGTGTTCTCACTCTCTGTCCAAATCTCAGTGCTGGTGTTTACCATGCCATGTGTGCTAAGCAGTGTTTCCTTCTGATGCTTATGAGATAAGCAGTATTTCCTTGGTCTCTGGTCATGTGATTTTACCAATCTCAAAATTCCTTCCCTCTTCCTATTTTTGATCTCTCCCAAGAAACTTCTGAAATGCTGTCTTCATCCTGATAATCTGGTAAGGTCTTTGCGTGATCTCTTTACCCAGAATGCCCTCTGCCCTTCAACACTCATTAGACCCCTTTTTCTCATCCCTTAAACCTAATAGGTCAGCCACATGTTCCGCCTACATCATTTGGATCTTCATCTCTTGCTTCTTAATTGTTCTGTGTTTTGTCACGTGTTTCTCCTTCTCCAGACCAGTCAGTCCTTTGAGGTCACATATCTGTCCTGTTTCTTTAATTAATCTTGCCATAATGCCTGCTGTAATAATTTTTAAAGGCTTGCTGATGTTGGTTAGATAAGTTTTAAAGTCAATATTTACCTCTTACACACATGATCTGGTGGAATTTAAGCAAATATTTGACGATGAAAGCAGCTGGGACCCGGCCTTTACACTGTCTCCTCCAGGGCCAGGTGACTCGGTTCCTCCCTGCAGCTGACGCTTTGTCCTGTGCAGCAGGCAGTGAGGATGGGATGATACGTGGAGCTCTGTAGGGGATTTCCAACCTCAAATGTCTACTTAATAAAAAAAAGTTAGGACCAATCTTATGTCACCATGCTCTTAAGAACATGACCCAACGCGGGGTGCTCCGAGTCGGCTTAGAATGCTCTTCCGCTGCCCCTGTGGCCTGTCCTGCTCGGGTCTGACGCGCGTGGTGAGGGGGGGCCCCCTTCCACGGTCAGTCACTCCCAGCTTATACTTTCTCAGGGATCTGCCTCTTTTCTTTAAAACTTTGTTCTCTGTTATTTCTCACCATTTCTTACCTACTTTCCCCTTATCACCTCATTTCCAAGTCCATGGTGATGTTTATTCAGTGATCTGCAAGGGAGATCTCTTTTTGGGGGGTAGGGGTTACTTTTTGGCTAAAAAGTAGCAATGGTCCCAAAAAGTATTTTGGTCTTCTATTAATTGTTGCCTTTGAAACGCTGAGTAACTTTCTTTTTACGCCTTTAAGATGGTGAAATATACAGTAGGTCCTCACTTAACCGTTGTTGATAGGTTCTGTGACTTTAAGTAAAATGACAGGCAACAAAGCCAGTTTTACCCCAGGCGGATGGACATAGGCAAGAGTTCAGTTCCTCTGGGACATCTTCAGCGTTATGATGAAATGACGTTGAACGCAAGGTGTTGTTTGAGGACCTACTGTACACAGAAAAAGTGTGTAAAACACGTGTGAGAGAATGAATGATTGTAACACATCCGTGTAGTTACCGCCCAGATTCGGGAGCACTGCCCTGCGGAAGGTCCCGGGCGGGCCTTCCGGGTCACACCACCCCGTTCTGTCTCCGAAGCCGCTGTCCCTGTCCCGACTCTCACTGCGGTCACGCCCCTGCTTTTTGAAACACTTGACCACGCAGGTGCGCATCTGTAGACAGTGTGGTTAGGTGTTGCCTGTAGCTGAATGTCGTATTTGCATATTTTGTTTAACATGAGTTTTAACGTGCATCCATGGAGTTGAATTAGCTTTAGTTACGTTAATTTGTGTTGTTTTAAAACATTTCATTGTATGATATTCATACAATTCTTTCTATATGTTGATGGCCATTTAGGTTGTTAACCGTTTTGGGCTCTTATAGATAAGGCAGCCTCACGTTCTGGGCCATGCGTGCTGGTCTACATAGGCGTGTCTTTCTAGAAGTAGGGTGTCGTCACAGAGTATGTGTGTTTTCAGCTTTAGTATATAATAGGCTGAACTCTTTCCCAAGTGGTTTTCAACTCATATTCCACTGGTAGTCTGATCGGGGTTTTCTTTTGTCTGTAATCTCCTTAATATATGTTCCTGCCAAATTTTTCATATCACCCAGTTTGTAAGGTGTGGTGATCTCTCACCTTGTTTTTAAAAAGACAGATTTATTGAAAATTGAGATGTAATTCTTAATACAATTCACCCACCAAAAGTGCACGATTCAGTGCCTTGTAGTATATTCCAAAGAGTTGTGCATCCGTTACCAAAATCAGCTGGAGAAGCTTCTCATCACCCCGGAAAGCAAGCCTGCGCCCCTGGCTGGCATTCTCAGTGCCCCGGGCACCTTCACTGGATAACGAGGCTTTCCGAGCACTCGAGATGCTGGGAGGTGGCGCAGCGTCTGTGTGATGGGCCGGAGCGAGGTGAGCGGCGCAGACACCGCGACGGGCTGTGAGGAGGCCGCGGCCCGTCCGCCCCCAGCCGGGACCGCTGGGTCGCGGCGATGCCCACGGCTGGTGTCCGTGCTGGGAAGCCACAGGGGTTGACGGTCTCTGAGCCACTCACAGTGGCGTGCAACTTAAAACTTAGGAACTGCTTGTTTCTGGAACTTTCCGTTTAAGATTTCTGGACTGCGGTTGAGGGGGGCGGGTAACTGCTGCGGTGGAGAGCGAAGCCGTGGGTAAGGGGAGCGCCGCTGGCCTGAGTCCTCGCAGTTTTCTCTGGGTCACAGCATGTCATCCTTTCTGTGCTGTCGGAGTCAACTCGGTTTGCTGGTGTTTTGTGGGGGGTTTTTGCCTCTGTGTTCCTAGAAATACAGGTCTTTAATTTACTTTTGTTGTCTTTGTCTGGTTTTGGTAGCAGGGCAATACTGGCCTCATAGAATGAGTTGGGAAGTGTTCCCTCTGTTCTTTCGTGGGGGAAGAACTTTTGAAGAATTAGTATGATTCTTTAAATGTTGCAATTCACCAGTAAAGCCCTCAGGGCCTGAGCTTTTCTCGTGGGTAGTTACTGATTGCTAATTTATCGGAAGTCTTCAATACTGAATGATTCTTAAAAACCTTTTATCTTTGAGCAGATGAAGATGACTACGCTTATAACGCAGCATCTCAGAACATGCTTAACCACAGCTGGAAGACCTCTATAAACTTTTGTTCATTGATTCAGATTCCTGGAGTTTGGGACCCATTTGTGAAGAGTTACGTAGATGTAAGTAGACTTTTCGTGAAGTTATATTACTTTCATTTTATTATACACCTAATCTCTATTGATCAGAAGAAAACTTATGTTTAAAATTTTCGGGTTTTTTAAAATTAAAATATTTTGTTTTTAGACAGAGGGAAAGGGAAGGAGAAGGAGAGGGAGAGAAACATCAGTGTGTGATTGCCTCTCGTGCGCCCCCTACTGGGGACCTGGCCTGCAACCCAGGCATGTGCCCTGACTGGGAATCGAACTGGCGACCCTTTGGTTCACAGGCCGCACTCAATCCAGTGAGCCACACCAGCCAGGACTAAAAATTGTTTAAAAAATATGATGTATCTTTTTTTGATATGAACAACTTTTGTTTATTTTACTAGTATACTGTAAATGTGACTGTTTTTACTGCCGGATAATTTGTCATGACCAAATGTTTATAAAATAAATAACAATATAGCTGTAAATGTCAACTCTATGGTATTCTTATTGAGCTTCAAAAAAATGCAGAAAGATCTTTTATGATTTGATGGGATAGAGCAGGGAAGGAGACCGAAATCTGAAATTAGGTCACTATATATCAGACGAAGGCTACTGTCTCTTAGGAAGTTCATAGGGTGTCGTTAGGTCAGTCACTGTGGAATGACAGGGGCCCTGGCCCTGGGCACTGGGAATAAGTCATCAAAATAGTTTGCCTTTTGGACGTGTCACGAGTGCTGAAGGGATAATTGGGTTATCAGAAGATAATCCTTGCAGCCAAATGCTAGTGAACCCGGAAATCCCTGGGTGTGGGTGGGGGTGAAAGGAGAGGCGTTACAATCCCCACGCACCCCTTTTACGGCTGAAGTTACGGAGGGCGCCGAGGCTAGTTACACCCTGCGGCCTCTTCCCGGCCGCTAGGGTGCTCTGCTTCGAGCACTGCACTCCCCATCGGAACAGTTCTTCGGTGGAGTTGCTGCGTTCGTCAGCACCCAAGTATGAGGAGGAGAACATGGGAGCCCACGCAGGCCTCCCCGTGCCCTGTACAGGCTGTGCCGTGTGCTGGGGAGCCCGCTGTTCCCAGGCAGCAAAGGCTGTTCTCCAGTTTTGTGATAGTCTTGTGCCCTCCAGTGAGTTGCGCATTACCTTTCACATAGCCTGACCTACAGGTTTAGCTAAGATGGTGCATCTTCTTACATAGATGCTGGAATTCTACGGGGACCGAGAAGGCGCCCGCGAGGTGCTCACTAATTATGCCTACGACGAAAAGTTCCCTGCAAACCCGAACGCGCATGTCTACTTGTACGACTTTCTGAAGAGAGAGAAGGCTCCGAGAGAGAAACTGATAAGTGTGCTTAAGGTACAGAAGTTTGGGGTCCATGTTTGAACAGGGCGGGGGGTCTGCTTTAGAGCATTGCGAGGTCGTTGCTCTCCAGCTCTCCTGTCACAGCGCCCTGGGAAGTGACAGGGCTTGTGTGGCACGCCAAGGGAAGGGGGCGGCTGCGGGCCCGGCCCGCCCCGCCCCGCCGAGCCTCAGGGGAGAGGATGGTCCCTCAGAAGCCCTTCGCCACCCCGCTCGGAAAGCCCTGTGTTGCTACGTGTTTGCAGTTCTTCTTTATTGGAATTTAACGCGCATACAGTAAAACTCACATTGTGTGTACACGTCAATGCATTTTAACAAACACACACATCCATGTAACCACCACCATAGTCAAAATACTGAGCATTTCCATCAGCCTGCAAAGTCCCTTGTTTTGCTTTATAGCCAAGCCACCCCCCGCTCCTGGCCCCAGACAATCACTGACCTGCTTTCTGTCACTGTAGCTTAAATTTATCTCTTCTGGAATTTCAAGTAAGTGACATCTTAGCATATGCACTCTTTCCTTGCCTGGCCTTCCTTGCCCAGCATGATGTTTTTGAGATTCATCTATACTGTTGTCTCAGTAATTGTTCCTTATTACTGCTGAGTAGAATTTCATTTTCATACACTCCCTTTTTTGATGGATATTTGGGGGTTTTTCCTCCCACTTTGTGGCTGCTGGGAATGCTGCTATGAGCATTCATGTACAAGTCTTTGCATGCACATGTGTTTTCACTTTCCTTGGGTATCTCCCCGAGAGTGGACCTGCCGGCAAGTGTGTCTGTGACTTCTTAAGAAGCTGCCCAACTATTTTCTGAAGTGACTGTACTGTTGACATTCTCACTGTCAGTGTAATGAAAGATCAGTTTCTCCACATCTTTGTCAACCCTTGGTATTGCCAGTCCTTTGAATTACTGTCATTCAGTTTTGTGGCAGTGTCTCAGTGGGGTTTTAATTTGCATTTCTCTAATGAATAATGATGTTGAGCATCTTTTCATGTGCCTATTGGATATTCCTATGTCTTGCTTTTTAAAGTGTTATTTATAATTCTGACAAAGTATAGTTTATGAGTCTTCCTTTTCTAATTAGTACTTTTTGTCTAAGAAGCCTACCCCAAGCTCATGAAGATTCTCCTCAATGTTTGTTTCTAGAAATGTTATAATTTTATGCTTAGGTGTGTGATTTTTCAGCTAATTTTTTTTTTTTGTGTAGTGTGAGGTAAGGATCAAGGTTCATTGTTTTCTGAGATTGTTCCAGCACCATTTATTGGAAAGACTATGCTTCTCCATTGAATTACGTTAGTAACTTTGTTGAAAATCAATTGACTATATGTATATCTAACAAAAAATAACTATGTTGAACACTTACTTGTGTTCAAGACAAAATGGACTTAGAGAAATTCAGTTTTTCCTTTTGAAAATTGCAGTGTTTGAAATTAAGAATTCAGTGATGAGTTTACTAACTGGCTGAACATAATGGAAGAAAGGATTAGTGAACTGTATAGAGAACACCAGGTTAATGTATGGAAAGCAGAAAGGATAAAAAGGCAAAACTTGGTGAAAAGGCTTGACGTAATTGGAGTCATAGAGGAGAAAGAACAGGGCAAAAGCAAATAAACAAGCAAGCAAACAAAAGTCAATATTTTAAGAGCCGATGGCTAAGAATTTTCTAAAACTGACAGAAGATTTCTGGAGCTCTGACACTGTTGTTTTTTTTTTTTTTTTTAAATCTGGTTTCTGATTACATAAGTGTGTATAATTTTACAAAAGTTTATTGAATGACACACTCATAATTTGTATACATGTCTACTACATGCTATATTTTAACAAAAAGTTTTTGAAAAATCTAAATGATTTCAGCCGTGTAACTGAAATTCCATGTATAAAACTTAGTGTGATTTTATAAGAACCACGTTTTAATATTCTGAGATATTGGTATATTGATCTTGATTGATCTCCTTTTAAAAAGCTGTTGAGAAGAAAAACTTAAAAAATTTACTTTTTATTTTATAGGAAATTATTTCAGTGTAAAGTCAAAGAACCAGCAAGCAGACAGAATGAATTCATTTTTAATATTAAATGTGTTAAGATGAGAAATATAATTTTACTTTAAATCCTATTTTTTGCATATTTATAAAAAATAGTCCTTTCTGTTCCTAAGAAGAAACACCTTTAATTTCTCTCTATTGTATAAAAAGTTTGTAAAAATATTTATTTAAATATTCTTACTGTATTATGTTCCTGAATATAGTCATCCAAAGTAGCCACCCTTGCCTTTTATGATCAATAAATATTAAATGGCTGTTCTATGTAATACTGATTTTTTCCCTTCATTTTTTTCTCAGTTTTGGCATCTGAAAAGAAATTAAATTTTTAAGTGTAGTAAACAGTATAAAAATGTATACGGAGAAAATTAAAATTTCCATCTATTTTCCACATCCCTCTGATTATCTTGTTATTATCAGGGATTAAAAAAAAATAGCTTTACATAGAACACGTTCTGTACTTGAATTGAAACTGGATGAAAGCAAAGTATCTTAAATCTGGGATTCATTCGCTGAGGGCCTGTTTGACAGTAAGACCTTTATTTGGAAGTAAGCTGAAATTGGAGAAGTGCCTTTCGAATGTGTAAATATTACAAAATTATTCTTTCCTCCAGATTTTGTATCAGATCGTACCATCTCATAAATTGATGTTAGAATTCCATCGCTTACTGAGAAAATCAGGTAAGTCACGTGCGTTTTCGACCTCTGTCGCCGTCCACAAGCTGTGGACGGGGGGCCCGCAAATTGTGCCCCCCACCTGACTTACGATCAGGTTCTGCTGGGGCACAGCCGTGCCCATCCTCTGACCTGTCCCTGGGGCCGTGTGGCTCAGAGCTTAAATATTTACCGCCTGGCCCTTCACCCAAGTTCGCTGACACCGGCGAACGACTGTGAGGCAATAGTCTGCAAAAGAGCAGTGGCCTTAATTATGTAACTCAACCCGTGTTGACGACGGCCGCACGCAGCTCCACGTAGACGAGATGTGTCTTCGTCGGAGGAGACCGGCTGGAGCCCAGCGGGCGCTGGAGCTGTGGCGGCGCCTTTGCGAGTAGGGGAGGCCATGCGTGGGGGGCCCGGGGGCAGGGCAGGGCCTTCGGATAACGTCTCGGCGTTTCCCGCAGGCCCCTGCGCAACATGGGTGTTGGCTGTGCGGGCCACTTATGTGCAGAATATTTTCAGTAAATACTCTAAGTGTAGTCTCCTTATGTTTAATAACATTGTTTTCTCTAGCTTGCTATATCGTAAGAATACAGTATAAATTACACAGAAGAGACAAAATATGTGTTACTGGTATGGCTTCTGGTCAACAGTAGGTCATTCGTAGTTAAGTTTCTGGGAACTCAAAAGTTAGACATGGGCCCTGGCTGGTGTGGCTCAGTGGATTGAATGCTGGCCTGGGAACCGAAGCATCACTGGTTCAATTCCCAGTCATGGCGTGTGCCTGGTTCCAGGCCAGGTCCCCAGTTTGGGGGTGGGGGGCGGGATGTGAGAAGCAACCAATCGATGTTTCTCTCCCTCTCTTCCCTCCCTTTCCCGCTGTGTAAAAAGTGAATAAATACAATTTATTTATCTGTTTATTCATTTTTTACTCAGATGTTTCTTTAATAGATACAATTTAAAAGGAAAGGTTAGACATGGGTTTTTGACGGTAGGGCTGGGGCGAGCCGACACCCCTAGCTCACACGTTCAGCGGTGCAGCTCGCTGAGTGGTCAGACTCGGCGCTCCGCCGTCAGCGGCCTGGGCTACATCATCGACTCTTTCAGATCCATCACAGGGGAGTGTGAGTGCAGCGAATTGTTTTAAACTGTTCACTAATGTAGAGGGCTTAGTCGTGCTTCAGGAATATTTTACCAGCTGAACACGTTGTTGTTAGTCCGTGCACCTCAGCGCCCTACGTGAACCCTGACTGTTGTGACCGTTGCAGAGAAAGAAGAGCACCGTCAGCTGGGGCTGGAGGTGCTGTTCGGCGTCTTAGATTTTGCTGGCTGCACCAAAAATAGAACTGCTTGGCAATATTTGGCAAAGTATCTCAGACAGACCCTAATGGGGTAAGTAAGAGACACGTAGTATTTATTACTGGATCAGCATAAGTAATGTTTCCCGGTACTATAGCCGTTATCTGTCAGTTTGTAAATAAAGTTCTTTGCTTATGTTTTTGGATTTCTTGAACCCTGTATTCTGCTGCTTTCTTCTGAGTCCGCCGGAAACAAGGACATACAGAGTCACAAGTATGACCTACAAAAAATCCACCAAGACTTTTTTACGCTAGCAAATTAAGTCCCATCACGCTGTTGGGGGATGTGTAGGTTTTCACACTGGAAGTAAGGACCTGATGGGGTCGCCCCCGCCCCGCGCCGCGCGGCTGCTGTGAAAGTCTTGGTGATGCCATGTCGTCAGCATCGCGGATCACAGGGGAGCGCGTCCCGCCCCGCTGGTTTTACATGTTAATTTTCAGTGCAGTTTGAGGGCCTCATAAGGTCATTGCAGGTTATTTATTCAGTAAATATTTATCAAGTGCATTGCGAGCTGGGCATCTAAAATGATACCTGTGGTCATACCACCATTGTCACATTTTTAGGAAAGGGCGTGGCCCCTGTCATTGTTACTTTGGGAGAGGAAGGGATATCAAAAAACTGTTTCTTTTATATATCGTATCTGTTTTAGTGGGTTAGAAAATTCATTATCAATGGGAATAAGTTTCGGGCTTCAGATCTGACCTGACCCTGGAGGCAGAACAAAGTGGATTATAAAATGCTCCTGGTGTGACGTGTTGATGCAGTCAGTAAACCACTTTGCAGACCTAAAGCACTGCCCACATCCCTGCTAACCGTAAAGTTCTGGAAGGCAGAGAAAGGCGCTGTTGGTTTTTTGAACGTGTAGACGCTCTGTCACAGGAGGCAGATAGGTCCTAAATTTGTGTTTGCTCAGTTACATGATCAGTGAGCGCATTGCCCGGTGCAGCTGTCAGGCCTGTGTGTTCATGTATTTGTATAATAATGGCATCTGATTTTGGATAGTCGTTTTTTTGTAGCATATAATTTAAAATAAGTTTTTAAAGTAACTCTTAATAGTACTACAGCTGTCACTTACGGGCCACTTGCCACGTGCCAGGCCGTGTGCCGAGAGCCTCACGTGCGGGCTCGGCGTTGCTGGACCGCGGCAGCCCCGAGACGAGGCTCCGGGAGGCCAAGCCCGCGGCCGCGCCACGGGGGTTCAGCGGGTGGTCGGGTGGGGGGGTCGGAGATTTGCATCCAGGGTCTTGACCTCACAGTCCGTGCTGCTGACCGCTGCGCTGTGCTGACCGGGCTGCTCAGTTCAATGGAAAATGGGACCTAGAGACAAAGAGCTAAGGCGGAGGCGAGCGCATGCCTGTGCCCTGTGGAGGCCAGGCTCCGACGTTCGCTGGGAAACGTCTCCCTTGTCGTCGCCCCGCAGGCAGGAGGGCTTCGTCTCCATCCTTGACCTTCTGTCTCTCTTCCAGGAACCGCCTGGCCTGGGTTCACGAGCAGTGGGCTTCCAGGAAGAACTGGTGGCCGGGCTTTCACTTCAGCTCCTTCTGGGCGAAAGGTGACTGGACGGAGGACAAAGCGTTGGCTTACGAGAAGGCCTTCGTGGCAGGGCTGCTGCTGGGGAAAGGTGCGTGTCTTGTTTTCCTTCCACCCAGACGTCGCCTGGAGATGGTTTGGAAGTTACCAAGTGCAGCCATTCGTTCGTCTCACAGCTTACCTAGCGCCGCAGCAGTAAGGGCGCCAGACGCTAGGGGCAGCTGCTGGCCAGAAACACCGCTGAACGGGAGCACGAACGCTAGGTTGGAGCCGGGTGATGTGCTTGTGGGAAGCTCAGTGGATTAGAACAGTGATTTTGTGTTGGGATTGCGACTGGTTTTTATGCTCTAACGTGGGTATCTTTAGTGGCCATTAAGACATAAGATGCAAACTGTTTCCACGGCAAGTAGCTCTTGGGCCGTGCTATGTAGAAAGTGTACTAAGATTGTCTTCTTAATTAGAAATAGGGAAATATTCTTTATTGGCCTTAGTGTTTTTTAAGCTTTATATTATGTTTATTTAATCTGTTCCTATAAGGATGAAACATTTCCTCTTAAGAAAAAGTATACCTCCTATAAATTTAATTAAAAAATGCTATTACAAGCAAGGGAAATCAGTCTTTTCCATGTGGCATATTTTGGCCGTTAACATTCTTACCTGTTTTGTGTCGCTAACATATGAACACGTAGCCAGACTGGAATGAGACCTCCACAAAATACGTTCAGAGATGAACAACGTGAACTGTGCAATGACTGCGAGTAAGCAGTTTGTTGCTAGAGTTTAAAGTATATTAAAGAGATTTTTCAGGTCAGTGTTAAATGAGTATTATGTTATTGTAGAATCCGTATTTTCAGTGACTGTTTCAGGTGGTTGCTAAGATTAGTAAAATGCTGACTTTGTAGGAGGAAAGAAATTAACGAGCACAGAAGAGGTTTTAACATTTCTCTCTAACACGCTGGTGACAAGACGCAGGACTGAGATGCGGACTGGGACTCTCTGCGGGACTATAGAGGCACCCAGTACTGCCATCTAACGGTGTCGGTGCGTGAGCAGAGGCCGAAGCCCTGGGTTCATTTTCCATTTCCATCACGTAACTGTCCACGCCGTTGCAGTCAGGCAGTTAACTTTGGGAGCCTTCTCTGTGAAATGGGCATTGTGACGCCTGTCCCCATTTGCAGACGATACCTCTGATAAGGGGTCATTATCCAAAGTATGTAAAGAACACACACAATGCAACAACTAAAGTAAGCCATCCAATTAAACAGTGGGCGGAGGACCCGAGCAGAACTCCTGATAGGCAACCGGCCGCCGCAGCAGAGCTGCGATCACTGCCCAGCCACTCGCTAGGTGGCGAGAAGGGCTGGATCCTGTCTGGTCCCTCCCAGCCCGTGATTTGTTCGCTCTGCTCCTTCACATCAAGGTTTTCTGCAGAGAACTTCCTAATTGTCTTAGATGCCTCTTTCACTGCTTTACAAGCCAGTGCTGAGAGAGAATTGACAGTAATTTGCTTTTGGAGAAGGCTCGGTTAAGACAGGAATGTGCACGGTAGGCCCATCTTCCCTGGGGCTTGGGAGGCAGGGTGCAAGGGCAGCTCAAGTGTGCGCTTTCATCTGATGTATCAGAAACGTCTCCGCAGGCAGGAAGCAGTGCCTTTCGTTGGCAAGGGCCCCGAGGATGTGCTTTGGACAGGCTGGTGCAGATAACACAATTCCCATAATCATTAGTGTGCCCGGATTGAAGCAACATTTAAAATATGGCAATGTATTTGAAGAGTTTGATAAGTACTAAAACTTTTTCTTTATGTTGCTTGATTTTTTAGGTTGTAGATATTTTCGGTATATTTCAAAACAGGATCATCAAATCCTGAGGAAGAAAATGAAGCGGATGAAGAAGTCAGTGAAAAAATACAGTATTGTAAATTCAGGACTCTGATACTGAATTTTAGTTATTGCAGATTAGTAGCTACAGCATAGTAGCACAGTAGATAATTATTGAATGTATTTATTTTTTTGATGTTTTAAGAAGATAATTTTTTATATGACTACAAAAAATTAGTTATATATATTTTTATATTTTCTTTTAGTTGTAGCTGAACACACTACCTTTACTCTTTGTAAATAAATGTATTTTTTCTTTTTGTACTGTTAAATATAATATTTATTATGAAATAATCTTCAAATAAAAAATGTATTTGTTTAATCAGAGACTGTACCTCTACAGCAGTCACTGTTATTTGCAGATAATTTGCCTGACTTTGTGTAAAGAAGTGTAATTAGGATACTGTTACATGAACTTGTATTCTTCATTTAGATTCTAACTGACCCATGTTAGATTTACTACCATAAAGGATATTTTGGTAGTGAGCTCCGGTGAGGAGCTTTGGAAAGAGAAGGTTTAGAGCAGGTCTCCTCCTTTTCCCTTCCTGTGAGAGGACCCGCACTTTGGGGCTGAGAGGCGAGTCGCAGAGGCACCTGGGCCTCCGGAGGTCCCTCTGGGGCAGGGGGGGGGCAGCTGCTCTCAGCCCTGAGGGCTCCGGGGTCGCTCATTGTCTGGTTGTCTCTCTGTCATCGCAGTTTCAGGACAGGCTCTAGACCTCCGTGTGCTCTCCTTCCTCTTGGGAACGAGGATGCAGCGGCAGGCAGCTGGGCGGGGGCGGAGGGTCCCCGAGAAACTGTCCCGGGGCCACGCGGCAGGCCCAGTGGGGCACACGTGGCTCTGAAGCCCGGAACGAGTGCCCAGAATGTGAACCAAGCTTTATCACATCTTGGGAAAACTGGAAGAGTGAGCGTGTCTCCACATTCGCTGCTCCGAGAGCTGGTGCCCGAGGCCCAGGGCGGCTCGCTCACTTTGGAGGGGCCCAGCAGTTATGGCAAACCTTGTGTTCCCCGTTGGCGTTCATTCCTGCTAATTTTGTTGCAAAGCAACAACTGAATTTTTTTTTAGGTCCGCTAAAGTTAAAGCCAGCTTCATGGGTAGTAATTGCAAACACTTAGGAAGCACTGTGGGCTTTGCGTTTTGTCATATCATCAGCACAGATCCTATGGATCACCCCTATCTTACCAAGAAAGGAAGTCGGGTCCTCCAAGATGGGGTACCTTGTCCAAGGTCACAGCTGGTATCGGCGTCAGGCCCCGAACGCAACCAGCGCAGTTCCCAAAACCACACGTTGCTTGTGCTACCCGAGCCGAGGCCCAGTTCAGTGGGTAGTTGTGACCGGACAGGCAGAACGTGGAGCCGGATACCAGTCCTTCACTGAACATCACTTCATACCGTTTTACAATTTCTTTTTCAGTTACATTTGACATAAAATACTAGTGTCAGGTGTAAAACGTAGTCATCAGACGTTTGTATACCTTATGAAGGGGCCACCCCCATGAGTCTGGTGCCCATTTGACACCCTGTGTGGCTATCGCGGTGTTACCATGTTCCCTATGTGGCACTTCACATCCTCGCGACTGTTTTCATAGCTGGCAATTGGTACTTAATCACTTACACCTTTCTCGCCCACCCTTCCCACCCCTCCCTCGGGTGCGTGACCACTATGCATTGAGATGTATACCCCCCCAAAAGATACGTTGAAGTCCTAACCCCCAGCTCCCCAGAATGCGACCTTATTGGCGATCGAGCCTTTACCGAGGTCATCGAGTTACAATGAAACCATCCGCTTGGGGCTTAAGTCATCATGACTGATGTCCTTATAAAGGAAGAATTCGGACCCAGACGCACACAGAACAGCGGGTGAACCCAAAGTCAGAAATTGGGCTGATGCTTCTGCAAGCCAAGGAAAGCAAAACATTGCCTCAGGCCCTGAAATGCAAGGGGAGAGGCTCCGGCAGGTCTTCCCTCTGGCCCTCGGGAGGACCCTGCCCTGCCGACTCCTGACTCCTTGACTCCGGACTTCGGGCCTCCAGAATGTGAGACGGCGATTTCCTGTTGTTCTGGCTGCCTGCTTGGTGCTGCTTAGTTATGGCAGCCCTTGCAAACCAGTAACAATTTTTTTTTTTTTTTTGGTAAACACCATATTGCTTCAAAAGTAGGAGTTAAGTGATTTCAGATACTCTGGTCCCAGCTGGCAGTTCCAGGCTTACCTCCTAAACCCACCTAACACTTAGTTGAAACCTGTTTTCTGTTCTCGCCCACCTGGGTCCTATCTAAATACCCTGTGGGACCATCACTAAGATTTTCTTAGTCCCCTCCAAGCTGACGTCATCACTCCCTCCTCAGTACCCCTGGTGGCAGTTCGGTCCTTTCTTACTGTCTCTCACTATAATCTGCCTCGTATTAGACTCCTGCTTTAACCTTTCGTCTCAGGGCATAAACTCCTTGAAAAAGTTTACTTTCTGTATCAGTTTTCTGTTACACATTCCTCTTCCAGCACAATACTTTGCACATCATAATACACACTACCAAATAGAGTCATCCATTGTAAAATAATTATTGTGTAACTGTTACCTAATCACATGCAATATGTTGTTATAACTACATTATATTATGGAGCCCCATCGGAAATGTTATATATTTTAATAGAAACTGATGCTGCTGCTCTGGGGGGACCTGCTGGCTGATCTTTTCCTGCTACTTTTGTAATCACTCTTTGGCCAAAACAATAAGATCAGATTTGGTCTTACTTGTCCTGGGTAAATAAAAAGATTTAAGATAAAAGATTTCATTATGGCCATATTGTTCTTTGTTTGCTTGTTTGTTTAATGTGTGCTACAATTCTGTAAACAGGCTCAGTTAGAATTATTTTCCATAAAAGGTATTTCTTTTGGATGCACTGTTCTGCATGGCACAAGAAAAACAGGCATAAAGGTCAATAGGAGATCAAACAGTCCTCAGAAGGGGTGACCGCCCATCTCTGGGAAGCGATGGTCGGCTGTGAATTCGCTGGCCGCCCTTGGTCCCAGTGTTCCTCCTCCAGCCCAGGGCTTCCAGAGCAATGACATTATCTGATCTTGGAGCAAAGAACCCCTTGAGACAGCACAGTCCCCACGGGCCACGGCTGCTGTGTCATGTTCTGCAAAGCCGCGTTCAGCTGGGTAGGATGTCGAACAGCGGAAACAGGAGAGCAGGGCCGTGTTGGAGGGTTGTTCTGACCGCTCCTCCTCCTGACTTCTCTCTTAGTTATGAAAAGGTTTGTATTTTAAATGCAGTTTGGGGCTTTGCCGACCCAGAGCATTCTGAGCACCGATGCTGCTCGGTGGAGGCCTCGTCACCTCGATGGCATCTGGCAAAGGCTCTTCATGGGGGTGCGTGGGGAAGCTGGGCGCGGAGCCCTCCTTGGAAGGCCCACCTGGACTCGGAAAAATCTTCTCTCTCCTCTGCATTTCAAAGGGAAGCTTTCGCCATGGAGGACTTTTCAGCGTGCGCTGAAAGCTTGGAAAGTAGCAGAAGGAAAGTGGGCTCAGGAGCCAAATGTTTCCAGCGGCCCAGGCCCCCGTTCATGCCTCCGTTGAGGTTTGGGGGAGTATGAATTTGGGACCCCATGTTATTCCATAAATACTTACCAGAGGCCTGTTACGTGCCTGAGACATGTATGAAGCAAACCACACTCTTAAATACTAATGATGAAACTTGCGCTCACTGCAGAGAGATGCCCCCAAAGCGGGTTTCAATTCGGCAAAAATAAAGGACCCAGATGTCTCTGCTTCCTTGTGAAACTGTCCCCAGTTGTCCCTCCGGTCTCCTTGGTTTCACTCAGTCGCACGCCCTCCTTTGCCATCACTGTCCCCTCTTGATTCGTGAAATGTCCTGTCTTCCTCCCACTCCAAATACACACTTTCCTGACCCCAGGACCCCTACAGCTCCCTGCCTGCCCCCAGCTTCCCTCTGTCCTCCCAGACCCTCCGCCAAGTCCCCAAGGGCCACCGAGCACCGGAAGCACTTGAACCTGGGCTTCCACAGTCTGATGTTTGGGCTGCGGAAACTTCTGTTCTCACTCCAGGAAGAAACCACAAACACAGCCTGAATTTCCTGGTCTTGCCTCTCTCCTGTCCTGGCAGGAATTCTCCGCCCTCGAATAAATCACAGCACCTTCACATAGACCCCTTTTGCTACGCAGCCATGCACCCCGATAAGTCAGCAGGAGGTGCCCGAACCTGGCCAGCTTCACATGTACGGAATTGGAGGGGACGGGGACACCCCTCACTGCCTTCACAAGAGACGCTTGGCTACTCAGCCCAGAGAAGAGACATTTCTCAGAAGCTACCTCTGTGAACTTGTTGGGGTGGGGGGAGGACGGGGGGGGGGGGAAGGAAGAAAACCCGGGCTGGGGGGGGGCCTAGGGGGAAGGCGGGAGTTAGCCCGGAGCAGGGAAGCCAACCTGAGCAAACAGCAGGCTGAGTGTTGCCCGGGCCAGAATGCCGGGGAAGTCTGTCCCTGGGGGTCGTCTGAGTTGGCAGGGCCCCTGGATCCCGACCCCTTCTGGCGCTTTCTGCCTCTGCCTCACACTCTTGCTGGACCAGTTGGGCTGGCTGCAGGGGCACCCCCAGTGCCTGGATTATGGGCCCCCCTTCCAGCCCACTGTGCACCTCGAGTTCTGCTCCGACTATGAGACCTTCGGCTGCTGTGACCAGCGTAAGGACCACCACATCGCTGCCCGGTATCGGGACATCATGGGCTATTTGGATCTCCAGGGCCAGGAGCTGTGTGGCGGTTACATTAAAGACATCCTCTGCCAGGTAGACTTGAGTGTAAAAACCCTCACCCTCAGGGAAGTGAGGGAGCCGGCTTAGAAGTGTCCCTCCCAGCCTGGCGGACGGGGTGCTGGGCAGGTGGCTGGGGGCCTGGGGGCCTGGGGGCCTGGGGAGGAGGGCTCCTTGGGTGCCCCAGGCCTTTAGCAGCTCAGCTGCCAGCTCCCTCCCTTAGAGCTTTGGGCTCTGGACAGGCACGCAGGGGCGGGGATGTGCTGAGCGTGGTGTCCGCTGGTCCCCCAAGCTCTCCCGCGGGTCCTGCTGCTCTGCCAGGCCAGGAGAACGAGCCGGTGGCCGTGCTCTCAGTGATGCTCCCAGAGCAGCTGTGGCCTGGGTCCTCCCCGCCACGCCCTGGGAGCTGGGCCCAGCACCCACCTGTGGTGTGTGCGAGGCGCACGGGGCGGGGGGAGTGGTGGCCTCTGCCAGGGTCCAGGCCTCCTCTGGGTCATGGGTGCCAGGGGCCCTGCTGTGAGGCAGTGGCCGCCAGGGCTGGCCCCCCCCGCCCCCGCCCCAGCATTCATTCCAGAGCTGGGCTGGGAGGGCTGCCTGCGGCTGAGTGCGATGACTCAGAAGTTCTGCTCCGGCGGCTCCCCAGCAGCCGGAACCCACCTCCCTGGCAGGTATCACCCAGGCGGGGGTTCAGGGGCTCAGAGAACTGTCAGCGTTGGAGGGCTGAGGACAAGGTGGCCATGGGGAAAAGCAGCGCCCCAACGACGGGCTGGGGCAGGACGGGAGATCCGGGCAGACCCTGGAGCTGAGGCCTTGCCGGGCGCCCCGCAGCCACTGACCCCGAGGGGCACTGCCCAACCCGGCCTTCCGTGCAGGGAAGACAGCAGCGTCTGGCCCAGAAGCCCGCCGCCTGGGTGGCATGGCCTGGGGCTCTACTCTGTCACCTTGGCGCCAGTCTTCGGCTGCTTCCTGGAGAATGAACGCTGGAGAACCACTTGGGCAGCAGCTGGCTGGGCTTTCTGAACAACACTGAGATTTCTCTTGGTGGAGATGCTTCCTCCTCGTCTCTCCTCCCTGCCCCTCCGCAACGGGGTGAGATTTCAGAAAGCCACATTCAGAGCTCTCCTGTCTTAGGGATTTGAAGGATCAGGATAACCTACACGTGTTTATTTATTAAAAAATTACAAGGCCCTCCCTCTCCCTTCCCCAACACAGGTAGTGAGTGTGTTCTCACCGCTGACTGCAAGCAGATATTAGGACCCTCATTTTCCTGATGAGGAATCAGAGGTTTTAAAGGTCAAACAGCGTGATGTGGGCCTGAACCTCGAGACTCAGACTCCACGGTCCTGCGCGCCTTTGGTAACGCCATTGCAAAGGCGAGTCCGGCACTTCCTTACGGCTTCCTGCGCCCTGCGCAGCTCCATAGCGGAGGCCGGTGCCTGGCGCACAGTGGGGACGCCGCTTGGGCCTGTTCCCTAAGCGAAGTGGCAGTTACGGAGCTCATGAGGTAGAAGCAGCCGCGCGCCCCCGAGTTGCTGCGGGAGAGGTGTCACGGCGGGTGCATTTCCACAGGCCGCTCTGCTCCCTGGCATTGCGCCCGCATTGCTGTCTCCCCCTTCCCTTCTTCCTGCTCCCCAGGATGCACAGGCAGTGCGGCTAGACTCAGAGCGGTTCTGTTTGCTTCTTTTTTGGAATGTTTTTATTCTTAAAAAATATTTTTATTGATTTTTGTAGGGGGAGAGAGGTAGAGAGAAATATCAGTGAGAGAGAGGAGCATCGATTGGTTGCCTTCCATGTGCGCCCCAACCTGGGATCAACCCCACATCCTAGGCCTGTGCCTTGACCAGGAATCAAACCCCCCAACCTTTTATGGGGCGACACTCCAACCAACTGAGCCACACCAGCCAAGGCTGCCCCTTTTCTTTTCTTTTCTTTTTTAAGAGAGAGAGTGAAAGGGAAACATCAATTTGTTGTTCTATTTATTTATGCATTCACTGGTTGATTCTTCTACAGGTCTAACCCGCAACCCTGCCATATCAGGACAATACCTACTGAGCGTATCAGGACAATACCTACTGAGCCACCTGACCAGGGCTCAGTTAGCTTCCTGTTCGCAGCTCTGACAAGTACCCTGAACTCAATGCTGTTAACTGCTGGATTCTTTCTCCCCCTCTTCCCAGTAACCAAGCCCTGGCTCTGCAGTCTGCAACCACGGCTGAAGTATGAGAGAATGGGGAACTCACATACATCTGGGAAACGATGCCGGTCCCTTTGTTAAGTGATGAGACAGCGGACCATCCTGTGCTGGCCGGCTGGCTGGGGGATCAGTGACCAGGGATCCTGGGCCAGCGGACTCAGCAGCCCTAAACTACACCCTTTAAATGAGCCTTGTTTACTCTCCTATCTCAGTTGCCTCTGCATTCTATCAGTATATGGAATTGGTCATCTACCCACAATATTCTATTTATTTCCCAAAAATTGCTTTTAGGGAAGCCAGAATAGCGGGCGATCCTTCGTCCAGGCGTGCAGTCTGCGCATGTTTGTGGGAACAGCGGCCGTGCGCCCTACGGCCACAATGAAATTCCTGCAGTGCCCAGCAAATGTGTGTTTATGGGCATTCAACACTTAAATATTTTTAAGAAATAAGTGATGACATTACTAGCTGTCTAATCTCTGGGAGCAATAGATAAATCATATGTTCATTTTGATCATTTTGTTTTTAAATTATAAAATATTTCGAACACGTGGAAAAGTGCAGAAAGTCAAATCATTCATCCTATGTACTCAATACTCAGATCTAACAAATGTGAAATTTTGGCCACGTTGCTTCCAAGTTGTATAAAGAAGTCGAATCTTATAGACACAGCATTTCTGATAAAGGAAAAGATGGAGAAATTTGGTACTATCTCTTTTTTAAAAAATTCATCACAATGAAACTTCATGTGTCAAGAACTAAAATGAAGAGTTAGAGGTGTAGGGTGAATATGAGAGATTTTTCCTCCCTTTCTGCCTCCGGGAGATTAACAGATGGAAAATTTGAGTCCCAGAGAGAGGTTTACCAGGAGTTGGTAATAGAAACTCCAGAATCCTGATCTTTTCCTAGACCTTTTTTCCTTCTTCTTGCTCAAAAACTGGGACCATCCCTGGGCAGGTGGCTCAGTGAGTTGGAGCGTTCTGTACACCAAAAGGCCGAGGGTTCGATCCCTGGTCAGGGCACATACCTAGGTTGTGGGTTTGATCCCCAGTCAGGGTGCCTATGGGAGGCAACCGATGGATGTTTCTCTCTCACATAGATGTTTCTCTTCCTTTCTCTCTAAAAGTCAATATACATATCCTTGGGTGAGGACTAAAAAAGAAAAAGATTAACAACATCAACAACAGCAGCAGCAGCAGCAACAACAACAACGAATAACTGGGAGCAGCCCAGCTGGGGCCGGTCTGACAGTGGGGACCTGAGCTTTCTGTCTCTTCTAGGAGTGCTCGCCGTACGCAGCCCATCTCTACGATGCTGAGGACCCTCGGACACCCCTCCGGAGCCTCCCCGGCCTCTGCGCTGACTACTGCGCCGCCTTTCACTCTCATTGCCACTCTGCCATCTCCCTGCTGACCGATGACCATCGCCTCTGGGAGTCCCAGGAGAAAGATGGCGCCCACTTCTGCCACCTCCTCAACCTTCCCGACCAGGACTACTGCTTCCCTAACGTCCTGAGGAATGACCATCTCAATCGCAACCTGGGCGTGGTGGCCAAGGACCGTCAGGGCTGCCTGCAGCTCTGCTTGACCGAGGTGGCCAACGGGCTGAGGAACCCTGTCTCCATGGTCCATGCCGGGGATGGCACCCATCGCTTCTTCGTGGCCGAGCAGGTGGGGGTGGTGTGGGTCTATCTGCCCGATGGGAGTCGCCTGGAGCAACCCTTCTTGGACCTCAAGAACATTGTGCTGACCACGCCGTGGATCGGGGATGAGAGAGGCTTCTTGGGGCTGGCTTTTCATCCCCAATTCCGCCATAACCGCAAGTTCTATGTTTATTACTCATGCCTGGGCCAGAAGAAGGTAGAAAAGATCCGGATTAGTCAGATGAAGGTTTCTCAGGCTGATCCCAACAGAGCTGACCCAAAGTCAGAAAGGTGAGACAGGCCCGTGAGCACCTGGGTGCCAGGCTGTCAGATACGGTCGTCAGTCCTCCCAGGCGATATGGGGGTTCTTCCCCGGTTTTAGAGTCACTAGCTGACCATGTCTTGTTGATGAATGAGGGACAGCCCGAGGTAGACTCCAGAGTCAAGGGTCTTCATGGGGTATCACCATCACCTTACAGTTACTTAATTGGAGCCATGCTTGCTTAACTTTACTGAAGGTAAACAAAGGCCAGCAGCCATGATGGTTTGAAAGATAATTATAAAGAATATCAATATTTGTATAATAATAGTCTCTGATGTGGTATGGCCATTGGATCCCAGGCCATTTCCCACGAACGTGAGAATTCTCGTGCTCACAGGTGCTAGCCGTTGAGCATAGATGGAGGGCTCAGGGCTCACTGACCCCCCAAGCTCACGTCCTTTCCACTCTACCATTCTGCTGGTTTTCCTCCTCCTTTCTGCCTTGTTTCTCCTTTCCCTCAGAGGCAGGCTGGGAGATTGAAAAGAACACGAAGGACGGACAGACGAAGCCCTGTGAGGTTGCTCCAAGGAAGGGATTTGAGGGTTCGGGTAGAGCAGAGAGCGAAGCCACGCCACAGAAAAGGAGGCCTGTTACCTTGGCTGTGTGTGAATCTCATGAAGTCATGATGTAAAAGAAAAATGATGCATGAAGGAGCCGTATTAGGATACCAGGGGTGCCTCAGAGTTTTAAAGCTACCTGCTTGGGGATCCTTGGACACCCTGAAGCAGGTCTTGGCTGGTCTGGGCCAGTCGTTTCTGAATATCTCAGGAGGACACGGATTGAGCTTATGTTAAAGCTGCTTTTCTCCTTCCAGAGTCATCTTGGAGATAGAAGAGCCAGCCTCAAATCACAATGGGGGGCAACTTCTTTTCGGTCTGGATGGCTACCTGTACATATTCACTGGGGACGGAGGACAGGCCGGAGACCCCTTCGGCAGATTTGGCAACGCTCAGAACAAGTAAGCTGGGTGGGGTCCAGGTTCCTGTCCCCTCAGGGAGAGCCCTGGGGCAATGTTTTCCTCGGAGAGGAACCCCTAGAGGGTCAAACCCAGACCCTTACTGCAAGACGGAGTTCCCTCTGTTGTGGCACATGGCGTCCGTTCTTTCTCCTGACCACGCTGCTCTATGAGGAAGAATAGAACCAGGCCCTTTAAAAAGTTCATAGGATTAGACCAAACCTGAGAGGCACCATCCCACTGTAGAAATAAAAAAATTTGCTCAGGGTCACGTGCACCAGAACTACATCATGCTTTTGCTAGTGGTTCACTGAACCCCTTGTCTTAATGCATAAGGATGTCTTAATGTCTTGTGTGTGTATACACATGTATTGTGTCTCCCCAAGTGATGCCTAGCAGTTGCTGGGCATTGACTGTTAGCAGACCTGCTTGGGCTGTCTCCTCTGGTCCTGGGCTATTTTGTTTTATTTTATTCATTTCATTTTTTATGTTGCTTTATTGCTTTATTTTATTTTTAAATACTGAACGTGAGACATATCTTTAAAAAATGTAGGTATACAATACAGCATTGTTAATTATAAGGAGAGTGTTGTACAGTAGATCTCTAGAACCTGCCCATCTTGCATACTGGTGTCCACCAGGTACGTGAGAAGCTGCTTAACATCATTAACCACCAGGGAAATGCAAATCAAAACCACAATGAGATATCGCCTCACAGTGGTTAAGATGGCTGTTATTTTTTTTAAAAAAAGACACCTGTTGATAAGATGTGGAGACATTTGAATCTTTGTGCCCTGTTGGTGGGAATGCAACATGGGGCCGCTTTTATGGAAAACAGTAGGGTGATTCCTCAAAAAATTAGAAAACAGAACTAGCCTGTGACCCAGCAATTCTACCTCCGCATGCTTATGCTGTGCCTGGTGTCTGGCCTTCTTTCTTCCAGAAGTTCCCTGCTGGGAAAAGTGTTGAGGATCGATGTGAACAGGGCAGGCTCAGGGGACAAGCGGTACCGGGTCCCCCGGGATAATCCATTTGTCTCTGAGCCAGGGGCGCACCCTGCCATTTATGCCTATGGGATCCGGAACATATGGCGCTGTGCTGTGGACCGAGGGGACCCGGTCACGCGCCAGGGCCGAGGCCGGATATTCTGTGGGGACGTGGGACAGAACCGGTTTGAAGAGGTCAACATCATTGTTAAAGGTGGAAACTACGGCTGGAGAGCAAAGGAAGGGTTTGAATGCTATGACAAGAAACTCTGTCACAATGCCTCCTTGGGTAAGCGAGAAACTCTGGATGATTTCTGGAAGACGGTGGGGGTGGGGGAATATAGCCTGGGAGTGTCCTGGGGGCAGAGCTGCTTATGGTGGTCTCCTGCCCCTGACACCGAATCAGCTTGTTAACATCTGGGGTACACTCAGGGAGTGAGGCCCACCCAGGAATCTGTATTTTAAATAAGTTACCCACGTGACTTGGAGGCATACGATTTTGAGGATCAGTAGCCAAGAAAAATTGGGGGCTATGTGTTTTTATTTATTTTCCAATTGGGATAGCCCACTGAAATGATATTCCTTCTATAACCAATTAATAACACAATCCCTACACATCAATGATCAAGGTGTCCTTTGGGGGTATGTGCTTTGTTACCACTGCTTAGTCTCTTTGGTCCTGTTTGTTACAAAGCAGCCTTACAGACCCTTAGAATACCTTCCAAATCCTTAAGCCTGGGTATCTGCTACCCCAACCGAGGGGGAAAACTCAAGTGTGTGGACTTCCAGGTTCCTGTCTCCCACGTGGGGGGATTTCCAACTTCCTCTCTGTGTGCGGAGGCTAGTCCAATGGGGAGCTCGCAAATATCGTGGCTTGTCTGTAGAGAAAGAGAAATGTGGTTCTCTTAGTTGCCTGGCCCCCTGAAGACCAAGAATAAATTGCTCTCCACTCCATCAGGCAACTCCATTAAAAGGCCCACCCTGCTTCCCCCTCGAAGTGCCCAATTTGGAGCTACGACCCTCACGCCCTTTCTTTGTTCTGGGACAGATGACATTCTGCCCATCTACGCTTACGACCATGAACTGGGGAAGTCAGTCACCGGAGGATACGTCTACCGCGGGTGCGAGTCTCCAAATCTCAACGGTCTCTACATCTTCGGGGACTTCATGAGTGGGTAAGAAAGGAGGGATGTCTCTCTTTTGATTTTAACGTTTTTATGAACACGGGAGCTGCGCAGAGGCTGGCCTTTCATGCCCGTCTTTTCAGCTCAAGGGACCTCCCGGGCTCTGCCTCTGCTTTCCCTCCGTGAGATGGAAACGTGTCCAAGGGAGCGAGTGGGGAGAGCTGTAGGACTCACTTTGTTTGTCTCCCACCTCTTAGGGAACACAGCCCTTCTTCGCTGCTCTCCAGTGCCTTTTAAACTGTTTTCCCTCTATTTGTCTCGGTTTTTGTCTGTTTGAGGTGGGAGGGTAAATCTGATTCCTCTGCCCCATCCTCGCTAGACAGGATGTTAATATTTTCATGCCACAGTGCTTGGTTACAGAGATGGGGTAGAGTTAGTGATTGGGCAGGTCCTTTGTCACTTGTTAGATCTTTGGGATTTATGTTTTTTATGTTCTTTATGTTTTTTGCCGTAACTCCTACTTCCCACTTCACCCCCACATGTATCACCTGGTTAATATGCAGCGATTCGTAACTGAAGCTTATGCATTAGAATTATTTGGGGTTGGGAGGTCTGTTTCATACAACTTTTCAGGTGACACCTCTGGTTTACTCAATTCCTTTCTCTTTTCTTCTAAAAAGCTGCCTTTAATTCACATAGATGATGAGGCATAGAAAGCACCTACCTTTTATTACAGAGACATAATAATAATAATAATAATAGCTACTGGTTTTTGAACCTTTACTCTGTGCCCGGTACTTTGGTGACATATTGATGTATATTATTTAACTTGCCCAGCTCTCGCCTTCAGTAACTTCTATTTCCCTTCCCTGCTTTACAGATGAGAAAACTAACGCTTAGAGATAACAAGCAACTAGCCAATGGTCATATAACTAATAAAAGTTAAGTTAGATTTTTGCAGTGGTACAATTCTCACAGGGTGGAACCTTTATGACAGAAAATGGACTTCCCCGTCTGGGGCAGGTGGGTGACGGATGTACCTGTGAAGCAGCTGTTGGGGCCATGGAAGAGGCTAGTTGTGGCCTCTCCCAGAGGGAGACCCAGCCTTAGTGCTCAAGGATGCCCTGCTTCTAGGAGGAAAACTATCCTACAGGGTGGAGCTATGGATTCCTAAAATATAAGGTTTTATTTTTCATCTAGTCGACTTATGGCTTTGCAGGAAGATAGAAAGGCCAAGAAATGGAAGAAACAGGACATTTGTTTGGGAGACACCAAGTCCTGCGCTTTCCCGGGGCTGGTCAGCACCTACAGCAAGTTTATCATCTCCTTCGCCGAAGACGAAGCCGGTAACCTATGTGCAGGGCCGCCTTACTTCTGCTTCCTGGGACTTAGACGGTCACAGGTGTCGTGACCTGAACAATTAATCAATTATTACTATTACTGCTATTGTTTTTATTTATTTAAGATTTTATTTACTTATCTTTAGAGAGAGGGGAAGAGAGGGAGAGAAACATTGATTGGTTGCCTCTCACACATTCCCCAGTCAGGGACCAAACCCACAACCCAGGCATGTGTCCTGACCGGGAATTGAACCAGTGACTTTTGCTTTGCAGAATGACACCCAATCAGCTAAGACACCCCAGTCAGGGCACTGTTATTGTTGTTTAAATAGCAGAGACCACCTCTCTTATTTTCACTATCATTGAGTCACCTTTTGTAATATACTAGAGACTGTTCCATGCCCTTTACATTTTTTTATCTATTTTAGTCACCACATGCGCCGATGTCATTACTACACTCACTTCGCCACTGAGCAGACCTTGGCTATGCCCACCCGCCCCCTCTTGGTTGAGCGTGCTGGCCACACCGGCCAGGTCAACGTCTACCCTTTGGCCTTCCCGCTCCTGGGACTGTGAAGGAGTTACATATGATCCCCCTCCCTGATTTTATTCCAATCTGCCATGATAAGACAGTGGACAATAACAGGGCGGGCCAGGTGGACAGGGAGTGCCTGTCCTGTCGGGGTGTCGCCTGGGAGAGAGCACCCCTGATGGCCAGCCCCTGGCTGGGCTGGTCTCCTTCCTGACCCTGCAAGGGTCTGGGAGGCACCTGCTGGGAGTGGGCAAGGGACGGTCCCTTTCCTGAGAGATCAGAGGCAAGGGTCAGCAGCTGGGTAGCAGGCTACTCGCTGGACAAATCAGGCATATGCCAAAGGCACTGGCAAAGCAAGGCGTGTGTGCACATATGCGAGAGAGAGAGACAGAGAGAGAGACACTCTTCTCTAATAAATGTCCCTAAATTTTTTAACCAGAAAGTGGGTTTTTAAATTTCAGCTTTACAGAAATGTCATTTTGTTTTTACTCCTTAAAAATGTTTTATTCATTTTAGAGAGAGAGAGGAAGGGGGCGAGGGGGGGGGGAGAGAGAGAGAGAGAGAGAGAGAACAACATCGATGTGAGAGAGAAACATTAATTGGTTGCCTTACGTACACGCCCCAGTGGGATCGAACCTGCAACTTGTAAAACGAGGGGGAATGAGGTAGACATTCTGAGAAAGGCACTAGGTTTTCATGAGTTCAAAAGGGAGGAAATGGGAGGTATCAGGGCCCTTCAGAAACAGACAAAGGAGGCAGTGCCTGGCGGTGAGTTCTGTGCGTGTGGAAAGGACCTGGAGGAGATGCTGAAGGCAGGGAGGGTCACAGGGAGTGAGGGACCCGACACTGAGGAAGACGAGGCGGGGGCTGGGAGGAGTAACAGCCCAAAGGAAGGGCCATTTAGACACTAGTCGTGGTTCTCAGCCTAGAGAATGCCTCAGGGTTTCACAGGGCACCCTGATCAACAAGAAAGGGGTGGGAAGGAAATGGGATGCATCGGGGGAGAGTCCTGGGAACACAGAGATGATAGAGGAAGAATCCCACTTGGTTCAGAGCGGGAGCAGAGCCCGACCTCTGCTGGGCCGCCCCTCGGGCTGGGCTTTGGGAGCTGCCAGTCCCGAGCCTGGGTTCCCCGCCTGGGGCTCACGGCACGCGAGGGCCACAAGCCCTGCTGAGGATCCTCCGCGTCCCCAGCTCTGTGTCTCGGCCCTGCTGCGTGTCCCGTGACTGCCTGTCCTCTTTTTTCAGGGGAGCTCTACTTCCTGGCCACCTCCTACCCAAGTGCCTACGTGCCACACGGGTCCATTTACAAATTTGTTGACCCATCAAGGTGAGATTTGGTCTCATTTTCATCTTGGGGGCATTTCTATCAAGTTCCTATCTTTGTGGCAGGTTATCAAGAGTCCTCTCTCCCCGAGAATCACCAGAAATTACCAAGGAATCAGGTCCACATTCTGAATAAAAAGCAGCTTGGTCAAGCAAAGTAGGACAGTGGCTCTTTGGGAATTACGGCCCCTTTGGGCAGTGGTCTCTTCGTGGCTGTAAATGAGGAGTTTGAGCCTTGCCTAGTCTAGACATGTGGCTCCTGTTTTGTTTTTGTTGTTTAAGTATGGTTCTGGAAACTTCTGTCTGGGATCACCTGACAGTGAATGTTCACCTGTGACCACCTGAGTAAGTACTACCACCCTGTCCCCTGGCTTTGGCCAGGATGCCCGAGACGTTTGGCAAATACCTTGAACTGCCAGGTTTCTCAGCGTCTGTCCCCGGTCCTGGCTGGAATTCAGTGGCAGTATTGACTCACTCGGTGGACTGTGTGCTCTTTCTCCTGCTTCTTCGCCCACGGCTCTCAGAGGCTAACCAGCCTCCAGCTGGTCGGGCAGAAGCTGCCAAACAGCTTCGCATCTGGGAGGCTGTTGAGCGTGCGCCATCTGTACCTGCTGTGTGTTCATCCCGAGAGCTCTGCGCAGACGCCGCATTTATCTTGGGATTCCTGCCCGTAGCAAGAACCTCTCCCCATAAACCAACTTGAAAGACCCAGACAGGAAAACTGCCCTCGGGGGCTTCCATTACCCACATCTGGGGTGGTGTTCAGGAGGCATGTGGCAGACAGGGCACCAGCTGCCGGTCAGGGCTCGGGAGCCAGGACCAAGCCATAGCTCATCCTGCTTGGCAACAGGGATCTCGGGTGTGAGATTCTCATGAGGTCTTGGAGGTCCTCAGGCCCGGGGCTGTGCCTGGGCGCTCCCCCGACAGGAATTAGGTGCCGGGCCCTCCCCACCACTGACCTGCTGCACTGTCCTGTGCTCAGGGGGTGGGATAAGTCGGGGTCTTGAAAGCGCTTCCTTTGGCTGACCACGTCTGGTAGGGAATTCTGTTCTTCAGTAACAGGGTTTTGCGCGTGTGTGTGTGCGCGTGTGCATGTACTTTTTCTTTCCTTTATCAGTTTCCTGATTTGTTTGGGGGATAATTTAGGTCCCTCCATCACAAGAGCAGCCACGATGAGAGCTCAGCCACCAAGCACACTGAGGACACCCTTACTCATTTGCCTGTCTCTTCGGGTGGACGTTTACTGAGGGGTTGCTGTGTCCCAGGCACTCACGCTCCCAACAAGGCAGGCTAACACCCCAGACCTGCCGATAAGGCTGCGGAGCTCAGCTCAGTCACATCACGTGTCTGAGGTCCAGCCAGTGAGCGGGGGCCGAGGACAGGAGCTCGGTTTTCTTTGGGGATGAGAGTCGCTTCCACCCCACCCATTCGCTTTGGCTGTGATTACGTTGCCTTGTTCAGACTTTCAGAAAGCATCTGTAGCCGTGGCTGCGAATGCTGCCCGCGTGCCTACACGGCTGTCTTCACCCTGACTGCGCCCATCCCAGCGTCCCCAGGGCGGCTGCTTTATTTATGTGTAATTCACCGCCCCCTCCCCCGCCCCACTTCCATCTTTTCCTTCTGCCTGGGCTTGAATCTTGGCTTTGCCACCAACTAGCTGTGTGACCTTGCATCTGTTTCTTAATCTCCGCGTTCTTCAGTTTCCCCACTGCATGATAGAATAATAATAGCACCTACCTTATAGGGTGATTGTGAGGATTCAGTGAGTCATCAAGTATTAGTACAGCACCTAAGCACTATGTATAAGTGTTCATCAAATAAAGTTACCTTATCCACCTGGAATGGGGGTGAGGGCGTTAAGACAGAGTTGCAGAGAGGCAGAGAAGGCGGCAGTGGGGACTGGCTGACAAGTTCCGTCTCTGCTCTGGGGTCTCCAGGGTCTCTTTTGTTCCAGAAGACGCACCCGGCGGACAGCAGTTCAAGAATGTGCTAGAAGGCAGAGAAACGGGCGTCATTCAAGGGGTTTTCTTCCTCAGCAGCAGCATCATCTATGGAGCCCTTGTTATACACTTGACACTGTGCCAAGGGTTTTTTTGTTTCTGTTTTTTAATTATACACACAGTTCTCATTTAATCTTCACTATCGCCCTGCCAGGATAGGCACTATTATTTTTTCTATTTTAGAGATGTGGAAATAGTCTTCTCATGGTGCTGCTGTCCAGGGGCCTGCGGGCTCCCTGTGACTTCCACGTCCTTTCTCCACTCCATCTGAGCTCCTCCTGTTTCCGATGACACCTCGTCCCACCCCTATAGATAAGGGAGCGCTGAGCCCATTTCTTGCAAACGGATGCTTTCTGGTGACCTTGATTTTCTCGTCCCATCTTCAAAGCCTTTTGTCCTCACTTTTTCTACCTGTTCTCAGGCGAGCACCTCCAGGCAAATGCAAGCACAAGCCAGTGCCAGTGACAACCAAGAGTAAGCGGATCCCATTCCGGCCACTCGCCAGTGAGTCTGTCCTTGTCTTTGACTCAGACCCTGCCACCCTCTACAAACACGACAGCCCTGCTGAGTGGGAGGTTTTACTTTCTCACCTGTGGCTTGTCCTGGGGTTGAGGAGTACAATTTGTGTCTCAGCCTATACTCCTCCTCCACATGCCTGCTTCTCCTGTGACCTGTTGCCATTCATTCATTCATTCATTCATTCACTCATGTATTCATTCATTCATTCACTCATGTATTCATTCATTCATTCACTCATGTATTCATTCATTCGTTAAATCATTCAATCTTCCATGTATTCATTCACGCATCTGGCTTCATTCACTTAGTACTTCTGTGGCAGACACTGTGCTAATCCCTGGGGATAGAGCCTTGACCCTGACCTGTAGTTCAGAGTCAAATGGAAGGGGAGCGGGCAGTGCAGGCAACTGAACAGAGGTAACCCTGAGGCCCCTGGGGTGAGGGCAGCTTCCTTCACGTAGGGTAGGCAGTCGGCAGGGACTTGTAGAGAAGGGCCACTATCTTTAAGGGAACTAACCATTCCAGTACTATTGCCATTGGAGTGACCCTATTAGAGAAGTAATATATTTAGATCAAGGCCAGTTAAGCGACTTAAAAAATATTAATTTCCAAAGAATTTATATGAAAGACCCCTCATGTAGTCATGGGTCTCATGGGTGGTGCTTTTCTTAGAGCTACTTTTCCATGACTTGAATGTCTCACCACATAAAGGCTTGTTTCCCAGAGACAGTCTTGGAGGTGCTAAAGGAGCAGTCAGAGAAGGCTGCTAGAAGATCATCCGATGTGACTTCAGCTTCCCATCCGGGCCTGGCCTCCTCTCAGAAAGGCTCCTCTAAGAAGCCGGCTTCTCCCACGAGAAGCAGGAAGCCGTTTCGAGGCCCTGGGGCACAGGAGGGAGCCCGAGTGTGGCCCCCGGGCCCCTCAGGGAAGAGGAAGAAGAGCCGGAAACCCCGCAGTGGCCCGGTGAGCCAGCCTGCGCCGTGGGGGCCAGGAAGCAGCCGTCCTTGGCCTGCGAGGGGAGAACCTCCTCGTCACGCAGATCCTGCGGCTGCTGACCCGGGGCTTTAGAGGTATGGGAAGCGGGGGTGGAGCGGTTGGGGTGGCGGGGATGGTGGCAGGAATTTGGCTTAGGGCCTGATTGTCTTTCGAAGGGAATCTTGCTACCGGAACGATGCTCCTTGTCTGCTTCTGGGGGGAGGCCAAATTCCACGCCGCCACTGCACCCGGGTCGCGGGCACTGGTCTGCAGCGTGGCACTGCACGTCTTTGTTTGGTTTTGTAAATGCCCACGACCCAAGGTGTTGTAATAAATCAGCACTTGCTCAAATGGACACATATCTCTTGATCTCGCGAGCATTTGGCGTTAGCCTAAGAACCATATTTCACTCTCACGCCTGTGGCGACAGGTTTCCAAGGAAAGCTCCTCCAAAAGGGTCACCTGCTTTGCAGGTGCAGAGTAAGTAGTGTTGGTATGAAGACATTCAACGACCTGAAAGGGCTTTGCAAAAGGACATTTGATGTCGGTGAAGTGCTGACTCTTGCGGGATAATTCAGGATATTTTTCTTGCCTCAGTGGGGCCTGTTTCTTCAAGGCCCTGGAAGCACTTCATGGTCGCAGCAGACGTCCTGACCAATAAACAGCACAGTGTGAGTGTGTTTTTCCAGAGCTAAAATCTTGCAAGCCGCCGTAGAAAGTCTCAAAATTGCATCACTCCCAGAGCTAGCTCAATTAAAAAAAAAATGCATTCCATTCTCTCGCTCTTTGTGGAGTTGAAAATTATGTTGGGGAGGTATTTAATTTTACCTCAACCAGGGCCATGCTTACGGCTTGCCTAAGTGCTGGCTTTGGGAGCCCCAGATGCCTCTGCCTACTACTTTACCTGGTTAAGAAAGAACTTGAACTTGAGGTCCCCAGGCTGGAGCTCCCTAAGCCTGCACCACCCAACATAAATATATGAGAGCTGCCAATGGAAGGCCCATATGTAGTTTAAAATTTTCTAGTAGCCACATTTAAGAAATAGGTAAAATGAATGTAATTACATATTTTATTTAATCTACTATATGTACAATATCAACATTTCAACATATTACCAATTTAAAAATTATTAATGGGATAGTTTACAGTTTTTCTTTTCTTTTCTTTTTTTTTGAACTACGCGTTTTACGTGTTTTATTCTTTCTGCACATCCCAGTCCGGATTAGTCACATTTGAGATACTCACTGGCCGTATGTGGCTGGTAGCTACTTGACGGACAGTCCTTTGTCCAGCTCTATCTAGCCCTGAGATGTGGGAAAAGAAATCGTGGGTGGGGAACATTCATGCATTCAGGAAAGGCCCTCCTGACTCTAGAGTCACGCGCTTTCCAGAGTTCAGCGCAGGGGGTGGGGCGGGAGCAGGCCGGGGGGCCAAAAATACAGCGGAGAAATGAGGCCGGCAGCAAACACGCTTTCCAAGCAGCCTGCACTGTTCGTCTCTGGGAATGCCCCCCCTCCCTCTGGAAGGGGGCAGGACCTGGGATCCCCGCTGGGCTCCGAGGCCGGGGTGCCACGTGGCAGCCGCAGCGCGTGCTTTCTTCCGGGCCACGCTGCCCACGCTCTGGGCGCGGGCCCGGCGTGGGGACGCTCACTGGCCCGCTGCGAAAGACGCGAGTGGGAGCCTGTGCCAGAGCGCCCCCCGCTGGCCGCGCGGTCAAACTGCAGGCGCGGAGTCCCCTCCGCCCGCCGGTCCGCGCTGGCGGAGCGGTGCGCTTTCACTTTCTGCCGCTCACCGCCCGGCCTCGGTTTCCCAGGCGGTGCAAACGAGCCTGGGGAGCCTCGCTCTTCCACTTCCCGTGCTCGGGCCCGCGGGTGCCAGCAGCGCCGGGGGCGCCGAGGATGGCTTTTCTATTTTTATTTTTTTCTCTGTTCTTTGTTGCGGTCCAGGATTTTCTCTTCCGGGTCACATCTAAAGCACAGTAAGGATGCCCATAATTTGCATTTCAGGAGGCGTAACTTTTCATCTTGCCGGGTAAAATTTTCCGATGACTTCCTTTTTGGAGTTGCTGTTCCATATTTACAAAGGATAATGAAAAAAAGTTGGCAAACGGAGGCCCCAGCGAGGATCGAACTCGCGACCCCTGGTTTACAAGACCAGTGCTCTAACCACTGAGCTATGGAGCCCACTTGTTACCTTGGATACTGTATTCCAAGGACATTGGAAGCAACCTTGCTCTAGCGGGCAGGCTGTGGGAATAACTGACCTTAGGCATTCTACATCAATAATGATTCTTACAAAGACTATGAAATGCCCGAGAAAAATGCCTACACATAAGCAGGGTTTAAAAAAAAACAAAACAAAAAACAAATCTCAAAATCTTATGGTTAGGATCATAAAATACTGACTCACACCTACGGTAAGTTATGCCTATAAACAAAGGCTGGAAGGGAAAACGCAAAGATGAAATGTGGTACCTTTGTATCTTAGAAAAGCCTCCGATCTGTTGTTTCTACGACAATATGTATCAACTTTAGTACTTAGAGAGAAGTTAGAGGGGTGTCTTTGGTTCTCATAAATAAGTTATTCGTTATGGATGAGTTAATTGATTCAACACCTACTTACTGGGTGCTCATACACTGGTCAACCTTGGAGAGAAAGCAAAGCTCTGTCCCTGCTCTTTTAAAAAATGAGCAGGATCATAAAACTATGTATGCCTCCTTCCCTTTTGCTTAATGAACACTTACCGAAGGAATGAAGTTGTGGCCACGCCATGATCCATTACTCCATGAGGAGAGGATGAAGACGATCCTGGGCTCCCAGGGAACCCCAGGCCTCTCTGCTTTACCTCTGCAGGTGTCCGCTCACATTTGCTTTCTCGAGGAGGCCTTTGGACCCCCTATTTAAAGCTGCACCAACCTCCTTATCTTCGCTCTCTACCCCATTCTCCTTAACTTTCTTTGCTACTACATAATATGCTTATGATGTTTATTATTCTTTCCTGCCTATGCCTGTTAGAATGTCAGCTCTTTGAGGCCAGGGGGGTTTGATTTATTCCCTTTTGTGTATTCAGCACCTAGAATAGTGTGTAGCACAGAGCAGGTGCTCAGCACAGGCTGAATGAGTAACATCGATGATGTCATCCTGTGGCTTTATAAACCCAAATGCAAATTCACATGTGGAAGTGGCAGCCATTAGTAGGTTCAGGGAACATAGAGCGTGTGTGCTTGTTCAAGTACAGAAGATTCCAAATGAACAAGATGACAAATGCCCAGCACCACGTTCTCGGTGTTCAGTGAAGCTGGCAGCTTGGTGCAGGAGTTTGAGCTCCTCCCCAGGCCCTTGGGGGATGGGCAAGGAGGCCAGAAGGAACCCTGACACAAGACGGGCTCAGAACCTGGGATGCTGCGGTCAGGGGCTGTGGTCCCTGCTGACCCTCTCCTCCTGTTTGCCCAGATCTTTGGTGGCAGGGACTGTAGGGTCCTCCAGAATGACTCAGGGCACATGGCCCTTTCTCATCACCCCAGAAGGGCAGACGTGTCCCACTGGAAGTGGGTGGTGACTCTCTGAGCTCCCTAGTGGGCAGCTAATGAATGAGTTACTCCTTACCTTACGTGGGCCCAGTGGAATACACCCAGTTATTGAAACCAGTAATAAAACTCACCTCCTGGATTTTGGTTCTGTTTCACAGCAGATAACCCTTTCATGAATATGTTTTACAAACATTTCTTTTTTTACATTCCTATTTCTTCATCACCTCCCCTTTGGCAACTCTATCAGCTTGTTTTCTATATTTCTGAGTCTGTTTCTGTTTTGCTTTGTTTACTTATTATTATTATTAAATTCCACATATAAGTGAGATCACATGGTATTTATCTTTTTCTGTCTGACTTAGCATAATATGCCCTAGGTCCATCCATGTTGTTGCAAATGGCAAGATTTCATTCTTTTTCATTGCTGAATAATATTCCATTGTATATACTATGCACTGCATCTTCTTCATCCACTTGTCTATTGATGGACATCTAGATTACTTCCATATCTTTGTTATTACTGCTAATGTTGCATGAACACAGGAGTGCATATGTCTTTTTGAATGAGTGTTTTTGTTTTCTTCGGACCCAGAAATGGGATTGCTGGATCATGTGGCAGCTGTATTTTTAATGTTTTGAGCAATGTCTAGACTGTTTTCCACAGTGGCTGCCCAGTCTGCATTCCTATCAGTTGTGCACAGGGCTCCCTTTTCTCCACATCCTCGCCAGCACTCGCTGTTTCTTGATTTATTTATCATGGCCATTCTGAAGGGTGTGAGGTGATAGCTCATTGTGGTTTTAATTTGCATTTCCCTGATAATTATCGATGTTGAGCATCTTTTCATATATGACCATCTGTATGTCCACTTGGGAGAACTATCTGTTCAGGTCCTCTGCCCATTTTTAAATTGGATTGTTTGTTGTGTGTGTGTGTGTGTGTGTGTGTGTGTGTGTGTTCAGTTTTATGAGTCCCTTATATATTTTGGATATTAACTCCTTATTGGATGTATCATTTGTGAATATCTTCTCCAGTGCAGTAGGTTTGTTTTTTGCTTTGTTGATGGTTTCCTTCACTGTGCAAAAATTGTTTAGTTTGTTATGGTCCCATTTGTTTATTTTTTTTCTTTTGTTTTTCTTGCTTGAGGAGATATATCAGGAAAAATATTGTGATGTCAGAATTTACTGCCTGTTTTTTGGTTTTTTTTTTTAGAATTTTTATGGTTTCAGATATAACATTTAAGTGTTTGATCCATTTTGGGTTTATTTTTGTATATGGTGTAAGAAAGTAGTCCAATCTCATTTTTTTGTATGTATCTGCTTATTGAAGAAACTGTCTTTACCCCATTGTATATATCTTTGCCTCCTTTGTTGTGTATTAATAGACCATATAAGTGAGGATTTACTTCTAGACTTTCTGTTCTAGTCCACTAATTTATATATTTGTGTTTATGCCAGTACCATACTGTTTTAATTATTGTAGCTTTGTAGTATAGTTTGATATTAGAGACCATGTTACCTCCCACTTTGTTCTTTTTCAAGATTTCTTTGACTATTCGGGGTCTTTTGTAGTTCCATGTAAGTTTTAGGAGTAGTTGTTTTAATTCTGAGAAATATGCCATTGTTATCTGAATAAGGATTGTATTGAATCGAGGTATTGCTTTAGGTAGGAAGGACATTCTGACAATGTTAATTCTTTCTGTCCATGAGCAAGGTGTATATCCTTCCATTTATCTGTATCTTGCTCAAGTTCTTTCTTTAATGTCTTATAGTTTTCAGAGTATAGATCTTTCATCTCTTTGGTTAAATTTATTTTCAGGTATTTTATACTTTTGATGCAATTATAAATGGGATAGCTTTTAAAATTTCTTTTTTTATCATTCATTATTGGTGTGCTGAAACACAACAGATTTCTGTATATTGATTCTGTATCCTACAAATTTACCAAAGTCATTTA